AACCCGCGCTCCGGGCCTCCGCTTCGACACTTTTCCCAACCTCAGTCCCAGGCCCGTCGCGCGACAACCACAGTCCATTACCGTTACCACTGTAGTTTCGCTACCGTCATCGCCCGGATATAAGACAGTGTTGAATAGTAGACAGGGGTTGTCTACTATACGGGTGTCTCTTATAAACAGGCAAGCCTTTTTATACGACACCTATTTGTGTGTACGAGATAAGACATATATGTCTTATAATCAGAACCGGGGTTTAGGGGTTTTCTTATAAACAGGGGGTGTCTTCTAAACGAGCCTACACTACTTTAGGGGGGTACATCCATACATTCATGAATCCCTACTTCTACCTAACCCCCCTCAGTAACCGCCTCCTCTGCAGCACTAGCAACAGGCTCTACGCCCAGGTCTGGCACTCGCCAGGCATGCCTAGCCATCTCCCTTGGCTCGATCATGCAGTCAGCCTCGGCCGCCGCTCCGCGGTAGTTGGGGGTCTCCTGGTACAGCACCTCCAGGCCAGTTGCCACGGCCACCTCCCGCACGCCCTCCGCCTGCATCGCCTCCTCCTCCTCCTCCTCCTCCTCCTCCTCCTCCTCCTCCTCCTCCTCCTCCTCCTCCTCCTCCTCCTCCTCCTCCTCCTCCTCTGGAGCCTTCCGAAGCAGGCGCGTGTTGTCGCCTGTGGTCCCCCCGAGGGACATGTCCTCGGAGACATCGGTGGTGCTCCTGGCGCGCAGGTGAGACATCACCAGGTGGTTCTCCGTTCCGTCCAGCTTGCTGGAGATCCCACAGTGGCGGAACGCGTCGATGATGATCTGCCTGGGGACTTGATCCCAAGCCTCCGCGATCCACTACAGCACCACGGGGTGCGGAGGCCTCCGCAGGTTCCCTGCGGGTGGGACAGAGGACACGGCAGCGAGATGTTAACGATAAGGACACGAAACAGAGCAGGAATTTAAAATGAACAGCCAACTCACCCTTCTTCGTCTTCAGGTGAATCCCTTCACGCATGAACCACCTGGCGTAGCGCGCTCGCACGGCAGCCTTGAAGCACCGGTTGATGGAGACGTCCAGGGGTTGAATCTGGCTCGTACAACCCGCTGGAATGACTGCAGGGGTGATGCTGTGCGTGCGGTACGACTGAAGCATGGTCTGGGTGATGTGGCCGCGGTAGGAGTCCAACACCAGCATCGCACGCCTCGCGCTCTTGCCGCGCTGGGGGTTCAGATGGGGAAGCACCTCCTTGGACAGCCAGGTCTGCACAGCGCTCTCGTCCATCCACCCGTTGTCCTGTGCTTGGACCACGATTCCTGCCAGGCACACAAGGGACAGACGGACATCAGCACAGTGGGGCACGCTCATGAGGCAGGGGCAAGGTTGAAGTCATGGCGCTTACCGCCCGGAATCTCACAGTTGGGGACGTTCTTCATCTTGAACCACACCCACGGCCGCAGCTTCTCCCCGGATGCAGTGCACGCGAGCATCGCCGTCAAGTGCGTCTTCTGGTAGCCTGCAGTGCGGATTGGGACCGAGCGAGCGCCACGGTGCTCGATCGTCCTCTCGGCCGGCATCTCCACGAACAGTGGCGTCTGGTCCGCGTTGATGATACGGGCCAGGTCGATGTTGTGCCGCGCCCTGTTGATGCGCACGAACTTCCAGAAGGACTCGCAGTCCTTCGCGCACTCTGCAAACGGGACAGGAACAGAAGCGAGGGACGGTTAGACAACGAGCAAGGTAAGACATGCATACAATGGGCCGTGCGCGGCACGAACTCCTTATCCACGCACCTGCCGACAGACGTTGTCCGACCTTCGTCTTCACCCGCATCACCAGGTTCCAGCGGTCACGGAAACGCTGGCTCCAGTGAGAGCTCGCGTTCCAGTTCTTGCCGGGGTAATGCTTCTTCATCCACTCGCGGCTCCACTTTTGGGTGTCCTTCACCGAGATGGCCACCCCGTTAGCGCGCTGAAGGCAGATGTAGCGGTACAACGCTGCCTCCATGTCGGGGTAGTGTGCGTGGCGGCCCCCCCCGTGCATCCGCTTGCGGCAGTTAGCCGCGCCCTTGTAGATGCCCGCAGCCGCCTCCGCGCACCAGCGTCTGATGCAGGCGACGCTCGCGGTTGACTCCAAGCTAGTCTTCTTCAAGGAGCCGAGCTCCTGATAGCGGCGCGCCCACTTAACCTTCTCACGCACGGTCCAGCCGCGGCGCTTCTTCGTAGTGTCTTTGCTGCGAGGGGAAGGTGGGCGGGTGTTGGGATTATGGAGGGTGGGGTCCTTCGGCGCCTCCTTCTCAGGGAACGTGGGAATCGGGCCCGCCGCCGCCGCGTACTCATCGTCGCTGCCCAACGCCTCGTTGACGATGATGTCGTCAGGATTCGGCGCCTTCTTCGCCTTTTTCTTTGCCGCACCCTTGCTGGATCCAGGGTCTCCGTCGTCCTTGCGCTTCTTGTTGCTTGTGCGGCCACGAGCAGGGGCCTTTGCAGGGGCCTTAGCAGGGGACTTAGCAGGGGCTTCCACGACCTTTGCCTTTCCCTTCTCCGCAGCGGTGAGTAGGGGGCGACGCTCCTCCCCGGGACTGTCGTCGTCACAGAGCACCACGCGGGCGCGCTTCGTCGTGGACTGTAGGCGATGGCGCAGCCTCCGCTTCAGTAGCGGAACGTCGTCGTCTGTCCCAAGGCTCCACGGGTCGTCGTCGTCGCCCTCACCCTCAAATAAGACGGCATCCGCAGCCACCTTGTTCGCCTCCGCCACCGCGTCCGCATCCGCAGGCGCCTCTGTCTCGAGTTTCGCCGCCGCCTCGTCGGCAGCCTCATTCGCATCCACCGCCGCTTCCTGTGCCTCCGCGTTGTCACCGCCAGCATCTTCACCTCCGTCGTTGTCGGAATCACCAGCCCGCCACTCTTCCACCTCGTCGTCGCTCCCGACCGGATGATTCCACCATTCGTCCTCCTCGATGTCGGCAGTACCAAATTCGTCGCCCGAAGCGCTGTCATCGTGGCCGTTCTCCGGCCAATCCTCCTCGGCGTCGTCACCGTGTGCTTCGTCTCCGTCTTCCCCGTCACAGCTCGCACCGGAGGCGGCGGTAGGACTTCTCGCCTTGCTCGCGTTCTTCGCCATGGCTACGCGGATGTCATCGCCGGGCGAGTTAATTCGCCCGTTGTTATTCACCTGCACGTGAGGACGAGGTGAGGACTTGCCTAGGGGTACCTTGCTGCGCATGGTTAGAGAGCCTGCCGAGAGCAAGGTTGAGGTGAGAATTCAACCTCCATGAGCACCAAATGAAGTGAACGCCCGACTACCCCCCCCAGCCAGAGTGCCCCATCCACAGGTGCCGAGCCGCTCCTCTACGAGGCATCTCCTCGTAGAGGACAGCCTGACGCTGCCAACGTGCTGCCAGCAGCGTTCTGGAAGCTGCCATGCGCTGCTGGCAGCAAAACGACGCTGGCAGCATCATTAGATGCTGCCAGCACAGAGGAATATTGCCAGCGGTGGCAGCTTTGCTGCATCACCACCGAGGTCGGCCTGTTTCAATGAATCTGGTCCCTGGGTGTTTTCTACACACTTTGCAAGTGTTACAGTCAACAATTTTTTCCATTTATAAGAATTATAAGACACCCTAAACCATCCCGTTTACAAGATAACTCAAGCATTTTTGCCCGTGTACGAGATAAGACATATATGTCTTATATCCGGGCGATGACGGTATATATTCTTCGCTCATGCCTTCGCTCATTGTACTCTTGCTTCGATAGTGCAATTCTCGTTCGTTCACTCAATTGCACTCGTAACACCTAGCTGTATTCCCCCTAGAAGTCACCAGAACGCGACAAGACCGATGTAATAGACGCGCTGGCGTTATGGAAGAACAGTGAGCGTCGGCTTATGTGTACTAGGATTGTGAATGCCGATAAAGCCGTATTTCCGCCTCTAATTGGCTCGCGACTCTTGCGAGCCTTCGCCAAGTCGCGGGAACTTCTGTTCCCGCAGAGCGAAGTCTTGTGCGAAAGCTTCTTGACCGCTAAGACGAAATACTAACGCGGCTCAACGAACCATTGGGTTCCTACAATGAGGGGTAGGAGATCTTCTTTCGCCTAACCTGTGGATTAGGCTATGTATGATGTATGCTAACCTTCGCTAACCTATGCTATCCTGTGCTAACCTGTCGTTTTCTAGCAGCAACCTAAGAAACCCTTGTTGGTCTCACGAGACCTGGTAGGAGGGTGATGCTGGATGAAAGTTGGTTGGTTCAAGTACCCTCTGATCTAATCTTGCTTGCAATGCCTACTAAGTCTATTCTTGCTGTGATTTCTTGGTCTCCGATTTTAACGGATGACTTGCTTAGCTTCTCTCATAGAACAACATTCTTTGCCGGTTCGCTGCTATGCTTACCACGTAGCTCGCACCAGGTCTTGATCAAGTTACTACCAGGAAGTTTATGAAATATGCTCATTTAGGATCCATTGCGGGTAACTATTGAGAAGTGGAAATATATACGGAGAGATTAATCGCCGGAGAAGCCAAAACATTTTGCTGGTCCTTCCGAACTTAGTCGGCGATATATCATGGGTGGACCTGTCGATGCTGACTTACCTCCAACCCCGCACACTGATAAAGACTCCGTGGAAGTACCAAGCTCAGAAGCGCATACTATGACGAGCGACTCGGTTGATCCAAGCGGGAGCGGCGGTAGCGAAAGGACTGATACACGTGGAGAGAAACGGAGGAGGAGTTTGAGCTGTGACGATTCGGACCGGCGTGAAGCACAAAAGAACGGAACAATGCGAGACGGAGAGGAAGAAGCGCAGGAGAACGGCGGAGTTAAGAGACCGAGGCTCACAAGTCTGATTGAGAAGAGCCGTCGAGACGACGACGGAATCGTAACCTACGACCGGGGTAACAACGAGAGTGATACTAAGGAGGGTGATAATGACGCAGATCCAGCCCTGCGAGCGGACAATGCCAAGGGGGACTCTGACACCCCCAAACCAGAGTTTACAGTATCGAAGATGGGGATAGCGGGTACGACCGATGACGGTACGGTCGACGTGGATGAAGATTCCGAGAAGGTTCCTGCCGCTTCGATTCTTCCTTCGACAGATGTGGATGGAAAGGGAGCAACGAATCTTGACCGTGCAGCTGCGACTGCTGCTGCTAGCGGAGCAGCGTCAGCTTCTAACGCGGATAATTTGGCCGCTACAGTGACAACATTCGTCAGTACTAGCACTCAGGACATCAGCTCTCCAGCACGTCAGGACCTTGACGCATCTGACGGTGTAGGTTCGTCCCGTCAACCGTCCGGTCCCCTTGCATTCGCCACCGCTTCTCTTACCGCGGACAAACCTCTTCGAGATGCTGACCAGGAGCTAATACCGCGTACGATCGCTCCGCCTGCTGACATCTCGGCGTCTCCGCCTGCAGTAGCGGCGGGTGAGGGGGACGCGGGAGAGTCCGCGGAAGGGGAGGTGAAGGCGGAAGATTCGGCGAAAGGGGAATGGGAGGCGGAGGAAGAGGTGAAGGAGAAGGCGGAAGAGATGGAGGGGGAGATGAGGGAAGGTGGAGTTGTGAAGAGAGAGCGTGTGGGGGGCAGTCGCATTGAAACCGACGGTGTGTTTGGAGGTAATGCGCAGGGCGATGCAAAGAGCAGCAAGGCGGAAACGGGTATCACCCAAGGGGAGGGTAAGGCACACGGAAGACAAAGGAACCAGGAGGTGCAGCAGCAGGGGGAGGAGGAGGAGGAGGAGGAGGAGAAGCTATCATCACAGCCGTTGGTGGAGGTGGCATCTGCAGATAAGGAGAAGAACGCAGGGCACCAGGAGCACAAGGAGCAGCAGCTTCCTCCAGTGGTGGAGGTGGTATCTGCAGATAAGGAGAAGAACGCAGGGCGCCAGCAGCACCAGGAGGAGCAGCAGGAGGAGCAGCAGGAGCAGCTTCCTTCCGTGGTTGAGCTGGTCTCTGCAGGGGGGGAATCACCCCAGCAGGGACAGTGTGTGGTGTTGCCAGTGGACGCAGTCGTGTGCGTTGAACAACCGCTGCCTGCTCTGGAGTCGACTGGAAAGTCACTGCCTGCTCTGGAGTCGACCGGAAAGTCACTGCCTGCTCTGGAGTCGACCGGAAAGTCACTGCCTGCTCTGGAGTCGACCGGAAAGTCGCCGCCTGCGGATGCTGTTGCGTGCATTGAGCTGCCTTCTGTTGATTCAACGCAGATTGCACTGCCAGTCGGTGCAGTCGTGTGTGTTGCGCCGCCTGCTCTGAAAGGTTCAACTCAAGATGTGCTTCCTCTGGACGCAGCCGTGTGTCTTGAAGCGCCTGCACCCGATTCAACTCAGAAGCCACTGCCACTGGACGCAGTTGTGTGCATTGAAGCGCCTGCACCCGATTCAACTCAGAAGCCACTGCCACTGGATGCTGTCGTTTGCGTTGAGCCGCCTGCCCTGAGCTCAATGCAAGATGCGCTTCCACTGGACGCAGTCGTGTGTGTTGAAGCGCCTGCTCTCGTATGTGGACCGATTGCCCCTGTTCAGCCTGTTGCACCGTCTCCTTTGGCAGTGCTGCCGGCCTACACGCCTGCTGTGTCGGTGGTATCTGACGGCGCTGATTCGTCCCAGCAGACGCTGCTGCCGCCGCCACCGCCAGTGGTTGAGGTGGTTTTGAGTGGTGCTGATGGGTCAGGTTCGGCTGCTGCTGTGCTGCCGGCCTACACGCCTGCTGTGACGGTGGTATCTGACGACGCAGCGTCCTCCGAACAGCCTCTGCTGCCGCTGCCTCCAGCAGTCGTTGAGGTGGTTTCGAGTGGGGCGGACGGTGCAGCCTCTGTTGCTGTGCTTACAAGTGAGGCTCTGCTGACTGCCAGTGGGATCGTCAGTGTTGTGCGCGCTGGCAGTGAGGAGAGGGCATGCGAGGAGCAGGAAGAGGGGGCAGGCGGTGAGCTGGAGAAGGAGGGGAAGGAGGAGGAGAAGTCAGTGCCTGCTGCTGTGCTTCATCCGGGGGAGGCTCTGCGGACTGTCAGTGGGATCGTCAGTGTTGTGCGTGCTGGCAGTGAGGAGAGGATCGGCGCGGAGCAGAAAGAGCTGGAGAGGAGTAGGAATGCGGAGCATGCGAAGGCAGTGAGTAGGACGGTGGAGGAGGGGGGAAAGATGCAGGAGAAACAGGAGGATGAAAGTGGGCACAGAGGCGCAGTTGCTGAGGAGGAGACGAATGGAGCGGGGCAGGCGAAGCGGGCACAGGAGGAGCAGGCACTACCTTTGAAAGAGGGAGCCTCGGGCCGGGAGGATGCTGAGGGGGAGAAGGAGAAGGAGAAGGAGAAGGAGAAGGAGAAGGAGAAGGAGAAGGAGAAGGAGAAGGAGAAGGAGAAGGAGAAGGAGAAGGAGAAGGAGAAGGAGAAGGAGAAGGAGAAGGAGAAGGAGAAGGAGAAAGAGCAATTGAAGGAGGCGAAGGAAAAGGAGGAGGGGAAGGAGAAGGGGAAGAAGACGAGGGGGGTAGAGGGTGGCAATGGCAAGGGGGAGTTGTTGGAATGTAGCAAGGGAGAGAATGAGGCACTTGAGTTGACTCAAGCGGATGGTGAGGAGGTGGAGGAGAAGGGTGGCGACGGGACGAGCGATGAGGGAGTGGTGGTGGGGAATAGGAAGGGTGGGGAAGAGAGGGATGAGAAGATTGTTGAGAGCAAAAGCAAGAGGGCAGCTGGGGGTGATGGGAGTGGTGAGAATGAAGACTTAGGTGAGAATGAAGACGTAGGTGAGAAGGACGAGAGAGGTGTACTAGATGAGGCTGCGAGCGATGAGGTGAGGGAATTAGGGAAAGAGGAGGGAGGATTGGGGAAGCAGGATGGTACCATTGAGGATACGGAAGGGATGGAGGTAGATGATAAGAGGGGCGAGGAGAAGGGAGAGGAGAAGGGTGAGGAGAAGGGAGAGGAGAGTGGGGGTAGAGAGGAGATGGAGGAAGAGAAGGTGGAGAAGCGAGAGGAGGGAGGGAAGGAGAAGGGAGAGGGGAAAGGGAATGAGGAGAAGGGAGTGGAGGGAGAGGAGAGAGGAAAGGAGGAGAAGAGAGGAGAGGGAAGGGAGTCGATGGAAGGGAATGCGGGTGTTGCTGAGGGGGATGGTGTTGCGAGTGGCAATGCCGATGCCTCACAGTTAGGCCCCAGTGATGAGGGGGACGATGCAATGATGATTGATGAGAAGAGAGGAGAGCAGAGGCACGTGGCAGAAGGGAGTAGAGAGAGGGAAAGGCGAGAAGATGCCGAGGAGGAAGGGAGCAAGAAGGGCGAAGGCGAGGGTGGTAGAGGGAGTCAGCAGCTGACTTTGGCTTCGACCGAAGAAGGGAAGGAGCCTGAAGGAGTGGGTTTAGCTGCAGCGACGGATAGCCCTATAGTTCCCACTCCAACTGATGCAGATGCTCCTGCTGCTCCTGCTGCTCCTGCTCCTGCTGCTGCTGCTGCTGCTGCTGCTGCTGCTGCTGCTGCGGATTCTCCTGCGGAAGCAGCAGCTGCAGCAGCAGCTTTTCCTGGTGCGGCAGGTCCAGCTACAGAGGGTGTGGGGGGGGTGGTTACAAAGAGGAACGAGGGGAGGAAGATGCGGGAGTGGGACGAGCGGATGCATGCATGGGATGGCATCATGCGCGCATGGCATGGCCGCATGGTGGCGTGGACAGGGGTCATGGATGCTTGGCGGGCGCACAGGCGAGAGCAGAGACGGGAACAGAGGCGCACACAGAAGCAGAAGCGGAAGGAAGAGCAGAAGGAAGTGCAGACAGGAGAGGAGATGGTAGATGACAAGGGGCGTGTTGCGGCCGCTGCTGGAGCCAGCAGCGATGCTTATGTTTCTGGGGATAGTGACTCCAGTGGTAGTGACAGTAGCGAGGATGATACTACTGAGGTCTTGCAGCTCGGTGGTATTGGTAACCCTGTTACGGGTGCCCTGGCTGCTGTCTCTGCTGCAGAGTCCGTAGCAGCTGCAGCAGCAGAAGCAGCAGCAGCAGCCACAGCAGACGCTGCTGCAATCCTAGGGCCAGCTAAATTCGCCACAGCCATAGACGCCGCTGCTACAGCTGCTGCTACAGCCGGCGCTACATTTGGCGCTACAGCCGGGGCAAGAGCCGCTGCTACAGCCGGCGCTACAGCCGGCAGCGAGTGGCAGTGGGGCATGCCTGCCGGCCTGCCTCAGCACCTACCGGCTCAGTTCCAGAAGCAACGGCTGGTCGAGTTCTGCAGGCACGCAGCAGAGCAGGAGGAGAAGCTCTGGGTTCCTGCTACAGCTGCTACAGCTGCTGGGGTTGTTGGGGCTGCTGGGGCAGCTGGGGCAGCTGGGGTTGCTGGGGTTGCTGCGGCTGCTGGGCTTGCAGGGGAGGAGAGACCATCTGGGACGGAGCTAGCGATAGTGCCTGTGGAAACAGGCTATGAAGGGAATGCTGGCTACGAGGGGAATGTGCTGTATGAGCGTGCGCTGGTTGCCGGAGGAGGAGTGTATGGGGCCGGTGACGAGCAGAGAATAGGGGGTGGAGGTGTGGGGAGGGGAGGGATGGGGGTGGGGGAGAGTAAAGTAGGGAGCAGTGGTGGGAAGGGGTTGGGCAGGAGCAGGCGCAGGAGCAGAGGGAAGGGTGTGGAGGGGAGTCCTGGGAAGAAGACGAGAGAGGACGCAGTGGCAGGCACACGGGAGGAGCACCTTTACCACCACTATAACCAGCAGCAGCAAGTGCAGGGTTACATGGAATACCAAGGGCAGGAGCCGCAGAATGGGAGCGCAGCAGCAGCAGCAGCAGCAGCAGCAGCGCAGGGCAGTGGGAGTCACAACTCGGGAGGCCACGGCCGTGGGGACGGGCACAGCAGTGGCGGGGGTGGAGGAGGAGGGGGAGCAGGAGCGGGAGCAGCAACAGCAGGTGGGAATCACGGCACCAGTGGACGCTCATGGCATTTCTCAGGATACCCTGGCGTGTCTCGAAACGGGCGGAAATGGTCGGCTAAGGTATCTATGAACTCTCAGCAGAGAGCCAGATATGGGGTGTGCCAGAACATGCACTGCGGGCAGTGGGAGGAGGTGGAGCAAGCAGCAGCGGCGGCCGAAGCAGCGTGTTTTGTTTTCAAGGGAGGGAAGGGGCGGACGTGGAAGTTTCTTACTGAGCAGCAGAGGGAGGTGTTAGGGGGAATGGATCCGGATGAGGGGATGTGGCTGATTAAGGCGAAGAGGTGGAGGGAGTGGAATGAATGGCAGCCGAATAAGACTGGGTGGGTGAAGGGGATGGGGTTGGCTGAGAGTGGGGATGGGCATGGGGTGGGGGGCGCGCAGCAGGAGGAGCACGGGGAGGGGGAGGGGAATGAGGGGCACGGGATGGGGGGACATGAGGGGCAGGGGGAGGGGAATGAGGGGCAGGGAGAGGGGGAGAGTCAGGAGGGTGAGCCGATGATGTTGGAGTGGCATGAGGGGTGGGAGGGGAGGCATGCGGATGGGCAGAGGGAGGAACAGAGCGAGCAGGAGAGGGAGCAGCAGAGGGAGAGGGAGAAGGAGAGGGAGAAGGAGAAGGAGGAGAGGGAGAAGGAGAAGGAGAAGGAGAAGGAGAAGGAGAAGGAGAAGGAGAAGGAGAGGGAGAAGGAGAGGGAGAAGGAGAAGGAGAGGGAGAAGGAGAGGGAGAAGGAGAGGGAGAAAGAGAGGGAGAAAGAGAGGGAGAAGCAGGAGAAGGAGCAGCAGGAGAAGGAGAGACACCAGCAGGAAGGTGAAAGGCGGAAGGGCAAGGAGCGAGAGCAGGATGTGATGCAGGAGAAAGCGGAAAAGGAGGAACAAGAACCGCGGGGGTTGAAACTCGACCTGAATGCCCAGCAGCCCCTGAATTTCTACCCCGAACCTCCTCCCCCTCCGTCCATTCCTGCTCCGCCTCTTTCCACTCCTCCTTTTCCTCCTCCAGTTGCTCCATCCCCCCTTGTTGCAGCACCCTCCGCATCCCATCCAATGCTTTTTCCCCCTTTTGCTGGATCACAACAGGGTACACCCATGCTACAGCAGAGCACACCCACGTTGCAGCATCAGCATCAGCAGGGCATTCCCGTGTCGCAGCATCAGCATCAGCAGAGCAACCCCACACTGCAGCATCATCAGCCTGTGGCGTCCATTCGCGAGCTGCTGGCCATGCCCCGCACCTTCTCTGTTCCCCCCCCTCCTCCTGCCGTGGACAATGTGCCGAGTCAGCAGGGCCAACATAGTCAACAGAGTCAACAGCAGCAGCACCCGCAGCAGCAGCAGCAGCAGCAGCAGCAGCAGCAGCAGCAGCAGCAGCAGCAGCAGGCACAGCAGCAGGTGCCAAGTTTCGTTCTCTCCCTCCCACCTGCATCAACCCTGCCACTGCACCCTCCTCCGCTGCACCCGTCTCTGCTCCCTCCCCCACAGGCCTTCCTGCAACAGCATGGGGGTACACTAGGCCTCTTTCCTCCCATAGCTCTTCCTGCCCATCCTGCCACTCCTGCTGCTGCTGGTACTGGTGGTGCTGGTGGTGGTGGTGTTGGTGGTGCTGCTGCTGGTCTTGCTGGTTCCGCTGCTGCTGTCGCAACGCCTCCTCCTGCTTCTGCCGCCACCACTCTCACCATTCCTCCTCCTACCGCCGCTCCCGCTCCCGCCCCTGCCTCTCCCCCTCCCCCTACCCCCACCGCAACCACCCTCCCCCTCTTCTCCTCTAACGAGTCAGCTCATAACGAGGCATGGCCGCATGAGTCGTTCAGCCAGCATCAGCGTGTAGCAAGGATAAGGGAGATGCTGGGATCTTCATTTGGTGCGCTCAAGAGTAAAGGGCTTGGGGAGAGTTCTTTGGGGGTTGATTCTTTGAGTGGGGGTTCCTTGGGTGGTGGTGGTGCCGGTGGTGCTCGTGGTGATGGTGATGGTAATGGTGGTGGTGGTGGTGGGTCGATAAGTGCTGGGACTTCGCTAAGTGGTGGTATGGGTTTACCGTGGGGGGGGACGAAGGTGGTTGGTGGTGGTGCCGCTGATGGCGCTGGTGGTGGTGGCGCTGCTGCTGCTGCTCCCAGCATGACCCCTCCTCCTTTTTCTTCGCCCCCTCCTCCTCCTCCCCCTCTCCATCCTATCAGCAGCTCTCATGGTCCTATTGCTGCTCCTACAGGTGCTGTTCCTGCTACTGCGGGCAGCAATGCACCCTTCCCTTGGCTATCTGTCCCCACGCCAGGGAGTGTGCTCCCACCTGCACATTCACCTGCTCATACCCCTGACCCGCACGCTGCTGCTGTTGCCGGTGCCACAGGTGCTGCTACAGCCGCGGGAACCACAGCAGACGGGCAGTCTGCCGCTCCTGCTACAGAAACCACCGCAGCTGCTGCAGCAGCAGCTGCAGCGTTGAACCCGGCGAATCACGGCCCAAGACCAGCCTCGGGATACCTCGGAGTGGTGAAGAGCGGTCGAAAGTGGGCCGTGCAACTATCAATGAACATGAAGCAGCGAGCGAGCTACTCTGTAGGCCATATTCTCAACTGCGGAGTTTGGGACGACGTGGGGGAGGCAGCAATCGCAGCAGAGGCAGCTTATCTAGTGCTGAAAGGGGAGAAGATCGAGTTTAGATTGCTGAGTGAAGAGCAGAAGAGGAGGCTGAGGCAGATGGGACCGGATGAGGCAGTTAGGATTATTAAGGAGAGGAGGTGGAAGGTGTGGAGGGATTGGCGGGCGGGGAAGGAGGGGGATGGGACGGGGTGGTTTGTGGGGGAGGAGGGAGGGGAGGAGAGGGGGGAGGGATGGAAGGTGGGGATGGGAGAAGGGAGGGGAGAGAGGGGCCGGGAGGAGGAGGAGGAAGGATGGGAGCGGCAGGATGGGATGGAGGAGGAGGAAGGGAGAGGGAGGGGGAGAAGGGGGGGAACGGAGGCTGTACCTGCATATACTCCTCTCTCCCTCCTTCCGCTGAGCCCCATGCGTCATCCCTCTCATCCCTCCTCTGCCCGCTCCTCTCCTCCCTCCTCCTCGGCTCCTTCTCACTCAGAGCACGCTTTCCCTGGCCCTGCAGCAGCAGCAGCAGCAGCAAGAGACGACAGGGTCCTTCCAGAGTCGGGTACAGGAAGGGAGAAGCAGCACGGGCAGAAGCAGCAGATTCAGAACGAGTTTGCGTCATCCCTGTCGCTATCCTTGAACGCCTCTCCTCCCAGCGACCATGTGAGAGGCTCCGGGAGGATGGCAAAGAGAGAGGAAGAGGAGGAGCGGGAGGAGGAAACTGGGATGACAGGTATGGCCTCAGGCATGGGGCATGAGTATCACAGACACAGGGAGAAGCAGAAGGGGCACGAGAGGGGGCACGAGATGGGGCACGAAAGGGGGCACGAGAGGGGGCACGAGAGGGGGCACGAGAGGGGGCACGAGAGGGGGCACGAGAGGGGGCACGAGAGGGGGCACGAGAGGGGGCACGGAAGGGGCCATGGGAGGAGGCATCACGGGGGAGAGCATGAGCATGAGCATGAGCAGGATAGCGAGCGTGAGTTCAAGAGGGCTCGACGCGCGCATAGTGACGAGGATGTGGCAAGCAGAGAGAATGAGTATAGCGATGCTGCTGTGACACAGCGGGAACGAGAACGAGAACGAGAACGGGGACAGCATGGGAGGGAGGCGCATTACCCAGAGTCCTCGCAAGCTCTCGTTCTGATTGGCTCTCCAGCGCACCGACACAGCACACAGGAGCAGCACAGCTCAGCGCCCAGTCACCGCGAGTCAGCGCTGGGCCATGCTGACTCAGCGGCTGGTCAGCACGGGGCAGGGCCAGGTCACTCGACCCTGCCGCAACCCCCGGGGGAGGGGTACGCGTCTGGTTACTTTGGCGTGTTTCGTAACGGTAAGAAGTGGTCTGTGAAGGTTCCTATGGACGCTAAGCAGAGAGCCTTATATGGGGTATATCAGAAGCTGCACTGTGGCCAATGGGAGGATCTATATGAAGCAGCAGCGGCGGCGGAGGCGGCTTATTATGTGTTCAAAGGGGAGGGGAAGAGGGAGTTTAGGTTCCTAACTGAAGGGCAGAGAGAGATGTTGAGACATATGGGGGCGGATACTGCTGTTTGGTTGGTCAGGGAGAAGCGGTGGGCTGAATGGAAGGAGTGGAGAGGCGAGCGGGGGCCTATTCAGGCCCACTTGCCACAGCAGCAGCTGCAGGAGCAGCAGGAGCAACAGCAGCACCGGCAGCACCAGCAGCAGCAGCAGCAGCAGCAGCATCACCAACACCGGCCGCAACAGGAACAGCAGCAGCAGGCTAGCCAGGGGTGGTGGGAGGGGCGAAATGAGGGTGGGCTGTTGAAAGCGAAGGAGGAGGAGAGGAAAGACGGAGAGGGGAGCGGCAGTAGGAACTGGTTACAGCAGGGGCAGGGGCCAGGGCAGGGACAGGGGCAGGGGGGAGGGGAGCAAGTGGGTCTGTCACTACCCCAGCAGTGGCAACAGCAGCAGCAGCAGCACCATCAGCAGCAGGTGCAAGCGCAAGGGTGGATGGGGCAGGTTCCAATGCAGCAGCAGGGTAGCATAGCAGCACATCAGCAACAGCAGCAACAGCAGCAGCAACAGCAACAACAGGAGCATCAGCAGCAATGGCAGGGGCTGCAGCAGCCACTGTCCCAGCCTATGCAGCAGCAGCAGTGGCCGCAGCAACAATGGCATCAGGGACAGCAGCAGCAGCAGCAACAACAGTGGCAGCAGGGACAGCAGCAGCAGCTGCAAGCACAGCAACAGCAGCAACAGTGGCAGCAGCAGCAGCACGCGCAGCAGCAGCACGCGCAGCAGCAGCATCAGGGGCAGCAGCAGCAGCCACTATCCCTAGTTCCACTGCCCACACAGAAGTCCCCTCTGTCCCTCATCCCTGCCACTGCTGCTCCATCTGCCCCTCAAGCAGCCAAAAGCACCCCTACGAGCGCAGACGAGAGGGACCTAGCAGAAGGAGAGGAGGGTGAAGCAGGAGGTGGTGGTGCTGGTGGTGGGGGTGGGGGCGGTAACTCAAGCCATGTCTCCTGGGCGTCGGGGTACTATGGAGTGGCAAGAAACGGCCGGAAATGGGCAGCGAAACTTTCGATGAACGCTGACCAGAGGCAGAGGTACGCCGTAGGAAAAAGCATCCACTGCGGGCAGTATGAGGAAGTTTTGGAGGCGGCAGCGGCGGCCGAAGCGGCGAATTTCGTGTTCAAGGGAGGGAAGGGGCGGACTTTCAAGTTTCTGACTGAGCAGCAGAGGGAGGTGCTAGGGGAAATGGATCCGGATGAAGCGATGGTGATGATTAAGAATAAGACTTGGAAGGATTGGAAGGACTGGCGGCCGGGAGGGGTTGTGGTGAGGGGAGAGGTGGAGGGAGGGGGAAGCGGGGGAGGGGCGGGAGTGGGGGAGGTGGCTGGAGGAGGGGGTGGGATGGTGTCTGGGGTGAGGGAGATGGGGAGTGGAGCAGGAGGGGGAGCCCTTGGGGGGATGGAAGTAGGGGTTGGAGCAGGAGGTTTTGGAGGAGGAGTAGGGGCGGGGGCAGGCTCGGGAGTAGGTTCGGGAGCAGGTTCGGGAGCAGGGGGAGGAGTGGGAGGAGCAGCAGCAGCAGCAGCAGGGGGGTTTCCAAGCGGGTTTGTGCATGGAAGGATGGTGGTGGGGGGTGGGATTCACGAGGAGAGAATACAGTCAGGGAGCATTCCCATGCAGCCGGGAAGCATTGCAATGCAACCCGGAAATGTCGCCATGCAACCTGGTAGCAGTGGGAATTTTCTTGCTTATCCACCAGGGGTGGGGAATGTGACTGGTGCACAGGGTATGGGTCAAGATGGGGGGAGAGGAAGGGGAAACGTGAGGAGGGAGGAGGTTCAGGAGGAGGAGAAGAATTCGGATGAAGAGGAGGGAACGGGGGCGAAGGAGTGGAAAGAGTATGTTTTGCGGCTTGCCATGGGAAGTGGATAAGTGATCGAGGGGATACTGCGATCCAGAAATGGTATGCAGTACAATCCAGATAATATTTCTTGGGATAAGCTGTAGTGATATTTTTTTTGGCGATGTTCTAGAGAGTATGGGATGCATTATTGTTGAAAGTCTTCTTGCATGTTACATGTATAATAACCCATCCATGATATGTTGATCCACCCTTTTTCCAGCTTTGATGCTGATGTTGCCGAGTCAAGGGATCTATAAGAGCGTATTCCTATCCTCGTATCAAGAAAACGTCATATCAAGATTGTACTTTTTGCCTGGTAAAAGTAGCGAGAGGTATTGGGTTTAGGGGAATTTTTACTGGGATGTTGATATGAGGTTTTCTTGATACGAGGATAGGAATACGCTCTCAGTGTGACTAAAGGATCATTTCGATTGCCCTTGTGCCTGTAGTCCTTGATGTTCGCAAATCGCTTCAACGACACAGAAAACTCTTTGCCAAATCCCTAACCTCAAAATCCTTCTCCACACAGCCCCCTAAAATCCCCTCTTGGAGAGCAGGTTTCAAGGAGCCTAAAAATTCCGCCCCTAGGAGCAGAGAGAGGTATGCGCAGTGTGTCGAACGGGAGCTATATAGGAAGGTAAAGGTTGAAGCAGAGGAGGGAGGACAGCGATTAGAATTGAACGGGAGACCATAAGGTAGGTAAAATTTCAGCGAGAACGGAGGAGAGAAGTCAAGATGGAGCGAGAGAAGATGATAGAAATCAAGCGTGACCCAGAGGAGAGGCGGGCGGAGATCGACTTAAAAGTTGAACCCGAAAATTTCGAGAAGTCTAAAAAAACTTTTGCAGTGGAGATTAAAGTTGAACCCGAGCTCATAAGACTGGGTGGCGACAGAGAAGCCTCGCTCCTCCATCCGAACCACCCCGCGCCTCGCGCTGTATCTTCTGCCGAACCTACCGGTTTGGGAAACGCCGAGCCTCGCATCGTGAGGTGTGCCGAGCCTAGAGGTTTGGAGAACGCCGAGCCTCGAGAGCAGCTGCGGGAGGTTCATTCCGTGGGGTTGCTGCTTGCACCCGCGGTCGGTATTCCCAAGGGCCGGGTTAGACCCAAGCAGGAGCCTGCAGAGGAGGTGGGAAGCCATGGGCATAGGGATGAGGATGGGGATAGGCATAGAGATGGGCGTGGGGATGGGTCTGTTTTTAAGGCGCCTCGAAAGCTGGTCGGTATTCCCAAGGGCCTGGTTAGACCCAAGCAGGAGCCTGCAGAGGAGGTGGGAAGCCATGGGAATGGGGATGAGGATGGGGATGGGCATAGAGATAGGGATGGGCATGCAATTGTGTCTTTCTCCAAGGAAAGAGAGGGAGTGGTGGTGAAGAAAGAGGAGGGAGAGGAGGGGGAGATCAAAGAGGGGGAGGAAGAGGGGGAGGAAGAGGGGGAGGAAGAGGGGGAGGAAGGGGAGATTGAAGAGGCGGAGGTAGAGGAGATTAATGAGGGGGAAGAAGGGGAGATCAAAGAGGGGGAGGAAGAGGAGGAGGGTCGTATGGAGGGAAAACGGCATGTGGAGGTAAGCGTGCATGTGAAAAGGGAGGAGGGGGAGGAGGAAGATGAGGAGGAAGGAGAGGAGGTGGTGGTAGTGGACGAGTGGTACGAGGAGGTTGAGATGGGCGGGGAGGGGCAGAAAGAAGAGGAGGAGGGATGTGTGGAGGGAAAACGGCATGTGAAGGCAAGCGTGCATGTGAATAGGGAGGAGGGGGGAATGGAGGAGGAAGGAGAGGAGGGGGGAAATGGTGAGGAGGAAGATGAGGAGGTGGTGGTAGTGGACGAGTGGTATGAGGAGGTTGAGATGGGTGGGGAGGAGCAGAAGGAGGAAGAGGAGGAGGACTTGGAAGGAGAGAGGGAGGCGATGGGAAGGGGAGCAGTAAGAAAGGAGGCGGACGAGGGAGGAGAGGAGGAAGGCAAAGAGGAGGCGATAAGAGATGAGATGGGGAGAGGAGGTGGAAAAGGAGGGCAGAGTGGTCAGCTGGTGGTGCGTGTAAAGAAAGAGGAAGAGGAGGAGGAGAAGGAAGGAGTGGGGAGAGAGTTGGCACTGGTGGTGGTGCATGAAGCAAAGGAGGACAGGAAGGGGGAGGAAGAGGAGGAAGGGGGGGAAGAGGGGGAGTGGAGGGATGTAAATACGGAAAGACAAGTGCTAGTTGTGCTAGGTGGAGAGACAGGGGTGCTTGAGGTGATACCAGGGGACACAGGAGGGGGAGCAGGGTGGGAGGAAGCAGCAGCAGAAGAAGTGGCAGCAGCAGAAGCAGCGGCAGCAGCAGCGGCAGCAGCAGCGTTTGCATCAGCTTATTCCAACTTGCAGCGATGCTCCCAGTTCACACCTCCCCCACCCGCAAACACTTTTAAGGCTTCAGAGGCCTTGAGTGGGATGCAGCATGCAGCAGTGAATCTCAATCCATTGTCCATCCCTCCTGTGAAACTCACTCCGCCCTCCAACGCTGCGGCGATTATTGAGTCGGTTAAAAAAACATTGAAACCCACACCATCCTCCACCCCTACAGCAAAGTCCTCCCGCTCATCCGGGTACTTTGGAGTGGTTCGGGTGGGTTCCAAGTGGTCCGTGAACCTCTTCCTTAGCCAGGCTCAGCAGACCAAGTATGGTATCAGAGCATCAGCTCTCAACTGCGGGTCCTGGGAGGAAGGGGAGCTTCTAGAAGCCGCCGCAGCAGCAGAGGCGGCTTATCTGGTGCTGAAAGGGGAGAGGGGGATCGAGTTTAAGGTACTGAGGGAAGGGGAGAAGGAGATGCTAAGGCGGATGGGGTGGGAGGAGGCTGTGGGGATGATAAAGAGGAAGATGTGGCGGTGGTGGCGGGAGTGGGGTGGGAAGGTGACGGAAAAGGGGAAAGGTGAGAGGAGGAAGGGGGAAGGGAATGGGAATGAAGAGGGTGGGGAGGAGGAGTTGGGGGAGAAAGGGGAGGGGGAAAAGAGGAGGGAGGAGGGGGAAAAGAGGGGGGAAAAGCTGCAAGAGATGAACCATCAGCATGAGAGGCATGCTCTGGAGGAGACGCCTGTGCAGGAGACCGTTTCAGTCACTTGTGAGAATTCTCAAAAGGAGATGCCAAGGGAGTTGTCTAGAGGTGTTTACCACGACAAGACACCGGTCGTTACGAAGAAAAAGCAGGCGAATCCGTCTGGTTACATCGGCGTTACGAAGAACTACAGTGCGTGGGCCGTGCGCGTCCCATTAAACACAGAAAGGAGCGCCTTATATGGGGCAGGGAAGAAATTTTACTGCGGGCAGTGGGATGAATTAGAAGCAGCGGGAGCAGCAGCGGAAGCCGCTTATTTCGTGCTTATAGGGGAGAAAGAGATTCAAGAGCGGGGGATTAAGCTGCGGCTTTTAACTGAGAGGCAGAAGGAGACGCTTAGGCAGATGGATCCGTTCGAAGCAGTGAAGATGATAAAAGAGAAGAAGTGGAAGGAGTGGATGAAGTGGGTTCCTGAGGGAGTGACGGGTGCTGCTGCAGGTTGCTCGGATAGAGGAGATGTGCAACCGGCCGATGGCTTGGATAATACGAGTAGTAGGATTGTGGGCGGTGAGACGATTTTTGTGGCGCAACCAGCCGATGGCTTGCTTAATACGAGTAGTAGGATTGTGGGTGGCAGTGCAGTGATGTTTGAGTTGGCTGAAAAGGCACCTCGGCTTGTGGGTGGTGGCAGCGATGTAGTGCTGCAGAGGCAAAGGTGTGGGCAGTTGACCTCCCCGTTGCAGCAGCTGCCGTGTTTTGAGTCGACTCAAAACACCGAAAAGGCACCTCGGCTTGTGGGTGGTGGCAGCGATGCGGCGCTGCAGAGGCAAAGGTGCGGGCAGTTGACCTCCCCGTTGCAGCAGCTGGCGGCGCAGGGGCACAAGCAGGAGAGGCAGCAGCAACTAGGGGATCCGCACCCGCACCAACTCCTGCTGACGCTTCCTGACGATTCCCCGCAGCAGCAGCAGCAGCAGCGAGGGCAACTATTGCAAGAGCCACTCTCCTTGCCTTGCTCTTCTCTGCCCAAGAATGCCAAGGGAGGAACGAAAGACCTTCTGACAGGTCACTACACAATCAAGAAGGTCAGCAAGGGCGGCAGTACTGAAGGGTCTAGTATAAGTATCATAAGCAGCAATGGCACTGGTAGTGGTGGCACGAGCGACGGTGCAAGCAGTGGTGCTGGTAGTGCTGAGAGCAAGTGGCAGGCGGTGTTAAATTTCAGTGCGCACAAGAGCATGCGTTTTCGCGTCCCGGAGCGGTTTGTTTGCGGGGAATGGGACAGCTTTCGTGAGGCGGCAGCAGCAGCGGAGGCGGCGTGTCTGGCGATCAAAGGAGAGAAGAAGATTGCGTTTCAGGTGTTGGGTGAAAGGGAGAGGGAGGGGTTGAGAGGGTTGGGGAGGAGTGGTGCGGTGTGGATGATACGGGAGGGGGAGTGGGGGAGGTGGAGGGAGTGGAGGGTGGTGTTAGAGGAATTGATGGGGGGAAATGGGAGAAAGAGGGAGAGGGAACAGGAGGAGAGGGGGACGGAGATTGGGAGAGGGAAGAGGAGGCATGCTGTAAGTGGAAATGAGGCTTTTGCGTGCATCTCATAAAATACGAAGGTTATTGTTATTATAATTTTTAAAAGTGTAACACTTTTTCAAATTTCGTATTGTGAAAGCGAGGACGTGGCCAACGCAGCAAAGGTAGCGGCTCGATGCTACTCACCCCTCTTTTGCCTACAAAAGAGGAACGTGATTTCAGTAGCTCCACCCACGTTCTTCATTTCCAATTTCTAGTTTTACTTTCCTAGTTCTCGTTCATCCTGGCGAAGACACAGCCCCTCCCGCGGTTCAAGTCCCCGTCAACTCTTCTTACCGACATTCTTCAACACAACCTCGCGAGTATGGCTCCCGCCAACACTACACTTAATCGAGAGGCGGAAAAGACGACTACCCCGGGTAATACTTCGGAGCACGCGAACGCGCCCGGGGCACCCGACCGCCGCGGAAAACGCCATGCTGAGGACAATTTCGGCGAGGGCCCCTCAGGAGTCGAAGTTCTGCTCGGGAGCAACTCCCGAGCCCCCTCTGAAGAAGCACGCGCAACTGTGAAACAGTCGCGCGTGCCCCCTGCTGACGAGCGCGTGGCTGCCAGGCAGCCGCGCGGTCCGGTCAAGTCAACGGGGGCTGACGCGGACGGCGACGCTGGTCAGCCGGGGCCCACTCTGCAGAAGCGGCAGAAAGCAGCGGCCTCAGCAGAAACCGCCCCAGTCAACCCCCTCGCGTCCCTCACTGCGCAGCAAATGCAGATGCTGCTCTCGATGTTACAGCAGAACGCGCCGGTTACAATCGCAACTTCATCCGACTACATTTCAACACCTTCAAAAAATGAAAATCAGAAGGAAGTCACCGCCCCTCGCACCAACAAGGCGGCTCGCGTCAACGAGACCACTGCCGCACCACTTCCCGCGCCCGCACCTGCGCCGATCGCCGCTCAAGACGACAGCGACGACTCAGAGAACGAAGATGGTGAGGCCCCCAACAACATTACCCGCCGTCGTATTATTGCACCCCCACCCTCCCTCCCACCCCTCCACCCCACACCCGCATCCACCACCTTCATGCGCAAAGGTGTGCGCGATCAGGCGGAGGTCTTTTCTGCCATCCAGGCGCACCTGAAGCACGTCAATTTCAAGCTCCAGCACGGCGACATAGAAAGCGCCCTCACCAACGTCGCGGAAATCGAGACGCTCATCCACAAGCGCTTCGAAGTCCTATTGGTGGCGAACGAGGCGGGGTTCGAAGCTGCCGATCGTTTTCAGCTGTACCAGTCTAAGAGCGTTTTGACCTCACGCTCGTACAAGCTCGCCGTCGCCGATGTGGCGGCTCTCAAACGCGCACGGGCCGGCTACACTCGCGGCAACCGCATGCCCACCCGAGATGGCGACACGGAAGGCAAGGGCATGCCGCCCGCAAGCTGCCACGAACCCCGCTTCAAAGGGGTGTGCTTCCGCTGCGGCCAGCCCGGCCATATGGCGAATGCTTGCCCCATGGGAGGGCGAGGCGCTCAAGGCCCCTCACCCGTGGTGTGAGGAGGCACACGGGGCGGCGCCCCTTGCCACTATGCCAGGGGGCGTAGGTGGGAGCACTGGGGGTGCATAGTTGGTAGCTAGCATGAGCTAGGGGCTGAAGGCCGTAGAAATTCCTAGCCGGAAGGGCGGATATGGGGGTAGTACGTGCCATGTACCCATGTGTGGAGGCAAGTAATAAAAATTATCTTCTTATTGTTAAAAAAAAATGGGAAAGCAAGAAAGCTGAACCAAGGCAGCCACCCTGCAGCATGAACAGCCCTATGACTCAGAAGGAAAGAGTAAGGAGGACGGAGGAGGAAACCGAGATGGGAAAGAAACCAGGAGAGTACGGGGAGAGAGAGAGAGAGAGAGAGAGAGAGAGAGAGAGAGAGAGAGAGAGAGAGAGAGAGAGAGAGAGAGAGAGAGAAAGAGAGAGAATGAGAGAATGAGAGAAAGAGAGAGTGAAAGAGAGGGAGAGAGAGAGAGGGAGAGAGAGAGAGAGAGAGAGAGAGAGAGAGAGAGAGAGAGAGAGAGAGAGAGAGAGAGAGAGAGAGAGAGAGAGAGAGAGAGGGTCATGGAGTGAGGCCTCACGGACGAGGAGGCTCGTGATTAAAAAAAAAAAAAAAAAAAAAAAAACCAGACCCCCATCCCGGCTAAGAGGCCCGCCTAAGGATGCGCGGCAGCCCGTAGGGGATCGTTAAAAAAAAAAAAAAAAAAAAAAAAAAAAAAAAAACAAGGAGACAAGGAAGGTTGAGCAATACCTTATTCATAAGCCCACGGGTCGTCCCCATGACCAAAAGGCTAATCACCTAATACGCCCTACCCCGGCTGCCCCCAACGTGCAGTGGCAGACGACAAGTGGCAAGATGCGGAGTGGGACCCGTATGAGAACGCGGTCACGGACGGCACGGTGAAGGTCATGCGCAACCGATTGCGGAACCAACTCCACTGGTGGATATCGTGGTGCGACAGCAGTTTCATCATCTCAATCATTGCCAGGGGCTATTGGCTGCCTTGGAAGAACACCGAACCGCCACCCTTTGAAACCGCAAACCACGCAGGTGTCCACGCACACACGACGTTCACTCGTGAGGCCATTCGCGATTTAATCACATCAGGCGCGGCAATGAAGGTCTCCTCGCGGACCGAGCTCTCGTGCATAAGTCCACTCAACGTGGTGGAACAACGCGACAAATGCCGCCTCATCCTCGACCTACGCAAGGTCAATCAACAACTTCAAGTTCCCAAATTCAAATACGAAGGTTTAAATCGGGTCTCAGAGATTATTAGACGCAACGACTGGCTGTTCACCATCGACCTCAAATCGGGTTACCACCACGTCGAGATGCACCCCTCATGCTGGAAGTTCCTAGGCTTCCATTTTGAAGGCGAGTTATACTGCTTTCGAGCTCTGCCGTTCGGATTGGCAACAGCACCTTTCGTCTTCACCCAGTTGATCAAGCAACTGGCCAAACGCTGGCGTGCACGTGGCGTGCGTGTAGTACCATATGTCGACGACATGCTATTCCTCTGCGACTCCGCAGAGCAAGCGCGCAAGACATGCACAGAGGTTCTACACGATCTGGGGATGGCAGGTTTTGTGATCAACGAGAAGAAATCGCGCCTCCAGCCGGCCCATCAAACACGGTTTTTGGGGATGGAGCTTAACACGAAGTGCGGCACGTTCAGCATCGGGTCCGAACGGCGGGCACAGTTCCTAGAAACGCTCAACACGCTTATGTGCAAAGGGCAACGCGGCCAACAAGTCCCAATTCGGCAAGTCGCTAGTATCACCGGAATGTTGAGCTCCATGTCCCTAGCATTGGGCACGACGGCACGCGCCTTCAGCCACGAGCTGCTACATTTGATCGAGGCAGCGGCGTCTTGGCACTCAAGGATCCGGCTGCCACGGGCCGCCATCGAGGAGCTCATTTTTTGGCAACTGCACTTTGACCAATTTAACGGTGCCCCGTTTCACCTAAGCCATCAATTCGATGCGGTGATCCACGTCGACGCGAGCGCTCACAGCTGGGGCGCCATCCTCAGAAAGTTTGCCGACGCTTCGTACGAGGCAAGCGCCAGTATGCCAAGTGAGCTCCTCCCAACCTCAAGCACTCAAAGGGAGCTCGAGGGAGTCCTATGGGCGCTGCAGACATTTGCGGCCCACATCACCAATGGCCATGTCTTGGTCCGCGTGGACAACCAAGGAGTCATGTTCATCTTGCGCAAAGGGGGTTCCAGCCAACCCCGGCTGACACTGACATGTCAAGCGGTCATACAGTTCTGCCTCAAGAACCACACACGCCTGGCGATCGAATGGATCCCAAGGGAGCTAAATGCCCACGCGGACCAACTGTCCAAAATCCAGGACCATGACGACTACTCTCTGCAAACGCCATGGTTTCTCCTGCTGGAGCGTCGATGGGGTCCCCATACGATCGACCTTTTTGCGAACGCCAGCAACAAGAAGCTGCAACGATTTTGCTCCAAAATACCACACCCAAGCGCTACCGCAATCGACGCGTTCTCGATCTCATGGACAGGCGAGCGCTGCTTCGCATTTCCGCCCCCCGGCTTGATCCCGGCCACGCTTTCTCACGCCAGGCGCACACAAGCTGAGTTGACACTTGTTGTCCCTGAGTGGCCGGGAGCAGCATGGTGGCCGCTGCTACAACCCTCCCCACAAACATGGGCCCTAGAAGTGATCGCATGCTTGCGTCTCGCTCAAGGAAGCCAGTGCCTTCGACCTGGCTCGCACGCAACGGCATTCTCCGGACTCGGCCTGCCACATAGCCCAACCATTGCCTTGCGTGTAAAATACAACATGTAACTGATATTCGAATGCTAACTCTTTCAGGATTGCTGACCAAGCTTCAAAAGCAACTGTTACGAGTTATCACGCATGTTCGCGCGCCGTCCACGATCGAGACATACCAGCCATACTGGCTCAAGTTTCGCAACTTTTGCACTCAAGTCAAGTTGGTATTTCTGCCAGCAACGGACCTCACGCTAGCACTCTACCTAGTCCACGCGTTGAACAACAAGGCCACCATATCAGCGATCAGCCTCACATGCTCCGCCGTGGCCTTCGCACATCGGATGACCGGAGAGGCATCCCCAACGAACGGCCCGTTCACGCTGCAAGTACGAGAGTTTGCTAAGCGACATGGCCCCCGCCCGACAAGGACCAAGGAACCCGTGTCACTCCATCAGGTGCACAACATGGCACGACCCTTCCTGGAGTCAACGGTGCCGGCGGAATATCAGAAATGCTTGATACCTCTCTTGATGTTCGCAGCATTCCTGCGCTACTCCGATTTGATATCCCTCCAATGGAACGACATCCAGTTCGAAGGGGCGGCAATGTGGCTCCTAATCCCGTACTCCAAGACGGACCAGGAAGGCAAGGGCACGTGGATCCCGGTCGCGGCGACGGCAGGGCCTTACTGCGCAGTGAGATGCACACGGGAGTTCATTCGCATCGCAGGCCTCGCGAATACGCCACACGGGCCACTGATCCGGGTGTTCAACAAAGGGGCACAAGCCTCGCCGCATGACAAATCGCCTTCGTATACAACCATCCGGAGCTGGTGCCTCGAGGCTTGCAAGAAGGCAGGGCTGGACGCCACGCACATCGGAACACACTCCTTCCGCAAGGGCGCAGCAACAGCAGTAGCTGCCTTAGGCATCCCCGACCGGCTCTTCAAACGAATGGGTCGATGGCGAAGCGACGGCGCGAAGGACCTCTACGTCACCATCGCCCAAGACCAACTCATCGACCTCTCCACCCAGCTGCAGGACACCTCCACTGCCCCATCGCCTGTTAGCCACCAGCAGTCATTGGAGAGGCACCGCCGACCCATAATACACTTGCCTCAGAAGACCCATTTGGAATGAAGCACGCTGCCTTTGCAAGATGGACTAAGCAAAGCTTTCACAATATTATAAATTTTAAAAGTGTAACACTTTTTTAAATTTCGTATTGTGAAAGCGATGATGTGGCCAACGCAGCAAAGGTAGCGGCTCGACGCTACTCACCCCTCTTTTGCCTACAAAAGAGGAACGTGATTTCAGTAGCTCCACCCACGTTCTTCATTTCCAATTTCTAGTTTTACTTTCACACCACCCACCCCATTGTGTATCATTGATGGACGAGAACGTTGTAACTTTCCATTTGGAATGAAGCACGCTGCCCCATTTGGAATGAAACACGCTGCCTTTGCAAGATGGACTAAGCAAAGCTTTCACAATCTTATGAAAGTTACGTGCACTGGTACCGTACGTCACCCCATGGTATGGTGATAACTATGTTAAAACAAGTGGATACATTGATGTGTAGGTTCAAGTGGGCCTACGATTATAGAGGCAGCTTGTATTGCGCCAGCTGTACAGACCCGTTGGGCCAGCACATCTGTCCAATCACGCTCCTCTGAAAGTGAACAACTTTTCTGAAGCCGACGCGGAATCTCAACCGTTCGTTACGAGAAAAACTCTGCCCAGTTCAGCTCGGCAATATTCAGGGAATTCCGACGACCCATTTTCGTACAATTCCAGAACCACGGTTAGGTTTGGTGAGCTGCGGTCAGTAGCGGTGAGAAACCTAGACTGCTGGTTTAACGTATAAAGAACGCTCTAAACCGTACTGGGCGATCAGCAAGTAGTAGATGTCGCAGAACAATTTCAATTGCGCGAAACCGTAGCTAACCGACTATTAGCTCAAAGGTCATCCATGCTTGCTCGAGAAGCACGAGGAATCACAGTGGTTGATCTTGTTGCTGCTTTACATGTGCATACGATACTAGCACGTAATATGGACAATCTAGAAGAACTGGGACGAAACCTGTCGAGTCGCATTAGGTTGAAGGTAGCTCATCTCACCTAACGCCAACGATTACGGAGTTCTTGCTGCTTTTTTTACCATAAGCGCTGGTTCGTTCGATTAATAGTATTTCACCATTGGTGCGGATAGTTACCTGCTTACCCTGCTTGTAACTTGTACGAGGTGCACTGCGAAATCTTGGAAATTCGGAACGGAGGTTGATTGGCGTAAACCATACATGTATAAGTTTGCTGAAACAGCTGATTGGCCAGCCTGTCGAAACAGCTGATTGGACAGCCTGCTGAAACAGCTGATTCGCCAGCCTGCTGAAACAGCTAATTGGCATGAGACATGATGTCTGACTGACGCATATCCAGCTACTTCCTCCTGCCAACTCTCAACGTCGTGGCCGCTGATTGGCCAGTTTCCACGCGGCAGCTCCTAGTTGGCCGGTCGTTCCACCAATGGATGCGAGTCACTTAAAATGGCTACAGGGCATGGCACTGGTGGTGGCCGTGGCTTTAATCTGGATATCCGCGAGCTACATAGTGCAGGTAAGACAGAGAAGTGAGCTTATAGTGCGAATAGATCATAGAATAGAGAGCCTCTGGACGGGATTGCAGTGTACGAAATCTAAGTGCACACACTTACATCAGACTTATTTCTAATAAATGTACGGTTCTTCTCTTCTTCTTCTCTTCTTCTTCTCCTTCTCCTTCTTCCTTCTGTCCCGTTACTTCCTTTCCAGGCTGTGGTGGAAGATGGCCTGGCGCCCTTTATACTCACATACATCTGCAACTCGTTATTAGAGTCGACTCAAAATCGACCCTGCTGTACTTTTCTCCCGTGTGTCCCGTTACTTCCTTTCCAGGCTGTGGTGGAAGATGGCCTGGCGCCCTTTATACTCACATACATCTGCAACTCGTTATTCGTGCTCTACATCCCCGTTGTAGAGCTCTGGTGGTACCTCTTCGGAAAGGACGAGCCTGGAAGTGGTTCGTCCAAAAGCAAAACGGGCAGCAGAAAGGGCGATCCAGAAGGCCGTTTTGGCGGGAAAAGCAGTAGCAAGAACAATGAGGGTGGTGGTAACTTTGTAACTGGTAACAGTACGAGGAAGAAGAAGAAGAAAAGGGAGGACGGGGTGGGAGATGAGGAAGAAAGAGGGTTGTTGGTCGAAGGGGAGAAGGCGAGGGGATCTGGGGATACTGAAGAGGAGGGGAACGTTGGGGGGGTGATGGGGGAAGAAAGGAGAGGGGAGAAGGGAAAAGGCGCTCAGGGAGGGATGCTGGGGGTAGTGCACGGGCGAGTAGAGGGGGGTGGGTTGGAGGAGCAGAGAGAGGAGGGTGAGAAGGGGAAGCATGGGGAGCAGAGGGAGCAGGGGGAGCAGGGGGAGCAGGAGAAACAGGAGAAGGAGGCGCGGGGGGAGCGGGAGGAGCAGGGGCAGCAGGGGCAGGGGGGGCAGCAGGGAGCGCAGGGACAAGGGGAATTAGTGGAGGCAGTCGAATGGCGAGGTAGAGAAACACGGGAGGCAGCAGCGGAGCTGATTATAGAGGGGATAGAGCCAGGGCAAGGGGGGTTAGAGGCAGCACAAGAGGTGAAGGGCTTAGGGGAGATGGGAGAAGGAGTGGAGAGAAGAGGGGTTTACCAGGAACGGCCGAGTACTGCTGAGCTTCTAGGGCATATAGAAGTGGATGATTTGACTCAGGGTGTGACTATAAAGGGGGAAGGAAGTCAAGTAGAAGGGATTTTGCTGCACAGTGGTATTCCAGCTCATGCTGACGTGGACAGGAGGGCTCATGAGCTGGCAACCAGTCTCTCGCTTCACACTGCACTGACTCAATCCGCCAGCAAGGAGTCTGTCCAATCCAATTCGTCCACGTCAGCAGAAATTCTCGCCTCCCCCTCCTTCCGCCACTGGGGTCACCGATCCTTCGATGCAGGCTCGTTCAGGCTCTGGCTCGGCAGCCCAGGCTCGGGTCCGAGTCTCACACCAAGCCCTTCCGAGCGTAGAACTTCCGAGCCTAAGCAAGGACGGGAAAAAGACGTGCAGAATCAGCACCAGCGGCAGCAGCAGAAACAACAGGAGCATTCAGGATTGAGCTTGGGAAAAGCAGCAGCGTCACCTGTCCCAGCAGCAGCAGCGGAGGAGGCAAGGTGGACGAGGGCACGAGTGGCGGGAGTGAGTCTGGCCATCTGCCCCGTGTGGTTCCTCGCCCAGTTCACCTTCAACCTCTCGCTGGCTTACACCAGTGTCACGGTGAGTCGCCTGGGGCTCTTACAGGGCGTCTTTTCCCCTCTCTTAGTCTCCTGGGGCGACTTCTCCTTTCTTGAGTCGGCAGTAAAGTCACCTCGTGTGGTTCCTCGCCCAGTTCACCTTCAACCTCTCACTCGCTTACACCAGTGTCACGGTGAGTGTGTCACGGTGAGTGTCACGGTGAGTGTGTCACGGTGAGTGTGTCACGGTGAGTGTGTCACGGTGAGTGTGTCACGGTGAGTGTGTCACGGTGAGTGTGTCACGGTGAGTGTGTCACGGTGAGTCGAATCATTCAGGCCGTCTTCTCCCCCTGTCTTGAGTCCCATGGGGTATCTTCACTTCCCCCCTCTTGCTGAGACGTCTTTTGAGGCGCCTCAAAAGTGAGTCCCATGGGGTATCTTCACTTCCCCCCTCTTGCTGAGACGTCTTTTGAGGCGCCTCAAAAGTGAGTCCCATGGGGTATCTTCACTTCCCCCCTCTTGCTGAGACGTCTTTTGAGGCGCCTCAAAAGTGAGTCCCATGGGGTATCTTCACTTCCCCCCTCTTGCTGAGACGTCTTTTGAGGCGCCTCAAAAGTGAGTCCCATGGGGTATCTTCACTTCCCCCCTCTTGCTGAGACGTCTTTTGAGGCGCCTCAAAAGTGAGTCCTCCCATGGGGTATCTTCACTTCCCCCCTCTTGCGGAGTCCCACCATCTGCCCGATGTTGTTCCTCCCTTGCCCAGATCACCTTCGATTGCTCACACCAGTGTCACTGTGAGTCCACTTGTATGCGTCGTCTTATCCCCAACTCCACTCTGCCATCTCTGTCAGTCCACTTGTATGCGGCGTCTTATCCCCAACTCCACTCTGGCATCTCTGTCAGTCCACTTGTATGCGGCGTCTTATCCCCAACTCCACTCTGGCATCTCTGTCAGTCCACTTGTATGCGGCGTCTTATCCCCAACTCCACTCTGGCATCTCTGTCAGTCCACTTGTATGCGGCGTCTTATCCCCAACTCCACTCTGGCATCTCTGTCAGTCCACTTGTATGCGGCGTCTTATCCCCAGCTCCACTCTGCCATCTCTGTCAGTCCACTTGTATGCGACGTCTTATGAGGCGCCTCAAAAACAACCTCTCGCTGGCCTACACCAGTGTCACTGGGAGTCCACTTGCATGCGACGTCTTATCCCCAATTATGCTCTAGCATCTCTGGAAGTCTCCTCCCAACCAATCGCTGACTTCCCACTTCAAACCCCCACCCCCCTCTCCGCACCCCCCTTCTCCATCAGTCCAACACCATTCTCAGCTACACGTCAAGCCTCTTCACCTTTGCTCTCTCCGTCCCTCCTTCACGAGCGCTTCTTTCTCCTCTCAGCTGTATCCTTCCCTCCTTTCCCCTCCCCTCCCCTCCTCCCTGCTCCCTCCACCCCCACTCCCCTCTCTCTCCCCCGCTTCCCCTCCAGTCCAACACCATTCTCAGCTGCACGTCAAGCCTCTTCACCTTTGCTCTCTCCGTCCCTCCTTCACGAGCGCTTCTTTCTCCTCTCAGCTGTATCCTTCCCTCCTTTCCCCTCCCCTCCTCCCCGCTCCCTCCACCCCCACTCCCCTCTCTCTCCCCCGCTTCCCCACCAGTCCAACACCATTCTCAGCTGCACGTCAAGCCTCTTCACCTTTGCCCTCTCCGTCCCTCCTGCACGAGCGCTTCTGCCTGCGCAAGCTGCTCTCCGTGCTGCTCTGTGTGGCTCTCTGCTGTGCTTCTCGGTTCTGCTCGGTTCTGCTTTCTGTTCCTGACTCCCCACACCCACTTCTGCCTCTCCTCCCCGCTCCCTCCCCTCCTCCCCTCCTCCCCTCTCCTCCCCCCCCCCCCCCTTTCCCCCCACCCCCTTCCCCGCCACCAGTCCAACACCATTCTCAGCTGCACGTCAAGCCTCTTCACCTTTGCTCTCTCCGTCCCTCCTTCACGAGCGCTTCTGCCTGCGCAAGCTGCTCTCCGTGCTGCTCTGTGTGGCTTTCTGTTGTGCTGCTTGGTGCTGCACTCGGTTCCACACTTATGTCTCTCCTCTGGATCGCTGTATCCTTCCCTCCTTTCCCCTCCCCTCCTCCCCGCTCCGTCCTCCCCCACTCCCCTCTCCCCCCCTCCTTCAGTCCAACACCATTCTCAGCTGCACGTCAAGCCTCTTCACCTTTGCTCTCTCCGTCTACCTCCTTCACGAGCGCTTCTGCCTGCGCAAGCTGCTCTCCGTGCTGCTCTGTGTGGCCGGCACCGTTGTTGTCGCCCTGGCAGACCAAGCCCAGGCCAGCAACACTCTAAACGCCGCACTTAGCAACCTAAGCGCCAGCGGCGGTTTTAACAACAGCAATTTCAACAGCAGCGACAGCAGCAGTAGCAGTGGCGCAGGGCTAAGTGGCAGTGGGAATAGCACAGGTTTTGGCGCCGGTGGTGGCGGTGGTGGGAATGCGTTTGATGCTGCTGCGGTGGCAGAGGCGAGTGCAGCAGTTGCGAGTAACGCAAGGGAGAGTCTGTTTGGCGATGTGCTGGTTCTCATGTCAGCTGGTTTCTACGCTCTCTATACCACCATGCTTCGGTCTTTCACCCCTGCTGAAGGCGGGTTTGAGGAGATGGGCGAGGAGGGGATGGAGGGAGGGGAGAAGGAGGGAGTGAGAAGGGGAGGGAGCGGAGAGGAGGAGCGAGGGGAGGAGGGACGCGTGGAATCGGGAGGTAGGGGATTTGATGTGGCTGAATCAGGGAGCGGGAAAGCAGAGGTGGAACAGGAGGAAAAGGCGGGAGAGGAAAGGGAAATAGAAGAGCACAAGGAGGAGAAAGGGGAGGGGGAGAAGGTGGGGAAAGGGGAGGAGGAAGGAGACGAGCAAAAGGATGGGGAGGGGAAGGGCGTAAAGAAGAGGAGGGATGCAGAAGAGGAAGGAGGAGAGGAGGAGGAAGAGGAGGAGGAGGAGGAAGAGGAGGAGGAGGAGGAGGTACCATTCAGCACAGCGCTCATGTTTGGGTATCTGGGACTCTTCAACCTCTTCCTGCTGGCGCCTGTGGGGCTGCTGGTGCAGTGGGTGCGAGGGGAGTGGTTTGCCTGGCCCGACGCCTCCCAGTGGACGCTAGTCATTGCCAAAGGTACGCCTCCCTACCCTGCCACTAGAGTGGTGTGATCTCACCAAGGTGCCTTGACTGCGCACCTGAGAGAGGGTGCGAGGGGAGTGGTTTGCCTGGCCCGACTCTTCCCAGTGGGCTCTAGTCATTGCCAAAGGTACGCCTCTCCCTATCCTACCAGCAGAAGCAAGGGTGAGTATCTGGGCCTCTTCAACCTCTTCTTTTTGGCGCCTGTGGGGCTGCTGGTGCAGTGGGTGCGAGGGGAGTGGTTTGCCTGGCCCGACGCCTCCCAGTGGGCTCTAGTCATTGCCAAAGGTACGCATTCCTACCCTTCCCTTAGAGGTACGTTTTAAGGTGGGCTGGGGGTTTCTTCAACCCAACCTCTTCCTCCTCGCACCCGTGCGGCTGTTAGTGCAGTGGGTGCGAGGGGAGTGGTTCGCATAGCCTGAAGCATCCCAGTAGGGGCTTGTCATTGCCGAAGGTACGCCTGCCTACTCTACCAGCTAAGGCACAGGTGTGCTGGTAGAGAGGCACAGGTGTGCTGGTAGAGAGGCACAGGTGTGCTGGTAGAGAGGCACAGGTGTGCTGGTAGAGAGGCACAGGTGTGCTGGTAGAGAGGCACAGGTGTGCTGGTAGAGAGGCACAGGTGTGCTGGTAGAGAGGAACAGGTGTGCTGGTAGAGAGGCACAGGTGTGCTGGTAGAGAGGCACAGGTGTGCTGGTAGAGAGGCACAGGTGTGCTGGTAGAGAGGCACAGGTGTGCTGGTAGAGAGGCACAGGTGTGCTGGTAGAGAGGCACAGGTGTGCTGGTAGAGAGGCACAGGTGTGCTGGTAGAGAGGCACAGGTGTGCTGGTAGAGAGGCACAGGTGTGCTGGTAGAGAGGCACAGGTGTGCTGGTAGAGAGGCACAGGTGTGCTGGTAGAGAGGCACAGGTGTGCTGGTAGAGAGGCACAGGTGTGCTGGTAGAGAGGCACAGGTGTGCTGGTAGAGAGGCACAGGTGTGCTGGTAGAGAGGCACAGGTGTGCTTGGTAGAGAGGCACAGGTGTGTTGGTAGAGAGGCACAGGTGTGTTGGTAGAGAGGCACAGGTGTGTTGGTAGAGAGGCACAGGTGTGTTGGTAGAGAGGCACAGGTGTGTTGGTAGAGAGGCACAGGTGTGCTGGTAGAGAGGCACAGGTGTGCTGGTAGAGAGGCACAGGTGTGTTGGTAGAGAGGCACAGGTGTGCTGGTAGAGAGGCACAGGTGTGCTGGTAGAGAGGCACAGGTGTGCTGGTAGAGAGGCACAGGTGTGCTGGTAGAGAGGCACAGGTGTGTTGGTAGAGAGGCACAGGTGTGTTGGTAGAGAGGCACAGGTGTGTTGGTAGAGAGGCACAGGTGTGTTGGTAGAGAGGCACAGGTGTGTTGGTAGAGAGGCACAGGTGTGTTGGTAGAGAGGCACAGGTGTGTTGGTAGAGAGGCACAGGTGTGTTGGTAGAGAGGCACAGGTGTGCTGGTAGAGAGGCACAGGTGTGCTGGTAGAGAGGCACAGGTGTGCTGGTAGAGAGGCACAGGTGTGCTGGTAGAGAGGCACAGGTGTGCTGGTAGAGAGGCACAGGTGTGCTGGTAGAGAGGCACAGGTGTGCTGGTAGAGAGGCACAGGTGTGCTGGTAGAGAGGCACAGGTGTGCTGGTAGAGAGGCACAGGTGTGCTGGTAGAGAGGCACAGGTGTGCTGGTAGAGAGGCACAGGTGTGCTGGTAGAGAGGCACAGGTGTGCTGGTAGAGAGGCACAGGTGTGCTGGTAGAGAGGCACAGGTGTGCTGGTAGAGAGGCACAGGTGTGCTGGTAGAGAGGCACAGGTGTGCTGGTAGAGAGGCACAGGTGTGCTGGTAGAGAGGCACAGGTGTGCTGGTAGAGAGGCACAGGTGTGCTGGTAGAGAGGCACAGGTGTGCTGGTAGAGAGGCACAGGTGTGCTGGTAGAGAGGCACAGGTGTGCTGGTAGAGAGGCACAGGTGTGCTGGTAGAGAGGCACAGGTGTGCTGGTAGAGAGGCACAGGTGTGCTGGTAGAGAGGCACAGGTGTGCTGGTAGAGAGGCACAGGTGTGCTGGTAGAGAGGCACAGGTGTGCTGGTAGAGAGGCACAGGTGTGCTGGTAGAGAGGCACAGGTGTGTTGGTAGAGAGGCACAGGTGTGTTGGTAGAGAGGCACAGGTGTGCTGGTAGAGAGGCACAGGTGTGCTGGTAGAGAGGCACAGGTGTGCTGGTAGAGAGGCACAGGTGTGCTGGTAGAGAGGCACAGGTGTGTTGGTAGAGAGGCACAGGTGTGTTGGTAGAGAGGCACAGGTGTGCTGGTAGAGAGGCACAGGTGTGTTGGTAGAGAGGCACAGGTGTGTTGGTAGAGAGGCACAGGTGTGCTGGTAGAGAGGCACAGGTGTGCTGGTAGAGAGGCACAGGTGTGTTGGTAGAGAGGCACAGGTGTGCTGGTAGAGAGGCACAGGTGTGTTGGTAGAGAGGCACAGGTGTGCTGGTAGAGAGGCACAGGTGTGCTGGTAGAGAGGCACAGGTGTGCTGGTAGAGAGGCACAGGTGTGCTGGTAGAGAGGCACAGGTGTGCTGGTAGAGAGGCACAGGTGTGCTGGTAGAGAGGCACAGGTGTGCTGGTAGAGAGGCACAGGTGTGCTGGTAGAGAGGCACAGGTGTGCTGGTAGAGAGGCACAGGTGTGCTGGTAGAGAGGCACAGGTGTGCTGGTAGAGAGGCACAGGTGTGCTGGTAGAGAGGCACAGGTGTGCTGGTAGAGAGGCACAGGTGTGCTGGTAGAGAGGCACAGGTGTGCTGGTAGAGAGGCACAGGTGTGCTGGTAGAGAGGCACAGGTGTGCTGGTAGAGAGGCACAGGTGTGCTGGTAGAGAGGCACACGTGTGCTGGTAGAGAGGCACAGGTGTGCTGGTAGAGAGGCACAGGTGTGCTGGTAGAGAGGCACAGGTGTGCTGGTAGAGAGGCACAGGTGTGCTGGTAGAGAGGCACAGGTGTGCTGGTAGAGAGGCACAGGTGTGCTGGTAGAGAGGCACAGGTGTGCTGGTAGAGAGGCACAGGTGTGCTGGTAGAGAGGCACAGGTGTGCTGGTAGAGAGGCACAGGTGTGCTGGTAGAGAGGCACAGGTGTGCTGGTAGAGAGGCACAGGTGTGCTGGTAGAGAGGCACAGGTGTGCTGGTAGAGAGGCACAGGTGTGCTGGTAGAGAGGCACAGGTGTGCTGGTAGAGAGGCACAGGTGTGCTGGTAGAGAGGCACAGGTGTGCTGGTAGAGAGGCACAGGTGTGCTGGTAGAGAGGCACAGGTGTGCTGGTAGAGAGGCACAGGTGTGCTGGTAGAGAGGCACAGGTGTGCTGGTAGAGAGGCACAGGTGTGCTGGTAGAGAGGCACAGGTGTGCTGGTAGAGAGGCACAGGTGTGCTGGTAGAGAGGCACAGGTGTGCTGGTAGAGAGGCACAGGTGTGCTGGTAGAGAGGCACAGGTGTGCTGGTAGAGAGGCACAGGTGTGCTGGTAGAGAGGCACAGGTGTGCTGGTAGAGAGGCACAGGTGTGCTGGTAGAGAGGCACAGGTGTGCTGGTAGAGAGGCACAGGTGTGCTGGTAGAGAGGCACAGGTGTGCTGGTAGAGAGGCACAGGTGTGCTGGTAGAGAGGCACAGGTGTGCTGGTAGAGAGGCACAGGTGTGCTGGTAGAGAGGCACAGGTGTGCTGGTAGAGAGGCACAGGTGTGCTGGTAGAGAGGCACAGGTGTGCTGGTAGAGAGGCACAGGTGTGCTGGTAGAGAGGCACAGGTGTGCTGGTAGAGAGGCACAGGTGTGCTGGTAGAGAGGCACAGGTGTGCTGGTAGAGAGGCACAGGTGTGCTGGTAGAGAGGCACACGTGTGCTGGTAGAGAGGCACAGGTGTGCTGGTAGAGAGGCACAGGTGTGCTGGTAGAGAGGCACAGGTGTGCTGGTAGAGAGGCACAGGTGTGCTGGTAGAGAGGCACAGGTGTGCTGGTAGAGAGGCACAGGTGTGCTGGTAGAGAGGCACAGGTGTGCTGGTAGAGAGGCACAGGTGTGCTGGTAGAGAGGCACAGGTGTGCTGGTAGAGAGGCACAGGTGTGCTGGTAGAGAGGCACAGGTGTGCTGGTAGAGAGGCACAGGTGTGCTGGTAGAGAGGCACAGGTGTGCTGGTAGAGAGGCACAGGTGTGCTGGTAGAGAGGCACAGGTGTGCTGGTAGAGAGGCACAGGTGTGCTGGTAGAGAGGCACAGGTGTGCTGGTAGAGAGGCACAGGTGTGCTGGTAGAGAGGCACAGGTGTGCTGGTAGAGAGGCACAGGTGTGCTGGTAGAGAGGCACAGGTGTGCTGGTAGAGAGGCACAGGTGTGCTGGTAGAGAGGCACAGGTGTGCTGGTAGAGAGGCACAGGTGTGCTGGTAGAGAGGCACAGGTGTGCTGGTAGAGAGGCACAGGTGTGCTGGTAGAGAGGCACAGGTGTGCTGGTAGAGAGGCACAGGTGTGCTGGTAGAGAGGCACAGGTGTGCTGGTAGAGAGGCACAGGTGTGCTGGTAGAGAGGCACAGGTGTGCTGGTAGAGAGGCACAGGTGTGCTGGTAGAGAGGCACAGGTGTGCTGGTAGAGAGGCACAGGTGTGCTGGTAGAGAGGCACAGGTGTGCTGGTAGAGAGGCACAGGTGTGCTGGTAGAGAGGCACAGGTGTGTTGGTAGAGAGGCACAGGTGTGCTGGTAGAGAGGCACAGGTGTGCTGGTAGAGAGGCACAGGTGTGCTGGTAGAGAGGCACAGGTGTGCTGGTAGAGAGGCACAGGTGTGCTGGTAGAGAGGCACAGGTGTGTTGGTAGAGAGGCACAGGTGTGCTGGTAGAGAGGCACAGGTGTGCTGGTAGAGAGGCACAGGTGTGCTGGTAGAGAGGCACAGGTGTGCTGGTAGAGAGGCACAGGTGTGCTGGTAGAGAGGCACAGGTGTGCTGGTAGAGAGGCACAGGTGTGTTGGTAGAGAGGCACAGGTGTGCTGGTAGAGAGGCACAGGTGTGTTGGTAGAGAGGCACAGGTGTGCTGGTAGAGAGGCACAGGTGTGCTGGTAGAGAGGCACAGGTGTGCTGGTAGAGAGGCACAGGTGTGTTGGTAGAGAGGCACAGGTGTGCTGGTAGAGAGGCACAGGTGTGCTGGTAGAGAGGCACAGGTGTGCTGGTAGAGAGGCACAGGTGTGCTGGTAGAGAGGCACAGGTGTGCTGGTAGAGAGGCACAGGTGTGCTGGTAGAGAGGCACAGGTGTGCTGGTAGAGAGGCACAGGTGTGCTGGTAGAGAGGCACAGGTGTGCTGGTAGAGAGGCACAGGTGTGCTGGTAGAGAGGCACAGGTGTGCTGGTAGAGAGGCACAGGTGTGCTGGTAGAGAGGCACAGGTGTGCTGGTAGAGAGGCACAGGTGTGCTGGTAGAGAGGCACAGGTGTGCTGGTAGAGAGGCACAGGTGTGCTGGTAGAGAGGCACAGGTGTGTTGGTAGAGAGGCACAGGTGTGCTGGTAGAGAGGCACAGGTGTGCTGGTAGAGAGGCACAGGTGTGCTGGTAGAGAGGCACAGGTGTGCTGGTAGAGAGGCACAGGTGTGCTGGTAGAGAGGCACAGGTGTGCTGGTAGAGAGGCACAGGTGTGTTGGTAGAGAGGCACAGGTGTGCTGGTAGAGAGGCACAGGTGTGTTGGTAGAGAGGCACAGGTGTGCTGGTAGAGAGGCACAGGTGTGTTGGTAGAGAGGCACAGGTGTGTTGGTAGAGAGGCACAGGTGTGTTGGTAGAGAGGCACAGGTGTGTTGGTAGAGAGGCACAGGTGTGCTGGTAGAGAGGCACAGGTGTGCTGGTAGAGAGGCACAGGTGTGCTGGTAGAGAGGCACAGGTGTGTTGGTAGAGAGGCACAGGTGTGCTGGTAGAGAGGCACAGGTGTGTTGGTAGAGAGGCACAGGTGTGCTGGTAGAGAGGCACAGGTGTGCTGGTAGAGAGGCACAGGTGTGCTGGTAGAGAGGCACAGGTGTGCTGGTAGAGAGGCACAGGTGTGCTGGTAGAGAGGCACAGGTGTGCTGGTAGAGAGGCACAGGTGTGTTGGTAGAGAGGCACAGGTGTGCTGGTAGAGAGGCACAGGTGTGTTGGTAGAGAGGCACAGGTGTGCTGGTAGAGAGGCACAGGTGTGTTGGTAGAGAGGCACAGGTGTGTTGGTAGAGAGGCACAGGTGTGTTGGTAGAGAGGCACAGGTGTGTTGGTAGAGAGGCACAGGTGTGCTGGTAGAGAGGCACAGGTGTGCTGGTAGAGAGGCACAGGTGTGCTGGTAGAGAGGCACAGGTGTGCTGGTAGAGAGGCACAGGTGTGCTGGTAGAGAGGCACAGGTGTGTTGGTAGAGAGGCACAGGTGTGCTGGTAAAGAGGCACAGGTGTGCTGGTAGAGAGGCACAGGTGTGCTGGTAGAGAGGCACAGGTGTGTTGGTAGAGAGGCACAGGTGTGCTGGTAGAGAGGCACAGGTGTGTTGGTAGAGAGGCACAGGTGTGCTGGTAGAGAGGCACAGGTGTGCTGGTAGAGAGGCACAGGTGTGCTGGTAGAGAGGCACAGGTGTGCTGGTAGAGAGGCACAGGTGTGCTGGTAGAGAGGCACAGGTGTGCTGGTAGAGAGGCACAGGTGTGCTGGTAGAGAGGCACAGGTGTGCTGGTAGAGAGGCACAGGTGTGCTGGTAGAGAGGCACAGGTGTGCTGGTAGAGAGGCACAGGTGTGCTGGTAGAGAGGCACAGGTGTGCTGGTAGAGAGGCACAGGTGTGCTGGTAGAGAGGCACAGGTGTGCTGGTAGAGAGGCACAGGTGTGTTGGTAGAGAGGCACAGGTGTGCTGGTAGAGAGGCACAGGTGTGCTGGTAGAGAGGCACAGGTGTGCTGGTAGAGAGGCACAGGTGTGCTGGTAGAGAGGCACAGGTGTGTTGGTAGAGAGGCACAGGTGTGCTGGTAGAGAGGCACAGGTGTGCTGGTAGAGAGGCACAGGTGTGCTGGTAGAGAGGCACAGGTGTGCTGGTAGAGAGGCACAGGTGTGCTGGTAGAGAGGCACAGGTGTGCTGGTAGAGAGGCACAGGTGTGCTGGTAGAGAGGCACAGGTGTGCTGGTAGAGAGGCACAGGTGTGTTGGTAGAGAGGCACAGGTGTGCTGGTAGAGAGGCACAGGTGTGTTGGTAGAGAGGCACAGGTGTGCTGGTAGAGAGGCACAGGTGTGCTGGTAGAGAGGCACAGGTGTGCTGGTAGAGAGGCACAGGTGTGCTGGTAGAGAGGCACAGGTGTGCTGGTAGAGAGGCACAGGTGTGCTGGTAGAGAGGCACAGGTGTGCTGGTAGAGAGGCACAGGTGTGCTGGTAGAGAGGCACAGGTGTGCTGGTAGAGAGGCACAGGTGTGCTGGTAGAGAGGAACAGGTGTGCTGGTAGAGAGGCACAGGTGTGCTGGTAGAGAGGCACAGGTGTGCTGGTAGAGAGGCACAGGTGTGCTGGTAGAGAGGCACAGGTGTGCTGGTAGAGAGGCACAGGTGTGCTGGTAGAGAGGCACAGGTGTGCTGGTAGAGAGGCACAGGTGTGCTGGTAGAGAGGCACAGGTGTGCTGGTAGAGAGGCACAGGTGTGCTGGTAGAGAGGCACACGTGTGCTGGTAGAGAGGCACAGGTGTGCTGGTAGAGAGGCACAGGTGTGCTGGTAGAGAGGCACAGGTGTGCTGGTAGAGAGGCACAGGTGTGCTGGTAGAGAGGCACAGGTGTGCTGGTAGAGAGGCACAGGTGTGCTGGTAGAGAGGCACAGGTGTGCTGGTAGAGAGGCACAGGTGTGCTGGTAGAGAGGCACAGGTGTGTTGGTAGAGAGGCACAGGTGTGTTGGTAGAGAGGCACAGGTGTGCTGGTAGAGAGGCACAGGTGTGTTGGTAGAGAGGCACAGGTGTGCTGGTAGAGAGGCACAGGTGTGCTGGTAGAGAGGCACAGGTGTGCTGGTAGAGAGGCACAGGTGTGTTGGTAGAGAGGCACAGGTGTGCTGGTAGAGAGGCACAGGTGTGTTGGTAGAGAGGCACAGGTGTGCTGGTAGAGAGGCACAGGTGTGCTGGTAGAGAGGCACAGGTGTGCTGGTAGAGAGGCACAGGTGTGCTGGTAGAGAGGCACAGGTGTGCTGGTAGAGAGGCACAGGTGTGCTGGTAGAGAGGCACAGGTGTGCTGGTAGAGAGGCACAGGTGTGCTGGTAGAGAGGCACAGGTGTGCTGGTAGAGAGGCACAGGTGTGCTGGTAGAGAGGCACAGGTGTGCTGGTAGAGAGGCACAGGTGTGCTGGTAGAGAGGCACAGGTGTGCTGGTAGAGAGGCACAGGTGTGCTGGTAGAGAGGCACAGGTGTGCTGGTAGAGAGGCACAGGTGTGCTGGTAGAGAGGCACAGGTGTGCTGGTAGAGAGGCACAGGTGTGCTGGTAGAGAGGCACAGGTGTTCTGGTAGAGAGGCACAGGTGTGTTGGTAGAGAGGCACAGGTGTGCTGGTAGAGAGGCACAGGTGTGTTGGTAGAGAGGCACAGGTGTGCTGGTAGAGAGGCACAGGTGTGCTGGTAGAGAGGCACAGGTGTGCTGGTAGAGAGGCACAGGTGTGTTGGTAGAGAGGCACAGGTGTGCTGGTAGAGAGGCACAGGTGTGCTGGTAGAGAGGCACAGGTGTGCTGGTAGAGAGGCACAGGTGTGCTGGTAGAGAGGCACAGGTGTGCTGGTAGAGAGGCACAGGTGTGCTGGTAGAGAGGCACAGGTGTGCTGGTAGAGAGGCACAGGTGTGTTGGTAGAGAGGCACAGGTGTGTTGGTAGAGAGGCACAGGTGTGCTGGTAGAGAGGCACAGGTGTGCTGGTAGAGAGGCACAGGTGTGTTGGTAGAGAGGCACAGGTGTGCTGGTAGAGAGGCAGGTGGGGTAGAGAGGCACAGGTGTGTTGGTAGAGAGGCACAGGTGTGCTGGTAGAGAGGCACAGGTGTGCTGGTAGAGAGGCACAGGTGTGCTGGTAGAGAGGCACAGGTGTGCTGGTAGAGAGGCACAGGTGTGCTGGTAGAGAGGCACAGGTGTGTTGGTAGAGAGGCACAGGTGTGCTGGTAGAGAGGCACAGGTGTGTTGGTAGAGAGGCACAGGTGTGCTGGTAGAGAGGCACAGGTGTGCTGGTAGAGAGGCACAGGTGTGCTGGTAGAGAGGCACAGGTGTGCTGGTAGAGAGGCACAGGTGTGCTGGTAGAGAGGCACAGGTGTGCTGGTAGAGAGGCACAGGTGTGCTGGTAGAGAGGCACAGGTGTGCTGGTAGAGAGGCACAGGTGTGCTGGTAGAGAGGCACAGGTGTGCTGGTAGAGAGGCACAGGTGTGTTGGTAGAGAGGCACAGGTGTGCTGGTAGAGAGGCACAGGTGTGTTGGTAGAGAGGCACAGGTGTGCTGGTAGAGAGGCACAGGTGTGCTGGTAGAGAGGCACAGGTGTGCTGCTAGAGAGGCACAGGTGTGTTGGTAGAGAGGCACAGGTGTGCTGGTAGAGAGGCACAGGTGTGTTGGTAGAGAGGCACAGGTGTGGCTGGTAGAGAGGCACAGGTGTGCTGGTAGAGAGGCACAGGTGTGCTGGTAGAGAGGCACTCCAGGTGTGCTGGTAGAGAGGCACAGGTGTGCTGGTAGAGAGGCACAGGTGTGCTTGGTAGAGAGGCACAGGTGTGTTGGTAGAGAGGCACAGGTGTGTTGGTAGAGAGGCACAGGTGTGCTGGTAGAGAGGCACAGGTGTGCTGGTAGAGAGGCACAGGTGTGCTGGTAGAGAGGCACAGGTGTGCTGGTAGAGAGGCACAGGTGTGCTGGTAGAGAGGCACAGGTGTGCTGGTAGAGAGGCACAGGTGTGCTGGTAGAGAGGCACAGGTGTGCTGGTAGAGAGGCACAGGTGTGCTGGTAGAGAGGCACAGGTGTGCTGGTAGAGAGGCACAGGTGTGCTGGTAGAGAGGCACAGGTGTGCTGGTAGAGAGGCACAGGTGTGTTGGTAGAGAGGCACAGGTGTGCTGGTAGAGAGGCACAGGTGTGCTGGTAGAGAGGCACAGGTGTGCTGGTAGAGAGGCACAGGTGTGCTGGTAGAGAGGCACAGGTGTGCTGGTAGAGAGGCACAGGTGTGCTGGTAGAGAGGCACAGGTGTGCTGGTAGAGAGGCACAGGTGTGCTGGTAGAGAGGCACAGGTGTGCTGGTAGAGAGGCACAGGTGTGCTGGTAGAGAGGCACAGGTGTGCTGGTAGAGAGGCACAGGTGTGCTGGTAGAGAGGCACAGGTGTGCTGGTAGAGAGGCACAGGTGTGTTGGTAGAGAGGCACAGGTGTGTTGGTAGAGAGGCACAGGTGTGCTGGTAGAGAGGCACAGGTGTGCTGGTAGAGAGGCACAGGTGTGTTGGTAGAGAGGCACAGGTGTGCTGGTAGAGAGGCACAGGTGTGTTGGTAGAGAGGCACAGGTGTGCTGGTAGAGAGGCACAGGTGTGCTGGTAGAGAGGCACAGGTGTGCTGGTAGAGAGGCACAGGTGTGCTGGTAGAGAGGCACAGGTGTGTTGGTAGAGAGGCACAGGTGTGTTGGTAGAGAGGCACAGGTGTGCTGGTAGAGAGGCACAGGTGTGTTGGTAGAGAGGCACAGGTGTGCTGGTAGAGAGGCACAGGTGTGCTGGTAGAGAGGCACAGGTGTGCTGGTAGAGAGGCACAGGTGTGCTGGTAGAGAGGCACAGGTGTGCTGGTAGAGAGGCACAGGTGTGCTGGTAGAGAGGCACAGGTGTGCTGGTAGAGAGGCACAGGTGTGCTGGTAGAGAGGCACAGGTGTGCTGGTAGAGAGGCACAGGTGTGTTGGTAGAGAGGCACAGGTGTGCTGGTAGAGAGGTACAGGTGTGCTGGTAGAGAGGCACAGGTGTGCTGGTAGAGAGGCACAGGTGTGCTGGTAGAGAGGCACAGGTGTGCTGGTAGAGAGGCACAGGTGTGTCTGGTAGAGAGGCACAGGTGTGTTGGTAGAGAGGCACAGGTGTGCTGGTAGAGAGGCACAGGTGTGTGGTAGAGAGGCACAGGTGTGCTGGTAGAGAGGCACAGGTGTGCTGGTAGAGAGGCACAGGTGGCTGGTAGAGAGGCACAGGTGTGCTGGTAGAGAGGCACAGGTGTGATGGTAGAGAGGCACAGGTGTGCTGGTAGAGAGGCACAGGTGTGTTGGTAGAGAGGCACAGGTGTGCTGGTAGAGAGGCACAGGTGTGCTGGTAGAGAGGCACAGGTGTGCTGGTAGAGAGGCACAGGTGTGCTGGTAGAGAGGCACAGGTGTGCTGGTAGAGAGGCACAGGTGTGCTGGTAGAGAGGCACAGGTGTGCTGGTAGAGAGGCACAGGTGTGCTGGTAGAGAGGCACAGGTGTGCTTGGTAGAGAGGCACAGGTGTGCTGGTAGAGAGGCACAGGTGGCTGGTAGAGAGGCACAGGTGTGCTGGTAGAGAGGCACAGGTGTGCTGGTAGAGAGGCACAGGTGTGTTGGTAGAGAGGCACAGGTGTGCTGGTAGAGAGGCACAGGTGTGTTGGTAGAGAGGCACAGGTGTGCTGGTAGAGAGGCACAGGTGTGCTGGTAGAGAGGCACAGGTGTGCTGGTAGAGAGGCACAGGTGTGTTGGTAGAGAGGCACAGGTGTGCTGGTAGAGAGGCACAGGTGTGTTGGTAGAGAGGCACAGGTGTGCTGGTAGAGAGGCACAGGTGTGCTGGTAGAGAGGCACAGGTGTGCTGGTAGAGAGGCACAGGTGTGTTGGTAGAGAGGCACAGGTGTGCTGGTAGAGAGGCACAGGTGTGTTGGTAGAGAGGCACAGGTGTGCTGGTAGAGAGGCACAGGTGTGCTGGTAGAGAGGCACAGGTGTGCTGGTAGAGAGGCACAGGTGTGCTGGTAGAGAGGCACAGGTGTGCTGGTAGAGAGGCACAGGTGTGCTGGTAGAGAGGCACAGGTGTGCTGGTAGAGAGGCACAGGTGTGTTGGTAGAGAGGCACAGGTGTGCTGGTAGAGAGGCACAGGTGTGCTGGTAGAGAGGCACAGGTGTGCTGGTAGAGAGGCACAGGTGTGCTGGTAGAGAGGCACAGGTGTGCTGGTAGAGAGGCACAGGTGTGTTGGTAGAGAGGCACAGGTGTGCTGGTAGAGAGGCACAGGTGTGTTGGTAGAGAGGCACAGGTGTGCTGGTAGAGAGGCACAGGTGTGCTGGTAGAGAGGCACAGGTGTGCTGGTAGAGAGGCACAGGTGTGCTGGTAGAGAGGCACAGGTGTGCTGGTAGAGAGGCACAGGTGTGCTGGTAGAGAGGCACAGGTGTGCTGGTAGAGAGGCACAGGTGTGCTGGTAGAGAGGCACAGGTGTGCTGGTAGAGAGGCACAGGTGTGCTGGTAGAGAGGCACAGGTGTGTTGGTAGAGAGGCACAGGTGTGCTGGTAGAGAGGCACAGGTGTGTTGGTAGAGAGGCACAGGTGTGCTGGTAGAGAGGCACAGGTGTGCTGGTAGAGAGGCACAGGTGTGTTGGTAGAGAGGCACAGGTGTGCTGGTAGAGAGGCACAGGTGTGTGGTAGAGAGGCACAGGTGTGCTGGTAGAGAGGCACAGGTGTGCTGGTAGAGAGGCACAGGTGTGCTGGTAGAGAGGCACAGGTGTGCTGGTAGAGAGGCACAGGTGTGCTGGTAGAGAGGCACAGGTGTGCTGGTAGAGAGGCACAGGTGTGCTGGTAGAGAGGCACAGGTGTGCTGGTAGAGAGGCACAGGTGTGCTGGTAGAGAGGCACAGGTGTGTTGGTAGAGAGGCACAGGTGTGCTGGTAGAGAGGCACAGGTGTGCTGGTAGAGAGGCACAGGTGTGCTGGTAGAGAGGCACAGGTGTGCTGGTAGAGAGGCACAGGTGTGCTGGTAGAGAGGCACAGGTGTGCTGGTAGAGAGGCACAGGTGTGCTGGTAGAGAGGCACAGGTGTGCTGGTAGAGAGGCACAGGTGTGCTGGTAGAGAGGCACAGGTGTGCTGGTAGAGAGGCACAGGTGTGCTGGTAGAGAGGCACAGGTGTGTTGGTAGAGAGGCACAGGTGTGTTGGTAGAGAGGCACAGGTGTGCTGGTAGAGAGGCACAGGTGTGTTGGTAGAGAGGCACAGGTGTGCTGGTAGAGAGGCACAGGTGTGCTGGTAGAGAGGCACAGGTGTGCTGGTAGAGAGGCACAGGTGTGCTGGTAGAGAGGCACAGGTGTGCTGGTAGAGAGGCACAGGTGTGCTGGTAGAGAGGCACAGGTGTGTTGGTAGAGAGGCACAGGTGTGCTGGTAGAGAGGCACAGGTGTGCTGGTAGAGAGGCACAGGTGTGCTGGTAGAGAGGCACAGGTGTGCTGGTAGAGAGGCACAGGTGTGCTGGTAGAGAGGCACAGGTGTGTTGGTAGAGAGGCACAGGTGTGCTGGTAGAGAGGCACAGGTGTGCTGGTAGAGAGGCACAGGTGTGCTGGTAGAGAGGCACAGGTGTGCTGGTAGAGAGGCACAGGTGTGCTGGTAGAGAGGCACAGGTGTGCTGGTAGAGAGGCACAGGTGTGCTGGTAGAGAGGCACAGGTGTGCTGGTAGAGAGGCACAGGTGTGCTGGTAGAGAGGCACAGGTGTGCTGGTAGAGAGGCACAGGTGTGTTGGTAGAGAGGCACAGGTGTGTTGGTAGAGAGGCACAGGTGTGCTGGTAGAGAGGCACAGGTGTGCTGGTAGAGAGGCACAGGTGTGTTGGTAGAGAGGCACAGGTGTGCTGGTAGAGAGGCACAGGTGTGTTGGTAGAGAGGCACAGGTGTGCTGGTAGAGAGGCACAGGTGTGCTGGTAGAGAGGCACAGGTGTGCTGGTAGAGAGGCACAGGTGTGCTGGTAGAGAGGCACAGGTGTGCTTGGTAGAGAGGCACAGGTGTGCTGGTAGAGAGGCACAGGTGTGTTGGTAGAGAGGCACAGGTGTGCTGGTAGAGAGGCACAGGTGTGCTGGTAGAGAGGCACAGGTGTGCTGGTAGAGAGGCACAGGTGTGCTGGTAGAGAGGCACAGGTGTGCTGGTAGAGAGGCACAGGTGTGCTGGTAGAGAGGCACAGGTGTGCTGGTAGAGAGGCACAGGTGTGTTGGTAGAGAGGCACAGGTGTGCTGGTAGAGAGGCACAGGTGTGCTGGTAGAGAGGCACAGGTGTGCTGGTAGAGAGGCACAGGTGTGCTGGTAGAGAGGCACAGGTGTGCTGGTAGAGAGGCACAGGTGTGTTGGTAGAGAGGCACAGGTGTGTTGGTAGAGAGGCACAGGTGTGCTGGTAGAGAGGCACAGGTGTGCTGGTAGAGAGGCACAGGTGTGCTGGTAGAGAGGCACAGGTGTGCTGGTAGAGAGGCACAGGTGTGTTGGTAGAGAGGCACAGGTGTGCTGGTAGAGAGGCACAGGTGTGCTGGTAGAGAGGCACAGGTGTGCTGGTAGAGAGGCACAGGTGTGCTGGTAGAGAGGCACAGGTGTGCTGGTAGAGAGGCACAGGTGTGTTGGTAGAGAGGCACAGGTGTGCTGGTAGAGAGGCACAGGTGTGTTGGTAGAGAGGCACAGGTGTGCTGGTAGAGAGGCACAGGTGTGCTGGTAGAGAGGCACAGGTGTGCTGGTAGAGAGGCACAGGTGTGCTGGTAGAGAGGCACAGGTGTGCTGGTAGAGAGGCACAGGTGTGCTGGTAGAGAGGCACAGGTGTGCTGGTAGAGAGGCACAGGTGTGCTGGTAGAGAGGCACAGGTGTGCTGGTAGAGAGGCACAGGTGTGCTGGTAGAGAGGCACAGGTGTGCTGGTAGAGAGGCACAGGTGTGCTGGTAGAGAGGCACAGGTGTGCTGGTAGAGAGGCACAGGTGTGTTGGTAGAGAGGCACAGGTGTGCTGGTAGAGAGGCACAGGTGTGCTGGTAGAGAGGCACAGGTGTGCTGGTAGAGAGGCACAGGTGTGCTGGTAGAGAGGCACAGGTGTGCTGGTAGAGAGGCACAGGTGTGCTGGTAGAGAGGCACAGGTGTGCTGGTAGAGAGGCACAGGTGTGCTGGTAGAGAGGCACAGGTGTGCTGGTAGAGAGGCACAGGTGTGCTGGTAGAGAGGCACAGGTGTGCTGGTAGAGAGGCACAGGTGTGTGGTAGAGAGGCACAGGTGTGCTGGTAGAGAGGCACAGGTGTGCTGGTAGAGAGGCACAGGTGTGCTGGTAGAGAGGCACAGGTGTGCTGGTAGAGAGGCACAGGTGTGCTGGTAGAGAGGCACAGGTGTGCTGGTAGAGAGGCACAGGTGTGCTGGTAGAGAGGCACAGGTGTGCTGGTAGAGAGGCACAGGTGTGCTGGTAGAGAGGCACAGGTGTGCTGGTAGAGAGGCACAGGTGTGCTGGTAGAGAGGCACAGGTGTGCTTGGTAGAGAGGCACAGGTGTGCTGGTAGAGAGGCACAGGTGTGCTGGTAGAGAGGCACAGGTGTGCTGGTAGAGAGGGCACAGGTGGTGCTGGTAGTAGAGGCACAGGTGTGCTGGTAGAGAGGCACAGGTGTGCTGGTAGAGAGGCACAGGTGTGCTGGTAGAGAGGCACAGGTGTGCTGGTAGAGAGGCACAGGTGTGCTGGTAGAGAGGCACAGGTGTGCTGGTAGAGAGGCACAGGTGTGCTGGTAGAGAGGCACAGGTGTGCTGGTAGAGAGGCACAGGTGTGCTGGTAGAGAGGCACAGGTGTGTTGGTAGAGAGGCACAGGTGTGCTGGTAGAGAGGCACAGGTGTGTTGGTAGAGAGGCACAGGTGTGCTGGTAGAGAGGCACAGGTGTGCTGGTAGAGAGGCACAGGTGTGCTGGTAGAGAGGCACAGGTGTGCTGGTAGAGAGGCACAGGTGTGCTGGTAGAGAGGCACAGGTGTGCTGGTAGAGAGGCACAGGTGTGCTGGTAGAGAGGCACAGGTGTGCTGGTAGAGAGGCACAGGTGTGCTGGTAGAGAGGCACAGGTGTGTTGGTAGAGAGGCACAGGTGTGCTGGTAGAGAGGCACAGGTGTGCTGGTAGAGAGGCACAGGTGTGCTGGTAGAGAGGCACAGGTGTGCTGGTAGAGAGGCACAGGTGTGCTGGTAGAGAGGCACAGGTGTGTTGGTAGAGAGGCACAGGTGTGCTGGTAGAGAGGCACAGGTGTGTTGGTAGAGAGGCACAGGTGTGCTGGTAGAGAGGCACAGGTGTGCTGGTAGAGAGGCACAGGTGTGCTGGTAGAGAGGCACAGGTGTGCTGGTAGAGAGGCACAGGTGTGCTGGTAGAGAGGCACAGGTGTGCTGGTAGAGAGGCACAGGTGTGCTGGTAGAGAGGCACAGGTGTGCTGGTAGAGAGGCACAGGTGTGCTGGTAGAGAGGCACAGGTGTGCTGGTAGAGAGGCACAGGTGTGCTGGTAGAGAGGCACAGGTGTGCTGGTAGAGAGGCACAGGTGTGTTGGTAGAGAGGCACAGGTGTGCTGGTAGAGAGGCACAGGTGTGCTGGTAGAGAGGCACAGGTGTGTTGGTAGAGAGGCACAGGTGTGCTGGTAGAGAGGCACAGGTGTGTTGGTAGAGAGGCACAGGTGTGCTGGTAGAGAGGCACAGGTGTGCTGGTAGAGAGGCACAGGTGTGCTGGTAGAGAGGCACAGGTGTGCTGGTAGAGAGGCACAGGTGTGCTGGTAGAGAGGCACAGGTGTGCTGGTAGAGAGGCACAGGTGTGCTGGTAGAGAGGCACAGGTGTGCTGGTAGAGAGGCACAGGTGTGTTGGTAGAGAGGCACAGGTGTGCTGGTAGAGAGGCACAGGTGTGCTGGTAGAGAGGCACAGGTGTGCTGGTAGAGAGGCACAGGTGTGCTGGTAGAGAGGCACAGGTGTGCTGGTAGAGAGGCACAGGTGTGCTGGTAGAGAGGCACAGGTGTGCTGGTAGAGAGGCACAGGTGTGCTGGTAGAGAGGCACAGGTGTGCTGGTAGAGAGGCACAGGTGTGTTGGTAGAGAGGCACAGGTGTGCTGGTAGAGAGGCACAGGTGTGTTGGTAGAGAGGCACAGGTGTGCTGGTAGAGAGGCACAGGTGTGCTGGTAGAGAGGCACAGGTGTGCTGGTAGAGAGGCACAGGTGTGCTGGTAGAGAGGCACAGGTGTGCTGGTAGAGAGGCACAGGTGTGCTGGTAGAGAGGCACAGGTGTGCTGGTAGAGAGGCACAGGTGTGCTGGTAGAGAGGCACAGGTGTGCTGGTAGAGAGGCACAGGTGTGTTGGTAGAGAGGCACAGGTGTGCTGGTAGAGAGGCACAGGTGTGCTGGTAGAGAGGCACAGGTGTGCTGGTAGAGAGGCACAGGTGTGCTGGTAGAGAGGCACAGGTGTGCTGGTAGAGAGGCACAGGTGTGTTGGTAGAGAGGCACAGGTGTGCTGGTAGAGAGGCACAGGTGTGCTGGTAGAGAGGCACAGGTGTGCTGGTAGAGAGGCACAGGTGTGCTGGTAGAGAGGCACAGGTGTGCTGGTAGAGAGGCACAGGTGTGCTGGTAGAGAGGCACAGGTGTGCTGGTAGAGAGGCACAGGTGTGCTGGTAGAGAGGCACAGGTGTGCTGGTAGAGAGGCACAGGTGTGCTGGTAGAGAGGCACAGGTGTGCTGGTAGAGAGGCACAGGTGTGCTGGTAGAGAGGCACAGGTGTGCTGGTAGAGAGGCACAGGTGTGTTGGTAGAGAGGCACAGGTGTGCTGGTAGAGAGGCACAGGTGTGCTGGTAGAGAGGCCACAGGTGTGCTGGTAGAGAGGCACAGGTGTGTTGGTAGAGAGGCACAGGTGTGCTGGTAGAGAGGCACAGGTGTGTTGGTAGAGAGGCACAGGTGTGCTGGTAGAGAGGCACAGGTGTGCTGGTAGAGAGGCACAGGTGTGCTGGTAGAGAGGCACAGGTGTGTGGTAGAGAGGCACAGGTGTGCTGGTAGAGAGGCACAGGTGTGCTGGTAGAGAGGCACAGGTGTGCTGGTAGAGAGGCACAGGTGTGCTGGTAGAGAGGCACAGGTGTGCTGGTAGAGAGGCACAGGTGTGCTGGTAGAGAGGCACAGGTGTGCTGGTAGAGAGGCACAGGTGTGCTGGTAGAGAGGCACAGGTGTGCTGGTAGAGAGGCACAGGTGTGCTGGTAGAGAGGCACAGGTGTGCTGGTAGAGAGGCACAGGTGTGCTGTAGAGAGGCACAGGTGTGCTGGTAGAGAGGCACAGGTGTGCTGGTAGAGAGGCACAGGTGTGCTGTAGAGAGGCACAGGTGTGCTGGTAGAGAGGCACAGGTGTGCTGGTAGAGAGGCACAGGTGTGCTGGTAGAGAGGCACAGGTGTGCTGGTAGAGAGGCACAGGTGTGCTGGTAGAGAGGCACAGGTGTGCTGGTAGAGAGGCACAGGTGTGCTGGTAGAGAGGCACAGGTGTGCTGGTAGAGAGGCACAGGTGTGCTGGTAGAGAGGCACAGGTGTGCTGGTAGAGAGGCACAGGTGTGCTGGTAGAGAGGCACAGGTGTGCTGGTAGAGAGGCACAGGTGTGCTGGTAGAGAGGCACAGGTGTGCTGGTAGAGAGGCACAGGTGTGCTGGTAGAGAGGCACAGGTGTGCTGGTAGAGAGGCACAGGTGTGCTTGGTAGAGAGGCACAGGTGTGCTGGTAGAGAGGCACAGGTGTGCTGGTAGAGAGGCACAGGTGTGCTGGTAGAGAGGCACAGGTGTGCTGGTAGAGAGGCACAGGTGTGCTGGTAGAGAGGCACAGGTGTGCTGGTAGAGAGGCACAGGTGTGCTGGTAGAGAGGCACAGGTGTGCTGGTAGAGAGGCACAGGTGTGCTGGTAGAGAGGCACAGGTGTGCTGGTAGAGAGGCACAGGTGTGCTGGTAGAGAGGCACAGGTGTGCTGGTAGAGAGGCACAGGTGTGCTGGTAGAGAGGCACAGGTGTGCTGGTAGAGAGGCACAGGTGTGCTGGTAGAGAGGCACAGGTGTGCTGGTAGAGAGGCACAGGTGTGCTGGTAGAGAGGCACAGGTGTGCTGGTAGAGAGGCACAGGTGTGCTGGTAGAGAGGCACAGGTGTGCTGGTAGAGAGGCACAGGTGTGCTGGTAGAGAGGCACAGGTGTGCTGGTAGAGAGGCACAGGTTGTGCTGGTAGAGAGGCACAGGTGTGCTGGTAGAGAGGCACAGGTGTGCTGGTAGAGAGGCACAGGTGTGCTGGTAGAGAGGCACAGGTGTGCTGGTAGAGAGGCACAGGTGTGCTGGTAGAGAGGCACAGGTGTGCTGGTAGAGAGGCACAGGTGTGCTGGTAGAGAGGCACAGGTGTGCTGGTAGAGAGGCACAGGTGTGCTGGTAGAGAGGCACAGGTGTGCTGGTAGAGAGGCACAGGTGTGCTGGTAGAGAGGCACAGGTGTGCTGGTAGAGAGGCACAGGTGTGCTGGTAGAGAGGCACAGGTGTGCTGGTAGAGAGGCACAGGTGTGCTGGTAGAGAGGCACAGGTGTGCTGGTAGAGAGGCACAGGTGTGCTGGTAGAGAGGCACAGGTGTGCTGGTAGAGAGGCACAGGTGTGCTGGTAGAGAGGCACAGGTGTGCTGGTAGAGAGGCACAGGTGTGTTGGTAGAGAGGCACAGGTGTGCTGGTAGAGAGGCACAGGTGTGCTGGTAGAGAGGCACAGGTGTGCTGGTAGAGAGGCACAGGTGTGCTGGTAGAGAGGCACAGGTGTGCTGGTAGAGAGGCACAGGTGTGCTGGTAGAGAGGCACAGGTGTGCTGGTAGAGAGGCACAGGTGTGCTGGTAGAGAGGCACAGGTGTGCTGGTAGAGAGGCACAGGTGTGCTTGGTAGAGAGGCACAGGTGTGCTGGTAGAGAGGCACAGGTGTGCTGGTAGAGAGGCACAGGTGTGCTGGTAGAGAGGCACAGGTGTGCTGGTAGAGAGGCACAGGTGTGCTTGGTAGAGAGGCACAGGTGTGCTGGTAGAGAGGCACAGGTGTGTGGTAGAGAGGCACAGGTGTGCTGGTAGAGAGGCACAGGTGTGCTGGTAGAGAGGCACAGGTGTGCTGGTAGAGAGGCACAGGTGTGCTGGTAGAGAGGCACAGGTGTGCTGGTAGAGAGGCACAGGTGTGTTGGTAGAGAGGCACAGGTGTGCTGGTAGAGAGGCACAGGTGTGCTGGTAGAGAGGCACAGGTGTGCTGGTAGAGAGGCACAGGTGTGCTGGTAGAGAGGCACAGGTGTGCTGGTAGAGAGGCACAGGTGTGCTGGTAGAGAGGCACAGGTGTGCTGGTAGAGAGGCACAGGTGTGCTGGTAGAGAGGCACAGGTGTGCTGGTAGAGAGGCACAGGTGTGCTGGTAGAGAGGCACAGGTGTGCTGGTAGAGAGGCACAGGTGTGCTGGTAGAGAGGCACAGGTGTGTTGGTAGAGAGGCACAGGTGTGCTGGTAGAGAGGCACAGGTGTGCTGGTAGAGAGGCACAGGTGTGCTGGTAGAGAGGCACAGGTGTGTTGGTAGAGAGGCACAGGTGTGCTGGTAGAGAGGCACAGGTGTGTTGGTAGAGAGGCACAGGTGTGCTGGTAGAGAGGCACAGGTGTGCTGGTAGAGAGGCACAGGTGTGCTGGTAGAGAGGCACAGGTGTGCTGGTAGAGAGGCACAGGTGTGCTGGTAGAGAGGCACAGGTGTGCTGGTAGAGAGGCACAGGTTGTGCTGGTAGAGAGGCACAGGTGTGCTGGTAGAGAGGCACAGGTGTGCTGGTAGAGAGGCACAGGTGTGCTGGTAGAGAGGCACAGGTGTGCTGGTAGAGAGGCACAGGTGTGCTGGTAGAGAGGCACAGGTGTGCTGGTAGAGAGGCACAGGTGTGCTGGTAGAGAGGCACAGGTGTGCTGGTAGAGAGGCACAGGTGTGCTGGTAGAGAGGCACAGGTGTGCTGGTAGAGAGGCACAGGTGTGTTGGTAGAGAGGCACAGGTGTGCTGGTAGAGAGGCACAGGTGTGTTGGTAGAGAGGCACAGGTGTGCTGGTAGAGAGGCACAGGTGTGCTGGTAGAGAGGCACAGGTGTGCTGGTAGAGAGGCACAGGTGTGCTGGTAGAGAGGCACAGGTGTGCTGGTAGAGAGGCACAGGTGTGCTGGTAGAGAGGCACAGGTGTGCTGGTAGAGAGGCACAGGTGTGCTGGTAGAGAGGCACAGGTGTGCTGGTAGAGAGGCACAGGTGTGTTGGTAGAGAGGCACAGGTGTGCTGGTAGAGAGGCACAGGTGTGCTGGTAGAGAGGCACAGGTGTGCTGGTAGAGAGGCACAGGTGTGCTGGTAGAGAGGCACAGGTGTGCTGGTAGAGAGGCACAGGTGTGCTGGTAGAGAGGCACAGGTGTGCTGGTAGAGAGGCACAGGTGTGCTTGTAGAGAGGCACAGGTGTGCTGGTAGAGAGGCACAGGTGTGCTGGTAGAGAGGCACAGGTGTGCTGGTAGAGAGGCACAGGTGTGCTGGTAGAGAGGCACAGGTGTGCTGGTAGAGAGGCACAGGTGTGCTGGTAGAGAGGCACAGGTGTGCTGGTAGAGAGGCACAGGTGTGCTGGTAGAGAGGCACAGGTGTGCTGGTAGAGAGGCACAGGTGTGCTGGTAGAGAGGCACAGGTGTGCTGGTAGAGAGGCACAGGTGTGCGGTAGAGAGGCACAGGTGTGCTGGTAGAGAGGCACAGGTGTGCTGGTAGAGAGGCACAGGTGTGCTGGTAGAGAGGCACAGGTGTGCTGGTAGAGAGGCACAGGTGTGCTGGTTAGAGAGGCACAGGTGTGCTGGTAGAGAGGCACAGGTGTGCTGGTAGAGAGGCACAGGTGTGCTGGTAGAGAGGCACAGGTGTGCTGGTAGAGAGGCACAGGTGTGCTGGTAGAGAGGCACAGGTGTGCTGGTAGAGAGGCACAGGTGTGCTGGTAGAGAGGCACAGGTGTGCTGGTAGAGAGGCACAGGTGTGCTGGTAGAGAGGCACAGGTGTGCTGGTAGAGAGGCACAGGTGTGCTGGTAGAGAGGCACAGGTGTGCTGGTAGAGAGGCACAGGTGTGCTGGTAGAGAGGCACAGGTGTGCTGGTAGAGAGGCACAGGTGTGCTGGTAGAGAGGCACAGGTGTGCTGGTAGAGAGGCACAGGTGTGCTGGTAGAGAGGCACAGGTGTGTTGGTAGAGAGGCACAGGTGTGCTGGTAGAGAGGCACAGGTGTGCTGGTAGAGAGGCACAGGTGTGCTGGTAGAGAGGCACAGGTGTGCTGGTAGAGAGGCACAGGTGTGCTGGTAGAGAGGCACAGGTGTGCTGGTAGAGAGGCACAGGTGTGCTGGTAGAGAGGCACAGGTGTGCTGGTAGAGAGGCACAGGTGTGCTGGTAGAGAGGCACAGGTGTGCTGGTAGAGAGGCACAGGTGTGCTGGTAGAGAGGCACAGGTGTGCTGGTAGAGAGGCACAGGTGTGCTGGTAGAGAGGCACAGGTGTGCTGGTAGAGAGGCACAGGTGTGCTGGTAGAGAGGCACAGGTGTGCTGGTAGAGAGGCACAGGTGTGCTGGTAGAGAGGCACAGGTGTGCTGGTAGAGAGGCACAGGTGTGCTGGTAGAGAGGCACAGGTGTGCTGGTAGAGAGGCACAGGTGTGCTGGTAGAGAGGCACAGGTGTGCTGGTAGAGAGGCACAGGTGTGTTGGTAGAGAGGCACAGGTGTGCTGGTAGAGAGGCACAGGTGTGCTGGTAGAGAGGCACAGGTGTGCTGGTAGAGAGGCACAGGTGTGCTGGTAGAGAGGCACAGGTGTGCTGGTAGAGAGGCACAGGTGTGCTGGTAGAGAGGCACAGGTGTGCTGGTAGAGAGGCACAGGTGTGCTGGTAGAGAGGCACAGGTGTGCTGGTAGAGAGGCACAGGTGTGCTGGTAGAGAGGCACAGGTGTGTTGGTAGAGAGGCACAGGTGTGCTGGTAGAGAGGCACAGGTGTGTTGGTAGAGAGGCACAGGTGTGCTGGTAGAGAGGCACAGGTGTGCTGGTAGAGAGGCACAGGTGTGCTGGTAGAGAGGCACAGGTGTGCTGGTAGAGAGGCACAGGTGTGCTGGTAGAGAGGCACAGGTGTGCTGGTAGAGAGGCACAGGTGTGCTGGTAGAGAGGCACAGGTGTGCTGGTAGAGAGGCACAGGTGTGCTGGTAGAGAGGCACAGGTGTGCTGGTAGAGAGGCACAGGTGTGCTGGTAGAGAGGCACAGGTGTGCTGGTAGAGAGGCACAGGTGTGCTGGTAGAGAGGCACAGGTGTGCTGGTAGAGAGGCACAGGTGTGCTGGTAGAGAGGCACAGGTGTGCTGGTAGAGAGGCACAGGTGTGCTGGTAGAGAGGCACAGGTGTGCTGGTAGAGAGGCACAGGTGTGCTGGTAGAGAGGCACAGGTGTGCTGGTAGAGAGGCACAGGTGTGCTGGTAGAGAGGCACAGGTGTGCTGGTAGAGAGGCACAGGTGTGCTGGTAGAGAGGCACAGGTGTGCTGGTAGAGAGGCACAGGTGTGCTGGTAGAGAGGCACAGGTGTGCTGGTAGAGAGGCACAGGTGTGCTGGTAGAGAGGCACAGGTGTGCTTGGTAGAGAGGCACAGGTGTGCTGGTAGAGAGGCACAGGTGTGCTGGTAGAGAGGCACAGGTGTGCTGGTAGAGAGGCACAGGTGTGCTGGTAGAGAGGCACAGGTGTGCTGGTAGAGAGGCACAGGTGTGCTGGTAGAGAGGCACAGGTGTGCTGGTAGAGAGGCACAGGTGTGCTGGTAGAGAGGCACAGGTGTGCTGGTAGAGAGGCACAGGTGTGCTGGTAGAGAGGCACAGGTGTGCTGGTAGAGAGGCACAGGTGTGCTGGTAGAGAGGCACAGGTGTGTTGGTAGAGAGGCACAGGTGTGCTTGGTAGAGAGGCACAGGTGTGCTGGTAGAGAGGCACAGGTGTGCTGGTAGAGAGGCAACAGGTGTGGCTGGTAGAGAGGCACAGGTGTGCTGGTAGAGAGGCACAGGTGTGCTGGTAGAGAGGCACAGGTGTGCTGGTAGAGAGGCACAGGTGTGCTGGTAGAGAGGCACAGGTGTGCTGGTAGAGAGGCACAGGTGTGCTGGTAGAGAGGCACAGGTGTGCTGGTAGAGAGGCACAGGTGTGCTGGTAGAGAGGCACAGGTGTGCTGGTAGAGAGGCACAGGTGTGCTGGTAGAGAGGCACAGGTGTGCTGGTAGAGAGGCACAGGTGTGCTGGTAGAGAGGCACAGGTGTGCTGGTAGAGAGGCACAGGTGTGCTGGTAGAGAGGCCACAGGTGTGCTGGTAGAGAGGCACAGGTGTGCTGGTAGAGAGGCACAGGTGTGCTGGTAGAGAGGCACAGGTGTGCTGGTAGAGAGGCACAGGTGTGCTGGTAGAGAGGCACAGGTGTGCTGGTAGAGAGGCACAGGTGTGCTGGTAGAGAGGCACAGGTGTGCTGGTAGAGAGGCACAGGTGTGCTGGTAGAGAGGCACAGGTGTGTTGGTAGAGAGGCACAGGTGTGTTGGTAGAGAGGCACAGGTGTGTCTGGTAGAGAGGCACAGGTGTGCTGGTAGAGAGGCACAGGTGTGTTGGTAGAGAGGCACAGGTGTGCTGGTAGAGAGGCACAGGTGTGCTGGTAGAGAGGCACAGGTGTGCTGGTAGAGAGGCACAGGTGTGCTGGTAGAGAGGCACAGGTGTGCTGGTAGAGAGGCACAGGTGTGCTGGTAGAGAGGCACAGGTGTGCTGGTAGAGAGGCACAGGTGTGCTGGTAGAGAGGCACAGGTGTGTTGGTAGAGAGGCACAGGTGTGCTGGTAGAGAGGCACAGGTGTGCTGGTAGAGAGGCACAGGTGTGCTGGTAGAGAGGCACAGGTGTGCTGGTAGAGAGGCACAGGTGTGCTGGTAGAGAGGCACAGGTGTGCTGGTAGAGAGGCACAGGTGTGCTGGTAGAGAGGCACAGGTGTGCTGGTAGAGAGGCACAGGTGTGCTGGTAGAGAGGCACAGGTGTGCTGGTAGAGAGGCACAGGTGTGCTGGTAGAGAGGCACAGGTGTGCTGGTAGAGAGGCACAGGTGTGCTTGGTAGAGAGGCACAGGTGTGCTGGTAGAGGCACAGGTGTGTGGTAGAGAGGCACAGGTGTGCTGGTAGAGAGGCACAGGTGTGCTGGTAGAGAGGCACAGGTGTGCTGGTAGAGAGGCACAGGTGTGCTGGTAGAGAGGCACAGGTGTGCTGGTAGAGAGGCACAGGTGTGCTGGTAGAGAGGCACAGGTGTGCTGGTAGAGAGGCACAGGTGTGCTGGTAGAGAGGCACAGGTGTGCTGGTAGAGAGGCACAGGTGTGCTGGTAGAGAGGCACAGGTGTGTTGGTAGAGAGGCACAGGTGTGCTGGTAGAGAGGCACAGGTGTGCTGGTAGAGAGGCACAGGTGTGCTGGTAGAGAGGCACAGGTGTGCTGGTAGAGAGGCACAGGTGTGCTGGTAGAGAGGCACAGGTGTGTTGGTAGAGAGGCACAGGTGTGCTGGTAGAGAGGCACAGGTGTGCTGGTAGAGAGGCACAGGTGTGCTGGTAGAGAGGCACAGGTGTGCTGGTAGAGAGGCACAGGTGTGCTGGTAGAGAGGCACAGGTGTGCTGGTAGAGAGGCACAGGTGTGCTGGTAGAGAGGCACAGGTGTGCTGGTAGAGAGGCACAGGTGTGCTGGTAGAGAGGCACAGGTGTGCTGGTAGAGAGGCACAGGTGTGCTGGTAGAGAGGCACAGGTGTGCTGGTAGAGAGGCACAGGTGTGCTGGTAGAGAGGCACAGGTGTGCTGGTAGAGAGGCACAGGTGTGCTGGTAGAGAGGCACAGGTGTGCTGGTAGAGAGGCACAGGTGTGCTGGTAGAGAGGCACAGGTGTGCTGGTAGAGAGGCACAGGTGTGCTGGTAGAGAGGCACAGGTGTGCTGGTAGAGAGGCACAGGTGTGCTGGTAGAGAGGCACAGGTGTGCTGGTAGAGAGGCACAGGTGTGCTGGTAGAGAGGCACAGGTGTGCTGGTAGAGAGGCACAGGTGTGCTGGTAGAGAGGCACAGGTGTGCTGGTAGAGAGGCACAGGTGTGCTGGTAGAGAGGCACAGGTGTGCTGGTAGAGAGGCACAGGTGTGCTGGTAGAGAGGCACAGGTGTGCTGGTAGAGAGGCACAGGTGTGCTGGTAGAGAGGCACAGGTGTGCTGGTAGAGAGGCACAGGTGTGCTTGGTAGAGAGGCACAGGTGTGCTGGTAGAGAGGCACAGGTGTGCTGGTAGAGAGGCACAGGTGTGCTGGTAGAGAGGCACAGGTGTGCTGGTAGAGAGGCACAGGTGTGCTGGTAGAGAGGCACAGGTGTGCTGGTAGAGAGGCACAGGTGTGCTGGTAGAGAGGCACAGGTGTGCTGGTAGAGAGGCACAGGTGTGCTGGTAGAGAGGCACAGGTGTGCTGGTAGAGAGGCACAGGTGTGCTGGTAGAGAGGCACAGGTGTGCTGGTAGAGAGGCACAGGTGTGCTGGTAGAGAGGCACAGGTGTGTTGGTAGAGAGGCACAGGTGTGCTGGTAGAGAGGCACAGGTGTGCTGGTAGAGAGGCACAGGTGTGCTGGTAGAGAGGCACAGGTGTGCTGGTAGAGAGGCACAGGTGTGCTGGTAGAGAGGCACAGGTGTGCTGGTAGAGAGGCACAGGTGTGCTTGGTAGAGAGGCACAGGTGTGCTGGTAGAGAGGCACAGGTGTGCTGGTAGAGAGGCACAGGTGTGCTGGTAGAGAGGCACAGGTGTGCTGGTAGAGAGGCACAGGTGTGCTGGTAGAGAGGCACAGGTGTGCTGGTAGAGAGGCACAGGTGTGCTGGTAGAGAGGCACAGGTGTGCTGGTAGAGAGGCACAGGTGTGCTGGTAGAGAGGCACAGGTGTGCTGGTAGAGAGGCACAGGTGTGCTGGTAGAGAGGCACAGGTGTGCTGGTAGAGAGGCACAGGTGTGCTGGTAGAGAGGCACAGGTGTGCTGGTAGAGAGGCACAGGTGTGCTGGTAGAGAGGCACAGGTGTGCTGGTAGAGAGGCACAGGTGTGCTGGTAGAGAGGCACAGGTGTGCTGGTAGAGAGGCACAGGTGTGCTGGTAGAGAGGCACAGGTGTGCTGGTAGAGAGGCACAGGTGTGCTGGTAGAGAGGCACAGGTGTGCTGGTAGAGAGGCACAGGTGTGCTGGTAGAGAGGCACAGGTGTGCTGGTAGAGAGGCACAGGTGTGCTGGTAGAGAGGCACAGGTGTGCTGGTAGAGAGGCACAGGTGTGCTGGTAGAGAGGCACAGGTGTGCTGGTAGAGAGGCACAGGTGTGCTGGTAGAGAGGCACAGGTGTGCTGGTAGAGAGGCACAGGTGTGCTGGTAGAGAGGCACAGGTGTGCTGGTAGAGAGGCACAGGTGTGCTGGTAGAGAGGCACAGGTGTGCTGGTAGAGAGGCACAGGTGTGCTGGTAGAGAGGCACAGGTGTGTTGGTAGAGAGGCACAGGTGTGCTGGTAGAGAGGCACAGGTGTGTTGGTAGAGAGGCACAGGTGTGCTGGTAGAGAGGCACAGGTGTGCTGGTAGAGAGGCACAGGTGTGCTGGTAGAGAGGCACAGGTGTGCTGGTAGAGAGGCACAGGTGTGCTGGTAGAGAGGCACAGGTGTGCTGGTAGAGAGGCACAGGTGTGCTGGTAGAGAGGCACAGGTGTGCTGGTAGAGAGGCACAGGTGTGCTGGTAGAGAGGCACAGGTGTGCTGGTAGAGAGGCACAGGTGTGCTGGTAGAGAGGCACAGGTGTGCTGGTAGAGAGGCACAGGTGTGCTGGTAGAGAGGCACAGGTGTGCTGGTAGAGAGGCACAGGTGTGCTGGTAGAGAGGCACAGGTGTGCTGGTAGAGAGGCACAGGTGTGCTGGTAGAGAGGCACAGGTGTGCTGGTAGAGAGGCACAGGTGTGCTGGTAGAGAGGCACAGGTGTGCTGGTAGAGAGGCACAGGTGTGCTTGGTAGAGAGGCACAGGTGTGCTGGTAGAGAGGCACAGGTGTGCTGGTAGAGAGGCACAGGTGTGCTGGTAGAGAGGCACAGGTGTGCTGGTAGAGAGGCACAGGTGTGCTGGTAGAGAGGCACAGGTGTGCTGGTAGAGAGGCACAGGTGTGCTGGTAGAGAGGCACAGGTGTGCTGGTAGAGAGGCACAGGTGTGCTGGTAGAGAGGCACAGGTGTGCTGGTAGAGAGGCACAGGTGTGCTGGTAGAGAGGCACAGGTGTGCTGGTAGAGAGGCACAGGTGTGCTGGTAGAGAGGCACAGGTGTGCTGGTAGAGAGGCACAGGTGTGCTGGTAGAGAGGCACAGGTGTGCTGGTAGAGAGGCACAGGTGTGCTGGTAGAGAGGCACAGGTGTGCTGGTAGAGAGGCACAGGTGTGCTGGTAGAGAGGCACAGGTGTGCTGGTAGAGAGGCACAGGTGTGCTGGTAGAGAGGCACAGGTGTGCTGGTAGAGAGGCACAGGTGTGCTGGTAGAGAGGCACAGGTGTGCTGGTAGAGAGGCACAGGTGTGCTGGTAGAGAGGCACAGGTCAGGTGTGCTGGTAGAGAGGCACAGGTGTGCTGGTAGAGAGGCACAGGTGTGCTGGTAGAGAGGCACAGGTGTGCTGGTAGAGAGGCACAGGTGTGCTGGTAGAGAGGCACAGGTGTGCTGGTAGAGAGGCACAGGTGTGCTGGTAGAGAGGCACAGGTGTGCTGGTAGAGAGGCACAGGTGTGCTGGTAGAGAGGCACAGGTGTGCTGGTAGAGAGGCACAGGTGTGCTGGTAGAGAGGCACAGGTGTGCTGGTAGAGAGGCACAGGTGTGCTGGTAGAGAGGCACAGCAGGTGTGCTGGTAGAGAGGCACAGGTGTGCTGGTAGAGAGGCACAGGTGTGCTGGTAGAGAGGCACAGGTGTGCTGGTAGAGAGGCACAGGTGTGCTGGTAGAGAGGCACAGGTGTGCTGGTAGAGAGGCACAGGTGTGCTGGTAGAGAGGCACAGGTGTGCTGGTAGAGAGGCACAGGTGTGCTGGTAGAGAGGCACAGGTGTGCTGGTAGAGAGGCACAGGTGTGCTGGTAGAGAGGCACAGGTGTGCTGGTAGAGAGGCACAGGTGGTGCTGGTAGAGAGGCACAGGTGTGCTGGTAGAGAGGCACAGGTGTGCTGGTAGAGAGGCACAGGTGTGCTGGTAGAGAGGCACAGGTGTGCGGGTAGAGAGGCACAGGTTGGGTAGAGAGGCACAGGTGTGCTGGTAGAGAGGCACAGGTGTGCTGGTAGAGAGGCACAGGTGTGCTGGTAGAGAGGCACAGGTGTGCTGGTAGAGAGGCACAGGTGTGCTGTAGAGAGGCACAGGTGTGCTGGTAGAGAGGCACAGGTGTGCTGGTAGAGAGGCACAGGTGTGCTGGTAGAGAGGCACAGGTGTGCTGGTAGAGAGGCACAGGTGTGCTGGTAGAGAGGCACAGGTGTGCTGGTAGAGAGGCACAGGTGTGCTGGTAGAGAGGCACAGGTGTGCTGGTAGAGAGGCACAGGTGTGCTGGTAGAGAGGCACAGGTGTGCTGGTAGAGAGGCACAGGTGTGCTGGTAGAGAGGCACAGGTGTGCTGGTAGAGAGGCACAGGTGTGCTGGTAGAGAGGCACAGGTGTGCTGGTAGAGAGGCACAGGTGTGCTGGTAGAGAGGCACAGGTGTGCTGGTAGAGAGGCACAGGTGTGCTGGTAGAGAGGCACAGGTGTGCTGGTAGAGAGGCACAGGTGTGCTGGTAGAGAGGCACAGGTGTGCTGGTAGAGAGGCACAGGTGTGCTGGTAGAGAGGCACAGGTGTGCTGGTAGAGAGGCACAGGTGTGCTGGTAGAGAGGCACAGGTGTGCTGGTAGAGAGGCACAGGTGTGTGCTGGTAGAGAGGCACAGGTGTGCTGGTAGAGAGGCACAGGTGTGCTGGTAGAGAGGCACAGGTGTGCTGGTAGAGAGGCACAGGTGTGCTGGTAGAGAGGCACAGGTGTGCTGGTAGAGAGGCACAGGTGTGCTGGTAGAGAGGCACAGGTGTGCTGGTAGAGAGGCACAGGTGTGCTGGTAGAGAGGCACAGGTGTGCTGGTAGAGAGGCACAGGTGTGCTGGTAGAGAGGCACAGGTGTGCTGGTAGAGAGGCACAGGTGTGCTGGTAGAGAGGCACAGGTGTGCTGGTAGAGAGGCACAGGTGTGCTGGTAGAGAGGCACAGGTGTGCTGGTAGAGAGGCACAGGTGTGCTGGTAGAGAGGCACAGGTGTGCTGGTAGAGAGGCACAGGTGTGCTGGTAGAGAGGCACAGGTGTGCTGGTAGAGAGGCACAGGTGTGCTGGTAGAGAGGCACAGGTGTGCTGGTAGAGAGGCACAGGTGTGCTGGTAGAGAGGCACAGGTGTGCTGGTAGAGAGGCACAGGTGTGCTGGTAGAGAGGCACAGGTGTGCTGGTAGAGAGGCACAGGTGTGCTGGTAGAGAGGCACAGGTGTGCTGGTAGAGAGGCACAGGTGTGCTGGTAGAGAGGCACAGGTGTGCTGGTAGAGAGGCACAGGTGTGCTGGTAGAGAGGCACAGGTGTGCTGGTAGAGAGGCACAGGTGTGCTGGTAGAGAGGCACAGGTGTGCTGGTAGAGAGGCACAGGTGTGGCTGGTAGAGAGGCACAGGTGTGCTGGTAGAGAGGCACAGGTGTGCTGGTAGAGAGGCACAGGTGTGCTGGTAGAGAGGCACAGGTGTGCTGGTAGAGAGGCACAGGTGTGCTGGTAGAGAGGCACAGGTGTGCTGGTAGAGAGGCACAGGTGTGCTGGTAGAGAGGCACAGGTGTGCTGGTAGAGAGGCACAGGTGTGCTGGTAGAGAGGCACAGGTGTGCTGGTAGAGAGGCACAGGTGTGCTGGTAGAGAGGCACAGGTGTGCTGGTAGAGAGGCACAGGTGTGCTGGTAGAGAGGCACAGGTGTGCTGGTAGAGAGGCACAGGTGTGCTGGTAGAGAGGCACAGGTGTGCTGGTAGAGAGGCACAGGTGTGCTGGTAGAGAGGCACAGGTGTGCTGGTAGAGAGGCACAGGTGTGCTGGTAGAGAGGCACAGGTGTGCTGGTAGAGAGGCACAGGTGTGCTGGTAGAGAGGCACAGGTGTGCTGGTAGAGAGGCACAGGTGTGCTGGTAGAGAGGCACAGGTGTGCTGGTAGAGAGGCACAGGTGTGCTGGTAGAGAGGCACAGGTGTGCTGGTAGAGAGGCACAGGTGTGCTGGTAGAGAGGCACAGGTGTGCTGGTAGAGAGGCACAGGTGTGCTGGTAGAGAGGCACAGGTGTGCTGGTAGAGAGGCACAGGTGTGCTGGTAGAGAGGCACAGGTGTGCTGGTAGAGAGGCACAGGTGTGCTGGTAGAGAGGCACAGGTGTGCTGGTAGAGAGGCACAGGTGTGCTGGTAGAGAGGCACAGGTGTGCTGGTAGAGAGGCACAGGTGTGCTGGTAGAGAGGCACAGGTGTGCTGGTAGAGAGGCACAGGTGTGCTGGTAGAGAGGCACAGGTGTGCTGGTAGAGAGGCACAGGTGTGCTGGTAGAGAGGCACAGGTGTGCTGGTAGAGAGGCACAGGTGTGCTGGTAGAGAGGCACAGGTGTGCTGGTAGAGAGGCACAGGTGTGCTGGTAGAGAGGCACAGGTGTGCTGGTAGAGAGGCACAGGTGTGCTGGTAGAGAGGCACAGGTGTGCTGGTAGAGAGGCACAGGTGTGCTGGTAGAGAGGCACAGGTGTGCTGGTAGAGAGGCACAGGTGTGCTGGTAGAGAGGCACAGGTGTGCTGGTAGAGAGGCACAGGTGTGCTGGTAGAGAGGCACAGGTGTGCTGGTAGAGAGGCACAGGTGTGCTGGTAGAGAGGCACAGGTGTGCTGGTAGAGAGGCACAGGTGTGCTGGTAGAGAGGCACAGGTGTGCTGGGGGTTCAGGTTTGGATTCCTTACCCCTTGTGTTCCCCTCCCCATGTCCAACTTCCCCCATCTCCTTCGCTCTTCCCCAGGTCTGCTAGACAATGTATTGAGTGACTATCTTTTGGGCTCGAGCCGGCCTGCTCACCATCCCCATCGCCCCCTCATGTTCCCCTCTCCATTGTCCGCTCACCGATCTCCCACTCTCCTCCACCCCAGGTCTGCTTGACAATATATTGAGTGGCTATCTGTGGGCTCGGGCCGTCCTGCTCACCACCCCCACCGCCGCTACAGCCGGGCTGCATATTCAAATTCCCATCGCCCTCCCCACCACCCCACCCACTCGTGTCCCCCTCCCCGTGTTCCCCTTCAGGCCTCTCAGACAACGTCCTAAGCGATTATCTCTGGGCTAGAGCTGTCCTCCTCACCACCCCCACCGCCGCTACAGCCGGGCTGCAGATCCAGATCCCCATCGCCCCCTCATGTTCCCCTCCCCATGTTCCCCTTCAGGCCTGCTAGACAACGTTCTGAGTGACTACCTGTGGGCTCGGGCCGTCCTGCTCACCACCCCCACCGCCGCTACAGCCGGGCTGCAGATCCAGATCCCCATCGCGCTCACTGTAGACAGCTGGAAGGCCAACAGCCTGCCAGACACTGTTCACATGGTCGGGGCGGCGTTGGTTGTCCTGGGGTTCCTGGGGATTAATTCGTTCGTGACGTTTGATTGGCTGGGGGATGTGGGTGCGGCCGAGAGGTGGCTTTTGGACCGGTGTAAAGCGGTGGGGGTGGTTGTTAGGGGGTTGGTGGCGGCAGTGGGTGAAATTCTACAAGGGATGGTTCATAGGGTGGTTGGTAGGCGGAGGGGTGGGGAATTGGAGGGGCTTTTAGAGAGTGAGGATGGGGGGGCAGCTGGAGCAGAATCAACTCAGGTAGGAAATCAAGTGGTACTTGGAAAAGCTTCGGATATTGTAGGGGTGAAAGTACTGGTGTAGTCGATTGTTGCGGCACGCTTGCTGCTGTGCTTCACTTGAGATTATTTCTCACACCAACCAACAGGGCCAAACGATGAGTATGATACGATCCATTATGGAGAGGTGCAGAACGCAAAAATAGGAGCTAGATGTCAGTCAAAGCATCAAATTATGATATGAAGCATCAAATTATGATATGAAGCCCAATCCAGTCCAGTGCTATTTACAACAACACGTGGAGTTGAGTTCTACTGCAATTATGATACAGCGTCGGATTTCCCAAATTCCTAGTCAGTTAACCATCCCCAGAGCATGATGAATCATTGAAAAAAAACACAGCACACCGCATTGCACCGATATAACAGCGCATCACACCATACTGCACCACATCACACCATACTGCGCCACATCACACCGCACCACACCACTCCCCACCGTGCCACGCCACATCTTGTCGCATCTCGTCACGTCAGGAGGATCGAGATACAGAGGTCGAAGGGAAAACGAGGCGAGCGGAAGGGGCAACAGGAGAGGAGGCTGAGGGAGGGAGGGTAGGTGTGGTGAGCAGAAGAGGCAGCTGCATCAGTCTCCTCTAATACCCATATGCATGACCTCCCCCTCTTGGCCCCTCAGAGGGCTGGCGAGCAGAGGAGGAACGGTGAGAGGAGGACGGCAGGGCAAGGCGGGCAGAAGGAGCAGCAGGGGCGGAGGCTGAGGGAGGGAGCGCGTGACGTGCGTGGTGCTGCCAGGTGCTGTCGAAGGTTGCTGCTTCCTCTGCAATGGAGTGCAAAGGGGAGATGAAGAGAAAGTGAGAGAACAAAGTGAGTGATGAGCGTGGTGCTGCCATGTGCTGTCGAAGGTTGCTGCTTCCTCTGGTGGTGGGGAAAGGAAGAAGAGAGAAAAGAAGCTGTGAAAATCAGGATGGAAGTACTGAGGTGGAACATGGGAAGCTGTGAGGATCAGGTCGGGATGGAAGTGCTGAGGTGGAACATGGGAGGGCAAGGTGCGAGCCGCGCATTGTGCAGAATCCTGAATGGCCATACATACACACGTACCAACACGACCAATACCAACACGACCAATACCAACACGACCAATACCAGCACATGAACGCCCCACCTTGACTTTTGAGTCGACTCAAAAGTCACCTCGACTCAAAAGTTTTGAGTCGACTCAAAAGTCACCTCATGGCCATACATAACACGTACCAACACGACCAATACCAGCACATGAACGCCCTTTGAGTCGACTCAAAAGTCACCTCGACTCAACAGTTTTGAATCGACTAAAAAGTCACCTCATGGCCATACATAACACGTACCAACACGACCAATACCAGCACATGAACGCCCCACCTTGACTTTTGAGTCGACACAAAAGTCACCTCGACTCAAAAGTTTTGAGTCGACTCAAAAGTCACCTCATGGCCATACATAACACGTACCAACACGACCAATACCAGCACATGAACGCCCCACCCTGTGACATGCTGTGCAGGATTTCGTATGATGTCTTGGGGATAGACTCCCCACCACCACCCACCACCCCCCACCACCTCACCTTGCGACAAGTTGTGCAGAACCTCGTACAACCTCTGCTGACACCTCTCAACACCGCTCATACCTCGCGCACATTTTCACATGCCACCACCAACAACCCCCACCTTGCGACATGTTGTGCAGGATCTCGTACGACTTCTGCTGGAGGAATCATAATCCTATGACAGACATACCCCTCACCACCACCCACCGCCACACACCACCACCCCCCACCACCCACCACCCACCACCCCACCTTGTGACATATTGTGCAGGATCTCGTATGACTTCTGCTGCCCGCCCTCCCTGGTGCAGCTCAGTGTTCGCGCCTGTTGCCATATGGGGGGGGGGAGAGGGGACGGGAGAGGTGGGGAGTGGTGAGGAGTGGTGAGGAGAGATGCTGCCTGCCCTCCCTGGTGTAGCTCAGTGTGTGCACGCCTGTCGCCATATTAGAAGGGAAGAGGGAAGGAGTGGTGCAGAGTGGGAAGTGGTGAGTGGTCAGTGTGAGGGGTAAGTAGTGGTGGAGGGGGGTTGAGTCACGAGGAGTGGAGAGTGGTGAGAGATGATGAAGAGAGATGCTTCCCGCCCTCCCTGGTGCAGCTCACGGTGCGTGCCGGCCCCCACCTGCCAGCCATTCCCCCATGCCATCCCCCCTGCCAGCCCTCTCCTTGCCAGCCATCCCCCTGCCAGCCCTCCCCTTGCCAGCCATCCCCCTGCCAGCCCTCCCCATGCCCATACCAGCCATCCCCCCTGCCAGTCTTCCCCCGCTACCACCTCCCCCCCTGCTAGCCCCCCACCTGCCAGCCCCCGCCCTGCCAGCACCCCGCCCCCCTGCCAGCCCCCCTCATCCCAACCCCCCCCTCCAACCCCCCCTGCCAACCCCCCCTCCCCCGCCAGCTCACCTTATCGCCCAACCCCCGTGCAACTGTCATGCTCTGGTGTCCCCTCGAGTCCCGCCGCTGGTGCTGTGCCTCCACCACCTGCGGTACAGAGGGGTGAAGAGCGGTGAAAAGGGGCGAGATGAAATGTTGGGGAGGTGAGTGGGCAGTGTGGATGAGGGGCAAGGGGAGTGCAGGAAAGGGGCGAAGAGGGGCGAAGAGGGGCGAAGAGGGGCGAAGAGGGGCGAAGAGGGGCGAAGAGGGGCGAAGAGGGGCGAAGAGGGGCGAAGAGGGGCGAAGAGGGGCGAAGAGGGGCGAAAAGGGGCGACGAGGGGCGACGAGGGGCGACGAGGAGCGACGAAGGGCGAAGAGGGGCGAGGATAGGTAGAGAGCATTCGAGTCAGCTCGAAAGTAAATGCGCTCAATAACACTCAGCAATTGTCGTCCCGGTTCCTTCAAGTTACCCGCTAATCCCCGGTTAGAGGCGACTTATACACAGTGAATACCAGGCTCTGTTATAAGCATGAACCCCGCCGACAGCTCTGTTAAAAGAATCACTCACCCCGTTGGCCGCGATTTGGTGGGAGGACGACTCAGAGTAGTACGTCTTCCCGCCTATCCCCGAGTAGGTGACCGTTGAGCTCTGGAAGGAGTAGGACGAGCCGCCCCCTGCCGCGCCCCCAAGCCCCGCCAACGCGCCGCCGAAACCAGCGCCAAATCCGCCGCCTAATCCGCCACCAAAGAGGCTGAGAGCGTTGAAAGGAGACGACGATGTGATACGCGTTTCGTGCGTGTGAGTGGGCGCGGCTGTAAAGAGAGGACGAAAGAGAGCGCAAAAGAGTGGGACAAATCGGGGAGGAAAAGACAAACGGAGAAGGGGCGGGGAGGGGAGGACGCAAAAGGAAATGTGAGAAGGACAAAAGCTTCGCTTTGTAGCAGCGAAACGCGATGGAGAATGGAAGGCAGGAGCTTTTGGTTCCGACACGCTTCTTATTCGGTGAATAGAAAAGGGCGTGACTGAACGATGGGTTTGCGAAATAATGGAGCAGTTACCACTCGTAACACAGTCAATCACGTCACAGTGGTAACACCGTAACCAGCGGGTTACCTTGCTGCTGCGAGCTGCGACCCTGCTGCCTCGTAGAGCTCCTCTGCTGCTGCTGCTGCTGCTGCTGATAAGCCGAGTTTCTTCCCTGGGAATACTGCTGCTGCCGCTCATACGCTCCGCTCTCCGCGTTTCCCTCCTCTGCTTCCTCATCTTCCTCCTCGCGTTCTCGCCTCCTCTTCCCCTCCTGCTCCTCCTCCTGCTCGTCGTCTGGAAGCTCCACTATAGGCTCTTTCGCAATATAAGCTCGGTTCCTTCGCCCTGGTCGTTCGCCGCCGGTTTCGCGAGAATCGGACGGTTTCGCTCCCCTGCTGCTGGTGCTGTGGTAACCATGCGGTAACCCGGTTTCGTCGTCGTCATGAACTTCTTGAATGGCCGGTGCAGACACATGCTGCTGGTAACGCTGTCGCTGCTGCTGTCGCTGCTGCTGTTGCTGTTGTTGTTGTTGCTGCTGCTGCTGCTGCTGCTGCCGCTGCTGTTGCTGCTGCTGCTGAAGGTGCCTGTTATGATGCTCCTGATGCTGACGCTGATGCTGCACATAAACAAGGAAACCACACGAACGAGAACCGTATAGAAACATGCTTAGATAGTAATTTTTTTTTTTTAAGTAGCAAAGGTCTGATGCGTCTCATAGCAATATCCCATCCCTTATCCTCACATGGTCGTCGAATCCGAACGGCGACGCCGACGGAAGCGGCAGCATCGGTGCGTGCGGGAACATCGACCCAAACGCGCCGAATTCCCCGCCGAAAATCCCGCCGGGACCGCGACCGGCTGTCCCGCCTTGACGACCGAACATGGACCCGAAAGGATCCGTGAAAAAGGGGTCTGAGAATACGGGATCGTTGAAAAGGCTTGGACCGAATCCGAAACCCATCCCGGCGAAGGGGTCATGATTAGGGTTCGGAAAGCCGCCTTGACCTACACCTCTATTCATCTTGAAAAACGCTTTCGCACGAGCACCCGCGACACGACGGAAGCCACTCTTACAAACAACGTCCCAGAAACGAGGCGTTCAAGAGTACTTCAACCCACAAGAAATCTACGCACAGCTCGACAACGTGGCAAGAAACCGAGAACCATGAAAGAGCGAAGCGCATCACATGGTAATTAATCTGTAGCAAGAAATAGTATTTCACGCAAAAGCACAGGATCCGAAAATTCTTGACCCTCCAGAAATGACACCCATCATCAAGGTTGCCTTTCCTTTCATGCTCACCCATCCAATCCCAAGGCCAGCCAGGCCTCCCCTCCTCCCTGTTGCCTCATCCGAAGATTGAGATTGCGGTTCGCCAAAAAAAGGGAGTTCCCGTGGCTGTGGCGAAAGTCGCCACAGGGAAATTGGAGCCTGTGGGGAAATTCTTGATGACCGCGGTCACTGTACTGTACTGTGTTGAACAGAAATTTTTATTAAAATCAGCTAACGAAATCCTATCTACTTAAAGCCAGGATCTCAAGAGAATTTGGCATCAACTGCAAAACAATTGACGCTAGGGTCACCCTGTTTCAGTGGGCGAAGTGGAGTGACGGGTTTGGGGTTGACTGTGCGACACATCCCCCGTTTTGCCCCTGCTTCAATTGCAAAACAAATTGCTGGGGACTTGAGACTTTCGGGAATCTGAAACATTCGCTGGGACTTTAGCTTCGGCCCCGAACCAGTCTCCGTGCCTAGATGGTTCGGAAACAACCTGCGACTTGTATTTTTCTCGCACCCCTCGCTTCACACCTCGTCAACTTCTGTACCTCGCCATCCAATCTCAGCCTAGCACTATTCACCAACTGTAAAACGAATCCAGTTATTGAGATCCTGGCTTTAACGGTACAGTACACCCACATGGCCACATGTACAGAAGCACAGTCTCGAGCTGGGTTTGTTGTGCCACACACGCAATGTGGGGCAGCTCGGGCAGGTTTCAAACCCTCAGTTGTGCTCTAGAAAAATCACGAAACAAAGTTCTTGACGTTCGATCATTGCTGACGTGGAGTCTCCCCACAGTATCAAAAATCCAGCCGTCCCAAATCCGCGGATCATGCAGCATGGTGGTGACGGAATTCAAGTGGTGCTGAGGAGGCCCTGCTGAACGCGTTACACGGTATCCTCGAGATAATGCAGTAAATATTTACACTGATGTAGAGACCAGCAAGATGTATCTGCATTTCCAAATTCACCACAGCCTCCACTGCACCATCCTCCCTCCCTCTATATCCTGCATGGCCATTTTAGCTTGATGTGTGACATTTGTGCGCCATTCGCATTCCTTATTTTTCCTTCCTCTACAAGTCTTTGAGCTTGAGTCGCTGTTCTGCGAACAACCCATCACCCACATTTCCAAAATAAATCGATACTCCTTTACAAGCCTTCTCCCACAGGCCTGACCTGTGGCCCGCAGGCCTTCACATTCCCGTGCCCTCCATCCAAGAACCTACTGTGGGAGAACAGGGGCAAAGCCTTCCCACACTTAACCATTTCGAGTGCATCGCTTACATCGCAACTCGCACTGCTGCTGATGCTGCTGCCATTGCTCCCATCAGCACACCCAGTCACCAGATCAGCTGCCATTTTGCCAACCAGTGGACCAAATTTAAACCCGTGCCCCGAGAACCCTGCTGCTACCACAATATTCACTCCGCCTGTCTCTCTGAAACTTTCTTCTTCAGACCCATCTCCTCGTGTTCCCTCCCCTAGAACCCCCTCCCTTCCCTCACTGCTAGTCCTGCTTTCTTCTGGTAAAGCGCGCTCTCCTGTAGCCAATGGGATGCGATCAATTATGAAATCTTGGTCCGGAGTCATGGTGTAGAGGCAAGATTCCATCATCACAGGCTCGGTGGTAACCCTACTCCCGAACCTGGCCTGAAGCCACGGCACCAGCACGGTCCGGACCGCATGCGCATCCGGGAGGGAGGGTCGGTTGTCAGGGTCGGGGCAGGGCAGGCCGGAATGGAGGGAGACCTTGATTAGGTCCGGGAACTCCAGGCTCGGAATGCCGTACACGTACGGTTCGTCATAGTTGATAAATAATGGAATGGCTGTGCTGTTACCGTTGCTCCTGCTTCTGCTGCTGCTGCTAATACCATCAGAAGAAGCAGCACCAGTAGCAGTAGTACCATCACCAACAGCATCAGCACTGTCAGTATCAGCAGCAGCAACAGGAGCACAGTCAGCATCTCCCCCTCCCTCCACAGCAACCCGCCAGTAAGCCACGGTGGTTCGCAGGGCCTGCAGAGGAAGCTTCCTCCCTGTTGCCCTCTCTAATAGTTTTCCCGCCCATGCCCCTGCTGCCACTACACAGTCGTTACATGTAACGCTGCCTCTGCTGGTTACCACACAAATCCGTCCTGAATTTTCAACCCCTGTAGCTGCTGCCTCTTTGTCCTGTAGCAGCTCGACGGCAGTAACCGCCGTTTTGTCTCGTAGTGCCGCCCCGTGCTTCACCGCCAGCTGTTGGAACATCGCCACAGCTTTCGTCGCATGCAGCACCCCCGCATCGGGACAAAACACGCCGACCAAATCATCGTCAGAAGAAGAACCTTCAGAAAAGTTGAACATTGGGAACCGTTCTCTCAAAGCAGCTCCCTCCAGGAGCTGATGTGGCACGCCGTGGTTGCGACAGCTGGCATGAACGGCTGCCAGGTCAGCATTGCTGCGTGGGCCGAAATCCAAGCCACCGGTGACGGTAAGGGGGGAGTATCCAGCCTCGTTAGAAGCAGACTCCCATAACTTATAAGCAAGCGGCATGAGTGCGGTGTAATGGTCTTCAGGGTAAGTTCTCCTGATGATTCGAGACTCCCCATGCGAAGAGCCTGGAGATAGGAGAAGGAAGGAAGGGCGGATTAGAGTGGGGTGGATGAGACTGGGGTGCATGAGTGCAGTGTAATGGTCTTCAGGGTAAGTTCTCTTAATAATTCGAATTACTGCGATGACTTGACACCGGCAGGGGAGGAGTAGAGGAGGGGAGGAGGAGAGAAGGAGAGGAGGAGAGAAGGAGAGGAGGGGGAACGGACTGCTCGGCGGTGCAGCATTCGCACTGCTCCAGCAGTAGCAGCAGTAGTCTCCTTGTTAAGGGTTCATTCGACAACAGCACAAAATCCTCGTTTATAGTCCACTCGATAACAGCAAGATCTCTCTCTCTCTCCTCCCCCACCTCGTCTGTGCAGCAGGTCGAACTGCTCCAGAAGCAGCACTTACCGCCCGCATTTCACGAGCTCGTACGCTGCGCAGATGCCAATAATGCGGTAAGGTACGGTACGGTTCTGTGAGGTGCGGTGCTGAGAGATTGACAGCATTGTTTTCTCCACTCACCTCGGCGGTGCACCAGATCAAACTGCTCCACCAGCAGCACAGCCAGCCTGTGATTAACTATCAAAATCCTCGTTAAAAACGAGCTCGATAAAAGCAGAATGTCTCTTTCTCACCTCGTCGGTGCAGTAAATCGAACTGCTCCAGCAGCAGCACTGTCCGCCCGCGCTTCGCGAGCTCGTACGCCGCGCAGCTGCCCATGATGCCAGCACCCACCACCACCACGTCGTACCGCTCCATTATACCAGATCCACGTGGCTGAACCGCGCAGAAGCGGCGAGACAATGACAATGCGGTAAGGTGCGGTGAGGAGCGGTCCGGAGCGATTGATACCGGTTCCGCAGGAGACACTAGCGCAACGGATTCACGCGCAACGCTTCGCACTGACAACGCTAGGGAATGAGAGGAGCAAAACTGACGGATTCTGTCCGCCCAGCTGACTCTGTTTGCGGGCCCCAGAGAAATCTGGACGGACCAAATTAGCTCCGAAGGAATAGCTTCTATGGGTACACCTCATATCTCGTTACTACACGCTCCGCTGATTCAACTTGAAATAATCAGACTCATAATGCTCAGGTGCATCACCTCTCATTGCTTGATAATCACCACATAGAGTCGAACCATATAATTATCAGACCACTATGATGGGGCAAGTTGCAATAATTCGCCTTTCTTTTTAGACGAAACCCCCTTCTTCCACCATTTCCACCTCTGCGCAAATCCCTTAGCCCACACAGCAAGGTGCGCAAGCCAAACCGCTGCTTCCAGTTTCAACAACTGCATCTCCACTTGTGCTATTTGCAGCCTTCTGTGCACATACGCCTTCCAACGAACTGCCAAAGAGTTCGGAGCCTTGGAAATTAGAGCTTTCTCATCTGCTTCTGCAATTGCCTGTGTGCATTCCCGTGCGGTGATCATGAATGTGTTGACTGGGGTGCCCTGCAGTGATGTATGTAAGCGCGATGGACAGAACAGAACAGCACATAGACGAAGGATTCGGGATGCAACCGAGGAAAGATTTAGGAAATCTTGGACAAAGGATGCAGGGCGAAACACAGGAGAGAGGGGACTCACCGGACAAGACAAACAGATCTGCGATCCAGTTTCAACAATACGGCATATTTTGCAAGAAGGAAATGGTGATTACTCACCAGGGCAGTATCCAAGGACCGAAGGCAGTCATTGGTTTTGAGGAGCAGCAGCAGCACACGGGGCAAGCATGACAGTCATATGAAGGGAAACACGGTAGTGAGAAATAAAGGAAGATTCTCACCAGGGCAGTGTCCAGAGAGCGAAGGCAGTCATTGGTTTTGAGGAGCAGCAGCAGCACACGGGGCAAGCATGACAGTCAAGTGAAGGGAAACACGGTAGTGAGAAATAAAGGAAGATTCTCACCAGGGCAGTATCCAGAGAGCGAAGGCAGTCATTGGTTTTGAGGAGCAGCAGCAGCACACGAGGCAACCGAGCTAGAAGGCGTGTAATGTCATTGAAATATGCGGCTGCTGATTTCTGGAGAAGCAGAGAGGAAGGGAAGGAGGGAGGGAGGAAGGGGCTGAAACAGGGGGACGGCTGTGGTGCGATGAACGTGCTAGAAGGCGTGTGATGTCATTGAAATATGCGGCTGCTGATTTCTGGAGACGCAGAGAGGAGAGGGAGGGGCAGAGATAGCCGTGGAAAAGGGTGGGTTGGGCGTTATTTGAGTCGACCCACTCCAATGCAGGCAGGCAAGCGTGTGGCCGCAGTGTGAGCGTCGCAGCAAAGAGAGGGAGGAGAGCGTCGCAGCAAAGTTGGCGTACAGGCCTCCCCGGCGCCCAGCAAGGAGAGGGAGGAGAGGGCAGGGGCAGGAAAGGGGGTGTGCAGGTCCTCCCCCGGCCCTTAGCGTAATGTTTTTTGAGAGGACCTGCGTGCGCGGCGCACTGCTGTGCTGCATGGTGCCCTCACCTGCAGGAGCTGCTTCTCTTCCGCTGCGTCTGGGATAAAAAGATGGTCCGAAGAAGCCTCAACGATGTTCTCCCACGATCCGCCCCAACCCCCAGCGGAATGACCATAGAGGACCTGCGTGCACGGCGCGATGCTGTGCTGCATGGTGCCCTCACCTGCAGGGGCTGCATGGTGCCCTCACCTGCAGGGGCTGCATGGTGCCCTCACCTGCAGGGGCTGCATGGTGCCCTCACCTGCAGGGGCTGCATGGTGCCCTCACCTGCAGGGGCTGCATGGTGCCCTCACCTGCAGGGGCTGCATGGTGCCCTCACCTGCAGGGGCTGCATGGTGCCCTCACCTGCAGGGGCTGCATGGTGCCCTCACCTGCAGGGGCTGCATGGTGCCCTCACCTGCAGGGGCTGCATGGTGCCCTCACCTGCAGGGGCTGCATGGTGCCCTCACCTGCAGGGGCTGCATGGTGCCCTCACCTGCAGGGGCTGCATGGTGCCCTCACCTGCAGGGGCTGCATGGTGCCCTCACCTGCAGGGGCTGCATGGTGCCCTCACCTGCAGGGGCTGCATGGTGCCCTCACCTGCAGGGGCTGCATGGTGCCCTCACCTGCAGGGGCTGCATGGTGTCCTCACCCGCAGGGGCTGCATGGTGCCCTCACCTGCAGGGGCTGCATGGTGCCCTCACCTGCAGGGGCTGCATGGTGCCCTCACCTGCAGGGGCTGCATGGTGCCCTCACCTGCAGGGGCTGCATGGTGCCCTCACCTGCAGGGGCTGCATGGTGCCCTCACCTGCAGGGGCTGCATGGTGCCCTCACCTGCAGGTGCTGCTTCTCCTCGAGTCCGTGTCCGGAATAAACAGGTGATCCGAAGACTCCTCCACAACGTTCTCCCTCTCTCTACCACTCTTCACCCTCTTTTACCCCTCACCTGCAGGGGCTGCTTCTCCTGGAGTCCGTGTCTGGAATGAACAGGTGGTCCGAAGACGCCACAACGATGTTCTCCCTCTCTCTACCACTCTTCACCCCCTTTAACCCCTCACCTGCAGGTGCTGCTTCTCCTCAGCCGTGTCCCGAATAAACAGGTGATCGGAAGACGCCTCAACGATGTTCTCCCACGATCGCAGAGTGAGTGTCGCAGCAAAGATCGCGTACAGGTCCGCCCCGGCCCCCAGCGCAATGCTATACTGCATGAAGCCCTGCGAGCCACTGCCCATCATCAGTAACCTAACCAACCCTACGCCTCCTACCCCCCACCCCTCCCTCACCTGCAGGTGCTTCTTTTCTTCCGCCGTGTCAGGGAGAAACAGATGGTCCGACGACGCCTCGACGATGTTCTCCCACGATCGCAGAGTGAGCGTCGCAGCAAAGATGGCGTACAGGTCCGCCCCGGCGCCCAGCGCAATGCTATACTGCATGATGCCTCTAGCATCTGCGAGAACAAGAGCCTTCCAGAGGTGCGCGTAGTTGAGGCGGAGGGAGTCAGGGAGTTGCCGGTACAGCCCATGATCTAGTAACACCACTTCTGGCTCCACATAGCCTGGAGAGAGTGGGAACGATGCAGAACGGACATACAGCGTAGTTGAGGCGGAGGGAGTCAGGGAGTTGCCGGTACAGCCCATGATCTAGTAACACCACTTCTGGCTCCACATAGCCTGGAGAGAGTGGGAACGATGCAGAACGGACATACAGCGTAGTTGAGGCGGAGGGAGTCAGGGAGTTGCCGGTACATCCCGTGATCGAGTAACACGATTTCTGGTTCCACGTAGCCTGGAGAGAGGGAACGGAGTGAGAGGAGAGAGGAGAGGTAAGGGAGTGACAAAGAGAGGGAGGAGAGGGTAGCGGCAGCAAGGTTTTACACACATGTCTCAACCCCGTTCCCAGCGCAATGCTGTACTGCATGTTGCCTCTCGGATTGGCCAGCACAAGGGCCTTCCAGAGGTGTGCGTAGTTGAGGCAGAGGGAGTCGGGAAGCTGGCGGCATAGCCCGTGATCCAGCAGTACCACCTCTGGCTCCACATAGCTTGGCGGGAGTGGGAACGATGCAGAGGGACATATAGCGTGATATAGCGTGATAGAGGCAGAAGGAGTCGGGCAGCTGGCGGCATAGCCCGTGATCCAGCAGTACGACTTCTGGTTTAACTGGCCTGGAGAGAGGGAGGGGGAACGACGTGCAACAACACATGTGCGCGTAGTTGAGGGACGGAATCGGGGAAAGTGAGGGCAGGGGCAGGCGCCTTGGCCGAGAGCGGGCATCCAATCACGCAGGCAGGTAGAGCAGGCAGGTCTACGCGCAAATCCCGAATCTCTGATACTAGAATGAGCAGCACTCACCGCCGCGCATTCGCCGCCCTCCTCTCTTCCGCCGCACCAGCACATAAGCAGCATGGTGATCGCAGTGCACAAAGCATTCCTACCAGGCACCCTTACCCCCATGGTACTAGAGAGACCAGCCACTCACCGCCAGGCATTCGCCGCCCTCCTTGCTTCGGCCGCACCAACACGTTTGCTGCATGGGGATCGCAGTGCACAAAGCCGTGGCGGAATATCATCTCCGCAAACGCAGTGCTGATCTGGTTGGTGGACGAGTGACGGAGGAACGGGGAAAGAAGAGAAGAGTAGGAGTGAGGTACCATTTGTTTGCGATCATATAAACATAGCATAGGCATCAAAAGTGGGAAATGATTTGAACTTGGATCGGGTATAAAACTAAATGATGGGCCAGGTACCGAATATAAATGGGCCAAAGAGTTTACCATGTAAAAAGACTGCAAACTCACCAGTTTTGCCACGTCAGCAGGGTTGATCCCCATGTCCTTGAGCCTTGCCACGTCAGTCAGAGGCACGCCTTCCATCCACTCCATCGTCAGCACTCGCTGCCCGGTAAATTCTGGGAAGCTTCTCGGCACCGCCACAGACTCCCTCAGGAGCTTGGACGGTGAGGATCGAAAGTTGGCCATGCAATGACGACCGTTGGATGCTTCGAGGGTGAAATTTAGCTCCTGTAGAGAGGAAGAAAGGTGAGTGGATGGGTCACAGTGGAGGGGGAGTAGATTTGAAAGGCATGACGTATTACGGACGAGGGAAGAGGAGATTTGGAAGGGTGAAATCTAGCTCCTGTAGAGGGGTAAAAGGTGAGTCGGTGGGTCACAGTGTGAGGGGAGGAGATTCTGAAGGCATGATGGTCCATGGAAGGGGGTAAGTACAAGGCAAAACGTTGAGAGACAGAATGCAATGCAACGCCAGCCGTTGGATGCAATGCTGTGTCACAATGCAATGCTGACCGTTGGATGCTTTGGGACTGAAATCACGCAGATGGCAAAGTAGAAAGCAAATTGCGCATGCAATTCTAGGTGTCCTGTGCGGTTCAATCTACTTCATAGACGCTCTCTGAAACGTACCTTGGGTAAGCTCTCTTCCACCTCTATGATCAGCCACCTGACATGGAGATCGCAGATGGCTAATCACTTTCTAGGTGTGCTGTGTGGTTAAATTGACCTTTTAGGCGCTCTCTGAAACGTACCTTGGGTAAGCTCTCTTCCACCTCTGTGATCAGCCACCTGCAACGGGAAAGCAGACAAGATGGGAGTAATGTATGATTGGATTTATTGTAGCGATGGTTTCAACTGCCGATCCAACCGAACAAATCGGGAAACTAAATAAAACATGTAGCGGGTAGCCTAGGCTCGGGAAGCAATGATGTATGCAGTCTTGGCTCGAAGAGAACAAATACATGAATACTGCCAAGACTAGGCTGCAGGCTCGAGAAGAACCAACCGGTACCTGTAGTCTAGGCTCGGGAAGAACCAATACCTGTAGTCTAGGCTCGGGAAGAACCAATACCTGTAGTCTAGGCTCGGGAAGAACCAGTAGAGTGCGGAAATGACAAGGCGCACTGATACCATGTCTGCTGCTGCTGTGTCAAGCAAATGTGCGTGCTGCACCTGGTGGGATGTGGTGTGAAGGGGTGGGGAGGGGTGAGGAGCAGTTGGGATGGGTTAGTGGGTTGCCGAGAAGGAAAAGACGGGTACAGCATGTCTGCTGCTGCTGTGTCAAGCAAATGTGCGTGCTGGACGTAATGGGATGGGGTGGGAAAGGTTGGAAGAGGGAGGGTTGGAAATAGGTAAGTGGGGTTTCCAAAAGGAAGAAATGGGGCCTCAACAAGAACTATGCTGCGTTGTTGGACCAGAAAATCAACAAGAACTATGCTCGCTTTGACAGCCACACCTTCCCCTGATTCCGGAGTGCCAGGTGCACTTGGGCCGAGAAAGATTGATTAGACACATAATATTCTGACCTGATACTCACCGTGACCTCACCTTGACGATCTCTACCTCCCCTGATTTGTGTGTGCCTTGATGAACTAGGTTAGGCTCGAGAAACCTTATGCGACACATCACTACTTGACCTGAATCTCACCTGACTCTCACCTGACTCTCACCTGACTCTCACCTCAACCTCCTGACCTCACCTTCACTGCCACGTCTTCCCCTGTCTTGAGTGTGCCTCGATGCACCTGGGCCAACGAGGCACTCGCCACAGGCGTGGGGTCGAATGAGGAGAAGATCTGACGGTGGGAGTTGTAAAACAGGAGGAAAGGAGAAAAACAGGAGGAGAAAGGAGAAAAGCAGGAGGAGAAAGGAGAAAAACAGGAGGAGAGGGGCAGGGGAGAGGAAGGTGCAATTGGGCCAGGGATGCGCTTGCCACGGGCGTGGAGTCGAAGGAGGAGTATATCTGAGCATAGGGTGGGGGAAAGGATGATAGGGCTCGGAAAAAAGAGTGTGGGGAACCGGTAGGAAGGGATTGGGGAGAGGTAGGGGTGAAGGAGGGATGGAGGGATGAAGGATCGACGGAAGGTTGGAGAGCCGAACTCGATGGCAGGGAGGTTTAGGAAGGATTCAACTTACTTCTCCCCTTCGCCATACCACCTTCCCTCCCGTCCCTCTTCCACTTTACCACCTTTCCACCTTCCACCATACCTTTCAAAACGGACGTTTTTCACCGTACCTGCCTCTCTCACCGTACCTCCTCTGGTGGCTTTCCGAGCTCTGATTGGATGACGAGCCGAACGTCCTCGTAAGGGGTGACAGGGCACGTGTTGAGCATAGACTCCTTCATTACAATCACATACTCCTCCGGCACGATGTAGTCCTGAAAACACAGAAGGCGAGCAACGTAAGTTATGTATACACATACATGTGCATCTTTTCCCACCACTGACTCCTTCATTACAATCACATACCACTCCGGCACAATGTAATCCTGAAAGCACAAAAAGAAAGCGACAGAAATTACGCAACATATAGACTTGTTCAATTTGGTCACATATTCCATATCATCACAAATTTCTGTTCTTGAAACACGCCCATGCCAACAACACCCTTCAAAGCCACACCCTTCATAGACCCAAATCACACCCACCAGCTGAGCAATGTGCTGCCCTAGCTTGATGTAGATCCCTCCGTTTCTGGAGCACATCGCCTGCAGCCGATCCCTTTACCCATACCATCAACAACACCCTTAACATGCACACCGGGTAAACTGGAACCCACCAACTGAGCAATGTGCTGCCCTAGCTTGATGTAGATCCCTCCGTTTTTGAAGCACATCGCCTGCAGCCGATCCGCGCAGCGCAGGTGGCACTGCCGCTTCTCCGATTCCATTTCCTCGCTGCCCGCGGGCAGCCCGCAAAGAGAAGTCTTGTAGTCTGAGGAAACAACAGAGAAAATGGTTACTAGGTGAGCAGATTCGGCTAAAGGCCCTGCATTGCTATATTGCATAATAAAAAGGCTTTAGTGAAATGTTTAGCTAAAAGCGTTTATGGGAGCAAAGGCTGGTTGGGTGGGAAGTCGTACCAGCAACCATGGCGAGTACTGTGGTTACCACTCTTCCAACGCGCACTGGGACTGTAACGAGAAGCTTCAAACGAAGCATTGGATCCTCCCCCATTGCAGCCCATCCCACCGCACCCACGAAGCCCAATCCAGCCACGCCACGTGTCAGCCGCAAAAGGATTGACGGACGATTCAATCCGCCGTTTACTTGTGCTTTTGCCCCGTGAGATGCGGCGACGTTGCCGGCGTGAGTCGCGGCGGTCGTGGAACTAAAGAACCGCCTAGCTGCGACGCCGCCTACAACCTCGATCTGCGACGGGTAAGTGGCATTGAATTTCACCTTGCCAGCCTGACACGCGCCGCGCGTGAAGGCTGTCGAGAAATGGGGAGCTTTCGTAACAGTGAAAAATGACCTACAGATGTTCTGTATTGTTCCTTTATAGACGTTCCGTACGGTCCCGTTACTGACATTGTGTATCGTTTCGTTATAAATGCTCCTCCGATCCACAGCATGCTTGGCTCCTCGAGCAGCACTAGCGGCAACAAAACAGAATGCATTGTGGACACTTTTCCCCCGCATCGCGAATCGTGACGCCTGTGCGACTCGTCTGTCTCGAGAAGTAACCGGCCTCTTGCTAACACGAATCTGGCGGTACTGCGATTGCTGTGTAACGGATCAGCCACAAGTAACTTTCAGCGAGGAAGCTGCAAGGAAGGATCGCCGACTCCCTCACTTCAAGAACGACCCCTGAGCTCTTGGCAGGTAAGGCGCGGTGGTACTCTTAGTTCGAGCACCCCGAGGATCGAGCATGGAATAGATCGACAGTCGTCAGCGGGAACTGCGCTGTATGATAGCGATAACGAAGTGCGCAGCCTGCTGGCCTGGTTTGGCGCGAGTTTGCCAAAAATAGACGGATCCGTAACCTAGATCGTTTCTTCTACATACCTTATGCCCAGCAGACCAGACAAAGCAGTATCTGTGTGCTGAACTAAACTACGTGATCCTAAATTAGCCTGCTTCTATGCGATGTCAGCTCAGCAGCACTACCAGAGTCTTGAAGACCATATTCCAAGCCTTTCTTGCAGTCCAGACCAGAGTCTTTGAGCCTCTACGTTGAATGAACTTTTCGCGCGCTTTTTTCCTGCAATTTTGGAGGTGTGGCGAATCCCAAGGGTGTTTCTGGAACACTTGAGGCGCGGCGGCCGCCAGCAAGAGGGTGGATGAACGGTACCGCTTGAGTCTTAGGTCCAGACACATTCGCTTTACTAGGCTTCAGTCATTCGCCACGGCAACACTAGATGTTACAAGGTTTTGAATATCGATCATAGACTTTACTATGCCTTGGTAGCTAGGAGGATAAGGGAGGAGTGTGGCGCGACATTGTAGGTGCCGCTGATTACACGCCCATTGGTTGCAATTGTCTCCAGATCATCCACAATGTCCCTTGGAGATGGCAAATTAGTGTCCGCCTGTTCCCAATCACCGACAACAAGAGGCACTCAGAGGCAGGGATAATGAGATGCAATGTACACAAGGATAGGAGAGAGATAATTGCATGATTTAGGCAATGAATCTTATGCTATGTTTCCACGAAAAGGGCGTCATTGTAGCAGTGAGCTAGGATGTACTCACCAGTCGGACCCATTGGCGCCCAGCGGGTGGGGGAGGTAGGCCAGCATCCACAGCGAAAGAGTGAGCATTGAAGGCCACATACAGGTCCCCACATGTCCCAGAGGTGTCATGCAAGCTGCAACATTTAACATACACACATCCATGAATGAAGATTAGTTGTGATTCTTGTTGTGGTGCATTCAAACGATCGAACACTTTGGACAACCAATAGTGTTCCATAAGACTGAAGCCATCGAAGGGAAGTGTTGAAGGTCGACTTACCTGAAGGCAAGGAATCTACTCTCGTAGTTATCCCAGTTGTCTTCATGCCATGTGATGTCCCGCTGAGAATTAGCCACACAACACATGCACACAAACACACACCGGTGATCAAAGAAGCCAGCTTGCTAGTTGTCTGAACATACAATGCAGTGGATATATGCATGAAAGCACGAGGGTGAAAGAGAAGTCCGGTCAGCCGGATGCATACTGAATGCACGTTATGAATCCTAAAATGCTGATAACTGCAGTTAGGGGGACGCTGAGGGATTACGGGCGAGAGGAAGTTGGCTTGGCCAAGAGCTGGGTGCCAGGAACGAAGGCGGTTGACTGCTGCTGTGAAGCGGAAGAGAGACGAGCGGGCCTGGTCCAACTGGGTGGGAAGAGAATGGGAAGCGGATGGAGCGAGCATGGGACCTCAGATAAAGAGAGTGACAGGGACAGCTAGAATCAGCCGATTCCAGAGAAAGTGGTTCAGATCGGCGTCATGGCAATAGCTGTTAAAAAGGTGGCAGGTCATCAAGGCAGTCTATTTTAGTCACAAGGTGCTGTACTATCTGTTTCTTCAGTGCCAGAAGCTGATTGATCACAAAGCCGTGCAGTCATGGAGTGCAATAGCCTCCAGTGCCATAGTTTAATCACCTGGTTCCAGAGGAAGCGGTTAAGTGCGGTGTCATGGCCGTAGCCGTTGTTGTTACCAGCCATAAAGGTACAGCACTGTATCACTACAAGGCGCTTAGTCACTCACACCACACCATGCGCTGCTCACCTGGTTCCAGAGGAAGTGGTTGAGTGCGGTGTCATGGCCGTAACTGTTGTTGTTGCCGTTACGCGTGTGCCCGTACTCATCCCCCATCAGCATCATGGGTGTTCCCTGTGACATGTGTGCATGTAGACAGCACAGGGACAGGGCACAAGAGTAATGGCATGTTGAGCATCTACAATATAGTATATGTCCATCCATGTGTGCCCGTACTCATCCCCAATCAGCATCATGGGCCTGCTCAGATCCATCCATCCATGAATGCATGCATACAGCACAGGGACAGTGCACAAGAGCAATGACACGTGGAACTTGTACCATATGTGCCCGTACTCATCCCCAATCAGCATCATGGGCATGCCCTGCTCTATGTGCACGTGGGGCTAAGGGATAGGTAGCAAGGGAAATGGCACGTTGAACGTGTTCTATGTCTTGCATATGCCCGTCCGTGGGTGGCCGTACTCATCCCCAACCAGCATCCTGGGCGTGCCCTGCTCCATGTGCACATGTATACGGCACAGATTACAAGATGCACGTGCTTTTGAGGCGCCTCAAAAGTCATCACATGTATATGCAAGTGCACGCACCTGGGAGTCCATCAGTGCGATGTGGAATGTTCTCATCTGCCGGTCTCTCAATGCCACAACCCCCTCGTTCTGTCTCACCCACCTATGACATGCATGTATGTGCTCGCATGCATGCACCTGGGAGACATGCACGCACCTGGGAGAAATGCACGCACTTGGGAGATCTGGACGCACCTGGGAGACCATCAGCGCGATGTGGAAGTTTCTCATCTGCCGGTTGGTTTCTCAACGCAACAACCCCCTCATCTGTCTCGCCCACCTATGACGTGCGTGTTTGTGCCCACACGCACGCACCTGGGAGACCATCAGCGCACCTGGGAGACCATCAGCGCACCTGGGAGAGCATCAGCGCACCTGGGAGAGCATCAGCGCACCTGGGAGACCATCAGCGCACCTGGGAGACATCAGCGCACCTGGGAGAGCATCAGCGCACCTGGGAGAGCATCAGCGCACCTGGGAGAGCATCAGCGCAGCTGGGAGAGCATCAGCGCAGCTGGGAGAGCATCAGCGCAGCTGGGAGAGCATCAGCGCACCTGGGAGAGCATCAGCGCACCTGGGAGAGCATCAGCGCACCTGGGAGAGCATCAGCGCACCTGGGAGAGCATCAGCGCACCTGGGAGAGCATCAGCGCACCTGGGAGAGCATCAGCGCACCTGGGAGAGCATCAGCGCACCTGGGAGAGCATCAGCGCACCTGGGAGAGCATCAGCGCAGCTGGGAGAGCATCAGCGCAGCTGGGAGAGCATCAGCGCAGCTGGGAGAGCATCAGCGCACCTGGGAGAGCATCAGCGCACCTGGGAGAGCATCAGCGCACCTGGGAGAGCATCAGCGCACCTGGGAGAGCATCAGCGCACCTGGGAGAGCATCAGCGCACCTGGGAGAGCATCAGCGCACCTGGGAGAGCATCAGCGCACCTGGGAGAGCATCAGCGCACCTGGGAGAGCATCAGCGCACCTGGGAGAGCATCAGCGCACCTGGGAGAGCATCAGCGCACCTGGGAGAGCATCAGCGCACCTGGGAGAGCATCAGCGCACCTGGGAGAGCATCAGCGCACCTGGGAGAGCATCAGCGCACCTGGGAGAGCATCAGCGCAGCTGGGAGAGCATCAGCGCAGCTGGGAGAGCATCAGCGCACCTGGGAGAGCATCAGCGCACCTGGGAGAGCATCAGCGCACCTGGGAGAGCATCAGCGCACCTGGGAGAGCATCAGCGCACCTGGGAGAGCATCAGCGCACCTGGGAGAGCATCAGCGCACCTGGGAGAGCATCAGCGCACCTGGGAGAGCATCAGCGCACCTGGGAGAGCATCAGCGCACCTGGGAGAGCATCAGCGCACCTGGGAGAGCATCAGCGCACCTGGGAGAGCATCAGCGCACCTGGGAGAGCATCAGCGCACCTGGGAGAGCATCAGCGCAGCTGGGAGAGCATCAGCGCAGCTGGGAGAGCATCAGCGCACCTGGGAGAGCATCAGCGCACCTGGGAGAGCATCAGCGCACCTGGGAGAGCATCAGCGCACCTGGGAGAGCATCAGCGCACCTGGGAGAGCATCAGCGCACCTGGGAGAGCATCAGCGCACCTGGGAGAGCATCAGCGCACCTGGGAGAGCATCAGCGCACCTGGGAGAGCATCAGCGCACCTGGGAGAGCATCAGCGCACCTGGGAGAGCATCAGCGCACCTGGGAGAGCATCAGCGCACCTGGGAGAGCATCAGCGCACCTGGGAGAGCATCAGCGCACCTGGGAGAGCATCAGCGCACCTGGGAGAGCATCAGCGCACCTGGGAGAGCATCAGCGCACCTGGGAGAGCATCAGCGCACCTGGGAGAGCATCAGCGCACCTGGGAGAGCATCAGCGCACCTGGGAGAGCATCAGCGCACCTGGGAGAGCATCAGCGCACCTGGGAGAGCATCAGCGCACCTGGGAGAGCATCAGCGCAGCTGGGAGAGCATCAGCGCAGCTGGGAGAGCATCAGCGCACCTGGGAGAGCATCAGCGCACCTGGGAGAGCATCAGCGCACCTGGGAGAGCATCAGCGCACCTGGGAGAGCATCAGCGCACCTGGGAGAGCATCAGCGCACCTGGGAGAGCATCAGCGCACCTGGGAGAGCATCAGCGCGATGTGGAAGTTCCTCATTTGGCGGTTTCTCAACGCAATGATTCCCTCATCCTGTGTGGCACCTGGCGGGGGTTCAAAAGTGGCACGAGGAGTTGGGTGAAAGTGTCACGCATGTCACAAAGAGTTCAGTGCAGAAAATACTAGTCCACATTGTAGAGGGTTTTGGGGAGTCAAAAGCAGTTCTTCACCCCCACACACACCTCCAAATAGTTCTCCACCTTCCCCCCTCCCCTCCAAACCCAGCCCCGCCCCCCCCCCCTCCCCCCCACACCCTTCCAGCTACTCACCTTCCGCTCCGCAGTTCCAGCTGAAGTTGTCGTTGCTGCCGTCCCTCCCCTCCTCCCCATTCGCCTCGTTGTGCTGCCGGGGAGGGAGAGAGAATGGGGTCAGGGGCCAGAGGGGGAGGTGTGGGAAAGAAGGAAGGGAACAGGGAAGGGAGTGGGGAGGAGGGGGCGGGGGAAGAGGGAGGAAGGACAGGAGGAAGCAGAGAGGATGAGATTGGAGAGTTTTGGGGCATCTAAACCAGGAAAGGTAGGGGAAGGAAGGGAACGGGCAGAGGAGATGAGTGCGAACAGGGGGGTAAGGGGATGTGAGTAAGGCTGGGGGGAAGGTGGGGAGAGGGGAAAGAGGGAACGAAATAGAATTACTAATGCCACTACTTCCTTTCTTTTGTTGCGTTTTTTACCTTGACGTTGTAAGACACGAGGTCCCTGAGTGTGAAGCCGTCGTGAGCGATGACAAAGTTAATGCTGTGGTAGGGCTTGCGCTGATTGACCTGCCCGTGGTTACGCGGAGAGCAGGGGAGGGATATGCAAGGGATATGATAGGCATGAGGACTTCGTTCTCCCGGGCACAGAGATGACAGCAACATGAACAGCCAGAGATAAGCATGGTAACATATGGTAAATCTCATATTTGATCCCATGACAGGGAATGGCATGGCAACACATGTCATCTCACATGGTACACGTCATCTCACATGGTACGTGTCATTTCACATGGTGCGTGTCATCTCACATGGTGCGTGTCATCTCACATGGTGCGTGTCATCTCACATGGTACGTGTCATCTCACAAGTTACATGTCATCTCACATGGCACATGTCATCTCAAATGGTACATGTCATCTCACATGGTACATGTCATCTAACATGGCACATGTCATCTCACGTGGTACATGTCATCTCACACAGAACGTGTCATCTCACATGGTACGAGTCATCTCACATGGTACGTGTCATCTCACATGGTACATGTCAGCAGATCCAGCCAGTCGAGTGGCAAACGGCCCCTTCATGCCCTCATCGCCCTTAATGAATTTGCGCACGTCGTCTCGATACTTGCCGTTCCACTCCGCCCACCTGAGATGAAGGTGATGGCAGCATGGCATGGGGATGATGGGGATGGCATGGCAGGGGGGTGGGGCGACGGCAGCATGGCATGGGTGGAGAAGGAAGGGTGTGACCATCCATGACATACAACCAATGACAGCTCAAGGGCCCCTTCATCCCCTCATCGCCCTTGATGAACTTGCGCACGTCGTCTCGGTACTTGCCGTTCCACTCCGCCCACCTGGGATGATGGTGATGGCAGCATGGCTTGGCGATGATGGTGATGGCAGCATGGCATGGCATGGGGATGGGGCGATGGCAGCATGGCACAGGTGAAAGGAAGGGTGTTACCATCCATGATAGATCATTGATGAGTGCAGCATGTCATGAGTTTCCTTTCCTATATGACTCAACCAGGCAAGGTGTTACCTGTTCCAGTTTGTAAGGGCGTTACCAGTGGGGAAGGCGTTACCTGGTCCAGTTTGTGAAGGCGTTACCAGTGGGGAAGGCGTTACCTGGTCCAGTTGGGCAAGGCTACCTGTCCTATTCAAGGAAGGTCTTACCTGTCCCAATTGGGAAAGCTTCCCACTTGGTAGAGTCCCCCACAGTCCCACGGCTCTGCGATCAGCTTGCACTTGGATAGCACCTCGTCCTTGGCAATGGCCTGATGGGGGGGGGGGGAGGGTGGAGAGAGGGGAAGTGTGGGAACAGGAGGGGAAGGGGGAGTCGAGGGATGTTGGAAGTGCGAGGTGGGGCGAAAACCACAGCACCTAGTCCGTCACCTCCTAGAGTCCCCCACAGTTCAGGGCTCCGCGATGGGCTTGCGCTTTGACAGCACCTAGTCTGTCAAAGGCAATGGCCTGGCCTTATGAAAGAGGGGGGGGGAGGTATGGGAGGTGGCAGGGCGTGAAGAAAGACGGGATGAGAGGAGAGGGAGGATGGGATGTGACCAATCACTCACCCAAATCATCCACCCGACCCCAGTCACCCACCCCATTCCCTTACCCGATTGAAAGGAGGCACTTTGAGGAGCTCTCCATCAGCCCTCAGCACAAGGTGACTTTTGAGTCGACTCAAAAGTCACTTTGAGGAGCTCTCCATCACCCCTCAGCACAAGTCACTGGGGAGGTCAAGTAAGTGAGGAGATCACTTGCTGCAGTCCCTCGCCCCAACTACTCATCCAATGCCCATCCCAATTACGTACCCGAATGAGAGGAGGCGCTGTGAGGAGCTCTCCATCAGCCCTTGGCACAAGTCACTGGGGAGGTCGAGTAAGAGAGGAAATCATTATCCCCAATTTCTCTCCCCAACTACTCGTCCAAAACCCATCCCAATCACGTACCCGAATGAGAGGAGGCGCTGTGAGGGGCTCTCCATCGGTCCCTCGGCACAGGACACTGGCGAGGTCAAAGCGGAACCCATCCACGTGGTACTCCTGATGGAGAGGGCGGGAGTGAACGGGATGGAGGAGACGATATGATTGGTAGGGAGTCAGTGCACAGGGCACTGGCAAGGTCAAAGCGAAACGCATCCATACGGTAGTACTTAGGTGTGCGTGGAAAAGAAGGTAGCCTCACTCTCACATCACATCACATCGCACCTGTGCTCCCTCCCTGCCTCTCCCCCTTCTCCTCTCCCCCATCTCACCTGCACCCAGTGCCGGAGGCTATCCAGGATCATCTGCATCACCACTGGGTGGTTGCAGTTGAGCGTGCCCCCTCTTCCCATCTCCCCCTTTCCTGTCACAACCTCTCCTTATCTCCCCGTCTGCTTTTCTCCCCTTCTCACCCTCTACCCCTCCCAATCCCCCCGCCTCACCTGCACCCAGTGCCGGAGGCTATCCAGGATCATCTGCATCACCACCGGGTGGTTACAGTTGAGCGTGTTACCACACCTGACTGCTTCCTCCTCTCAGTCTCTTGTCAGCCTTACTACCCCACATTCCCACCCGACATGGCCCCTCTTGTACTCTCTGTACGCCCCTCCCCTCAGCCTCACCTGCACCCAGTGCCGGAGGCTATCCAGGATCATCTGCATCACCACCGGGTGGTTACAGTTGAGCGTGTTACCACACCCGGCATAATTCGCCAGTTGCACATAGCTGTTCGGCTGAACGATGTAGTATGTCTGGGGGTTAGGAAAGAGGGGCGGGGAGGGGGAGTGGGGATGGGGGTTGGGAAAGAGGGGCGGGGAGGAGAGGTGGGGATGGGAGGTGAAAAAGAGGGGCGGGGAGGAGAGGTGGGGATGGGAGGTGGGAAAGAGGGGCGGGGAGGAGAGGTGGGGATGGGAGGTGGGAAAGAGGGGCGGGGAGGAGAGGTGGGGACGGGGGTTGGGAAAGAGGGGCGGGGAGGGGGAGTGGGGATGGGAGGTGGGGAGGCATTGGCTTGGGAATGAAGGACAGGTAGCAGCCAAGGAAGAGGAGGGAATTTCAGCCCCTTGTTTTCCCAGACGGGGTTTTGGAGTCCACTCATCAAAAGTCACCTCGAATCAAAGAATGGACTCTGCTTCACCCTCACCCCTCTGGTTCTGCTTCCTTCCCACCTTGCTGTCAATGCCCCGGAACAAGGTTGTACATGGGAAGGTGCCATCAGCCTCGTTGGTGTGCTTGTAAACCACATCCTGTATCACCTCCACCTAGACATGAGCATATCGACGAGCCTTGACTCGGCTCGACAGGCTCGGCTCGGGTTACCCCCGAGCCGAGCCTTTTTTTTTGGCCCTCTGTCTCGTATCGAGCCGAGTCGAGCATGGCTCGCCGAGCCGGCCGAGCCGCTCGGCTCGACGAAGCAATTTCGGCGAGTCAGGGATGGCTCGCGGGTCAATTTGGCTCGTCGCGAGCCTTTGAATGGCTCGACGTTCCTATGCGAGCGAAAAGTCGGGGGTCCGAGAGCTTGAATGTAACTGATACGTTCGTTCCTGTCCGTGAATCGCGTTTTGCTAGTGGTAACAAATTCCTGGAACGGGATACTAATCATCCCTAGATCGGGAATGCACATCTCATCGGGGAGGGAGATGCACGGTTAAAGCGACGGGCAACTTTTGGCAGTGTTGGGTTCAGAAGTTTTTTTTTTGAACCAGGCTTGCCAGCGCGAAAGTGCTGGCTGGCGAAAACCAGGATTTCGTGCGGACACTTTCCATCCACAGTAACAGTTCGCCAGGGTTCTGGGTTTTGGGTGGCAAATGTGCACCGTCGCTTTAACAAAACAGTAGAGGCCAATCTCAGCGACACTGGGACGAGTAACATGTAGCGAAAAATAGGCGAAACCTTTGCCCAATCTCAGTGACACGAGCATTCCATAAAGGAGGCGAAAGCTGTTGAAATCTCGTCAACTCTCGACTAGTTTCGCATGTGCGTTTGTATTTGAAAAAATTGTTCCCCAAGGTGTTCGCCAGCATTCTGTATCCAGCTTCGTTGAGCTTAATTTGTTCGCTTATCCCACAGCAGGCCTCCCAACTTTCCCTCCACCAAATTCGACCAAATTTCGCGGGTTGAAATTAGGGTTACTGTGTCAGAAATTCGAAAAGCAGTGTCAGATCTGATTGCTCGACAACCTCGCGCGTGTTTCCGTTTCATGCATCGACGGGGAATTTCTAGAGTATTCTAAACATAGCGGCTAGCCAGCATCAGACTGCTGATCTGAAATCGTTCGACAGCCTCGCGTCGCGCGTGTTTTTATGCCTTGATCGTGATCTTCTAGATCCGGCCAACCGTAGCAGCCAGACACCATACCGGCTTCTGGTGTATTATTGCACGACAACCTCACGCGCGTTTTTGTGCCTTGATATGACTCGCGAGGGTTGTTTCCGTGCCTCGTTAGGCGCATTTCAGGGCCTTGCTAAGCGCGTTTTCGTGCCTCGCTTAGGCGCGTTTTCGTGCCTCCTGAGGCGCGTTTCCTGTAGATCATTCCATTCACAGCATGCAGACATCGTTGTTCATAAGAGACCACTGATTTACGTTCGTCATAACCAGAATATATGACTGCTAGGGTCGAGCCTGGCTCGGTTCGTCACAAGCCGATGTGGCTCGACCCAAGCCCTTGAGTGGCTCGGGTATGATACCCAAGCCACGAGCCAAGTGAGTTCACAAATCGGCTCGGCCTGGCTCGACTCGACTCGGCTCGAGGTTAAGGCGAGCCACTGCCGGCTCGAGTCAAGCCTGGCTCGACTCGTCCCGTGCTCATGTCTACCTCCACCCTCGCCGCATGCATCCGCTTCACCCCTGCTCTTCCCCTACTTCCCACCTTGTTTGTTCGACTGCCCACCCGCATGCACCCGCTTCATCCCCAACGTTCACCCGCTACATCCAGGCGCACACCTTGTTGTCAATCCCTCGGAAGGAGGTGGTATAGGGAAAGGTATCGTCAGCCTCGTTGGTGTGGTTGTAAACCACATCCAGAATCACCTCCACCCCTGCTGCATGCAGCTTTTTCACCATCTCCTTCACCTCCCTCGCTGCTGCTGCTGCTGCTGCTGCTGCTGTTGCCTCTCAGAAGGCCACTCAGAAGGAAGGAGACAACATCAGAGGCTCGTACCTTGTTGTCGATGCCGCGGAATGAGGTGGTATAGGGGAAGGTATCGTCAGCCTCGTTGGTGTGGTTGTAAACCACATCCAGTATCACCTCCACCTCCTCCGCATGCAGCTTTTTCACCATCTCCTTCACCTCCCTTGCTGCTGCTACAGGACCGCCGCCGTTAGAGGCGAAGCGGGACATGGGGGCGAAGAAGTTGACAGTGGAGTAGCCCCACGTGTTCACCTGGGGGGTTGGGAGAAACAGGGAACGAAGCAGAGAGGAGTTGTAGGCGGTTGAAGGTGGTACTGTGGTCCCCAGCGTTGGAGGCGAAGCGGGACACGGGGGCGAAGAAGTTGACAGTAGCCCCACGTGTTCACCTGTGGAAGAGGGAGAGAGGGGTTGAAGGCGGTTGAATCTGGTTAGAGGTTCATGTGACGACATGGCATGCAGCTTCTTCACCATCTCCTTCACCTCTCGTGCTGCTGCCACGGGGCCACCAGTGTTAGAGGCGAAGCGGGACATGGGGGCAAAGAAGTTGACCGAGGAGTACCCCCACGTGTTCACCTGTTGGTGGTGTGGGAATGTGGCAGGGAAACGGGTTGAAGGTGGTTAGAGGTACATGTGATGCCACTGCATGCAGCTTTTTCACCATCTCCTTCACCTCCCGCGCTGCTGCCACGGGGCCACCAGCATTGGAGGCGAAGCGGGACATGGGGGCAAAGAAGTTGACCGTGGAGTACCCCCACGTGTTCACCTGTGGGGGAGGAATTGTGGCAGGGAAGGGTTGAAAGCGGTAGAAGGTGGTTAGAAGTAGATGTGACGACATGGCATGCAGCTGCTTCACCATCTCCTTTCACTCCAAGCTCTTCCTGGTTTCAGGGCTCCAATGTGGTCACAGGAATTGGGGCGGGGCGCCTCTGCAACTCCATCTCGTCATACTCAAACTCAAAGATGGGCAGCAGCTCCACCACTGCCACTCCGCTGCCTTCTTCACCCGATCATACTGCATTCCACCCCAGCTCTACCTTACCTGGGAAACCTAGAGCACTATACCATGTGGTCTCGGGGGTTAGGGCGCCTCTGGAAAACCACCGTGTTCACCCCCAAGTGCCTTCATTGACTTCACTTCACCTCATCCCACTGCCTTCCACCTCAGCTACCTTATCTGAGAAATCTAGAGCACCATACCATGTGGTCGCGGGGGTTGGGGCGCCGCTGGAACTCCATCTCATCGTACTCGAAGATGGGCAACAGCTCCACCGCGTTCACTCCCAGCTGCACCAGGTGCTGCACCTGCACGCATGGGATATGGACAAGCGGGAGGAGTGCAGGGACTGTATGGGTTCATATGCATGCACATGAATGAAGGTGCACATCAGCTCAACTGCGCTCACTCACTCCCAGCTGCACCAGGTGCTGCACCTGCAGGCATGCCACGTGGTAACACAGTAACACGGTGGGTCATGGGATCACACACACAGGGTCGCACATGCAGTCATGCCATAAACGCGTTCACATGGGAAGCAACACAATAGCACGCAGCAGCATGTCACACTAACGCTTTTTGAGGCGCCTCAAAAAGGGTCGCACATGCAGTCATGCCATAAACGCGTTCACATGGGAAGCAACACAATAGCACGCAGCAGCATGTCACACTAACGCTTACCACCACTTACAGAAACAAAAAATTAAATGGTTCCACCTTTGACTTGCACACCCTACCTTATCCGCAACAGCTGAGTAGCTTCCTCGTCTCCCCTCCTCGACCCCACTAGAGGGATCTGCAGTGTATGCCCGCACGTTCATCTCGTATATAATCACGTCTTTCTGCAATCACACAGACAGGAGCACACGAGAGGACAACATGGAGTAGGGATAGAGGCAACAGTCACTATAACTGAGCAGGAATACTAGCTTCCCATGCCACTAGCTATCCCCCCTCCCTCCATCTCACTCATTCCCTCCTCCCTCCATCTCACTCATTCCCTCCTCCCTCCATCTCACTCATTCCCCAGCGATTTACAGGCTTCTTTCTCCAATACAGACAGCACTTCTTTTTCGCTCGCTCCTCAACCCCCAACCCACCCACGCACTGCAGTGCAGACACAGGTGCAAACTCAACCTGGAAAGGAGGTGACTTTTGAGTTGACTCAAAAGTCGCTGCAGTGGAGATACTGGGACAGACTAAACCTGAAAACCGAAACCTTAACCCCGAAACCTTAACCCCGAAACCCTATCCACGAAACCCTCCCCTTTCATACCTCGGGAATAGGCTTTCTCTTGGCTTCCGCCTCTCCCCAATCGAACGGCTCAGATTCAAAGTCAAAAGTGCCGTACATCTGAGCCATTCGTTGGCTCCCATCCCCAAATTTCCTTCTCCCATCCACGAGGGGTGTGTAGGGGTCTATCAGCAACAGGGAAGGGTCGAATCGGTGGCCTTCTCCCCACCCCTTTGGACCGTCCACCTTATAAGCATACAGCATACCGCATAGAGGCACGTTCTGAGGAGACGAGGCAGGGGGGGAGAAAAAGGAAGGTTGAACGATGACACCTGAAATAGAAGGGTATTAACTTAGTTCAGAGTTATGTTTGGCCGTTTTGATATAAGGCGACAGAAGGGAGAGCATTCACAAGTCACCCCATCAGGACTGCTCACCTCCACAGAAGCATGCCAGATGTCGCCCGTTCGTTGGCTGTTGGGATCCAGGGCAATCTCGAGATCAGGAGGCGAGCCCTGCTTACCGGACAGGAACCTGTGGGGAGAAGAGTCAGGGGAACGAGAGGGGGTAGCAAGGAGGAAAGGCTGAAGCTGAACCGATTAATCCTACTAGGATTAATCTGGTACCTGATCTCATACGGAATTGAATCTGTGAGGGTCCAGAGACAGCGTGACAGCGTGAATGGAAATGGCACCTTGGGGTAAAGATTGATGGCCTACACGCAGGAATTCAAGGCTGTAGCGCGACTGAAGACTTACAGGCAGAGGGTCACGGCTGTAGCGTGGTTAGAGAAAAGTGCAAAGTTGACGGTTCCTCGAGCAGGCAAAGAGTCACCGCTGTAGCCTGACTAGAAACTTACAGGCAGAGGGTCACGGCTGTAGCATGCTTGGAGAAGAGAGCAAAGTTGACGGTTCCTCGAGCAGGCAACCTGCTGTAACCGTCTAGCTTGGGTCGCTTCTCCACTAGAGACGGGCCCAGAGGGGAAGGTGAGCCGGTTCCGACCTTCACTTGTGACGCAGGGACGGGTGTGCTATAAGCGAGTGTTGTTACAACGGAGGAACGTCGCCAGGATGACCACGGGGGCGAAGCTGGGGGGATAGAGGTGGAATCCGATCTCGAGCCGCGCATGCCCTGAAAGGGATGACGTGTACACGTAGATCAGAAAACGGAAACGGTATGCGTGAGATGTGATGTTAGCATGCTAAAGAATGATAATGTCAATGACATTGGCAACGAATACGACAATGCCATTTGAGGTGTTCGAGACCATCAATCCGATCTCAAGTTACGCATGTCCTGGAAGGTAGACGATCAGTGATTACCATGATCGTGAGGACGATGGCGACGGAAACGACGATATCGATGGGGATGGCTATGGTGATGCTGATCACATCAGATTCATCATCTACCGGCAAAGGCGAATCATCCAACTTTTCCTACCTTGAAACTTGGAGTCAGCTCCTTGACGAAAACACGCCTTCCGATAGTACACGTGTCCAATGTAGAAACCCTTCGGACGAATCCCAGGCTGCCAGGTGGCGCCGCGGCGAAAGTGCTCGCAGGCGGCCTGACGATGCTCGCCTGAGCATTCATGACGAATGCGTCACCAGACGGAATGCCGGATACTACGCCGGAAATCACGCACGCTGAACGCGACGACGTCTTTTCCGTAGACGCCTCGAACAGATGAATATGACGCTAGATTTTCCGACTGTGTACTGGAAGCTGATGATGACTTGTAGAGACAGCGCTTGAGGCAGGAGACCTGGCTTTAGACGGCACGACCGATTCTCCTAGAGTGCACGAGCTTTGTGTGGTCGAAGACAGACGAATGGAAGCTTTGAGATTCGTTCTTCTAGTCTCCAACACGAGACCTACTCAGGCCTCCTGATAGGATTCAGAGGATCGTTGCAAGCCGAAGTCACACGCCTTGACAACCCACCGTTGCTGGAGGGGAAATGGTTTGCATGAACAATCAGCTCAATGATCCGTCGTAAGTGGTTACCACCACAAGCACTTCGCTTCCGGCCTAATGGGTCAAAAATGCGAGTTGTCGTCTTTCGCCACGCTTGTTTCGTTCGACAACTCCAAGGGTCCTCCAGCAGCAATCCCAAATCTCCTGCGGCACAATTCTAGCATCGATCCTGCCGAGCGATTGGAGGGGCAGAAGCTGGGCCGTGTTGATTGGCTCGACGGAGCTTTTCTGCAATTGGTCGGTGAAGCGAAGGTGGCGAAAACGGAGATATTTGTAGCGCCGGTTCGGGTAAGTTGAGAACGATTGTGTGGGTTCGTGATTCCTCGACTAAAAACTGAACTTTAAAACTACGAACTCTGTAGAACAATCCAAATATGTGTAATAGAAGATTCCAATTTGAACATATGGGAAGCGTGATGTATGGAAACTGAACAGCTTCAACTGATTGTAAAACACCTTGCTTTTACATTCACAAGATGAGTGTCACGCTCACAAAAAGGATTTGCAATCATACAAATGACATTTAAAAAGGTCTCAGCTTCTGTGGTCCGGAACATGAGAAGGGACATCTCCAAATGTTTCCTCAATCTCAATCTTGTGGCCTTCTGGGACCTCCCATGGCTTCCACTCTGCTTGTTGGGAGAAGAAACACACACAACGTTGTGGGCAAGACACGCCACTCCCACACACCCCATCACACGCACGCACGCACACACAACGCATGCACTCCCCCTCCCCCAACACACCCACACATGCACACAAACAAAAGTACACACAAGCACAATCACACTCGTGAGAACCCATGGAATCAGCTGATCCAAAGGCCTGAAGCAACTGGCCAGCCCAATCCCCTACTCCGAACGTATAAGCACAACTTAGCCCTCTGTCCACCTACTCCTCACACACAAACCCTACTTACCGATCGTCAACCCAGCGTTGTACAGTTACAGAGCTCGTCTAAGGCCAACGGGCCCTTGGCCTCGAAAAATCCGGAGCACTTCGGGAAGAGCACATGACATCTCGCGGTACTATAGTATCACTGTACCCGCTAGGGAACTCCTGAGGCGTCCCGGCATAAGCGACACCATGACAGCTCGCAGAACTACCGTACTACGTAGAAGACAATAATGACGTCTCAAGCTTGGGCATGATACTGAGAGCGTGCAATACAGTTCCATTTAGGAGGTTGCGAGTTGCGAGCACCGTGGGGATACCACGGCGGACCGCAGACGCACGCGAATCGACCGTAGCAATCTAACTCGATGGCAACCCTACCTGAACCTACGCCCTCGCCTCATGCAACGATCGCGACACATGGAACTCACTCGCGACGGCGGCGAGTTTGCAGATCGCGAATCCACGGAGTTGTAACGCACCGCTGCAATCTTTCTCCTACTATCGAGACCTGCCAACCAATACTGCTCAGCACGACGGGAATCGTACTGGCTAACAAGACGAGAGTCTCACCTGCCATTTTAGGAATCAGTTCTAGCTCGTCCTTAGCTTGCTCGATCAGCTCCTCCACCTGTCCGCATTGCACGCGCGCTTCGATCTGCTCCGCTTCCTGCTCCTCCTCGCACACCGCGAGCCGCTGCCGCGTCAGCGCCTCCACGTTCTGCCTGTACACGGCCTCCTGAGGAATCACCTGAACGGCGCTTAGGGTTTGGTTGTAGAGGCCGATGAGCACCTGCCGCGCGTTGGGGACAACATCGAGGCCGACGATGCCCGTCGACTCCTTCGCCTGCGCGAACAGCGCTCCTAACCGTCGACTCAACATGGCGGCTTGTGTACAATAGAGTACACAAAGCACAGCAAGAGGAGAACCGACTGCAGAAGCAGAAAACGTTTGTTTACGTTTTGTTTCAAATGAAGACGTGCGTTCATGCCGGAGTGGTTAACGGGACAGACTTGAAATCTGTTGGGCTACGCCCTCGCAGGTTCGAATCCTGCTGAACGCGATTTTTCCCCACATGGTCGTTATGGTGGATATACGCCCCACATGTCCCTTTGGTGCTTCCTACTCATCAGTCCAACCCCATTTTTACATTCATCTGCTCATCAAAAGCTTGCACAACTTTATCTCCTCATCAAGAGCTTGCTAAACTTTCATTATTCGTACCATAAAGACGAATGATGCTGGAATCACAGCAATTCAGTGTAACAAACAACAATTGACAGCGGGGAACTCTACCCTGTCATTTCCTCTGCATCATCTCCTGCTGTTGCAGTACACATGCATAAAAATCCTGAAACATATCTCATGGCAAGAACCGGCCAGTGTCCCTTGCCTTCTCTCGTGCCTTCTCCAGTGTGAAGCTACCACATTCAATAGGATATCAGCAACCAAATTTCTTTTTCCTTTCATGAAAACAGGCCAGTGTGTCCTGTCCTGTCTTTTCTCGCATCTTCTCCTGCCGCTGCAGCACCAGAGGTTCAGGGCTACAGAAAGACCGTCGGCGCGCTGTCAAATTCCTTACAACCAGCAACAAGGAAAGAATCTCATGAAAACAGGCCAGTGTGTCCTGTCTTTTCTCGCATCTTCTCCTGCCGCTGCAGCTCCTTCAGAGGGTCAGGGCTCCGGAAAGATCTTCGGCGCCGGCTGCATACAAAGGAGTGAGAAAATGGAGGGACACAACGAGACAGGTGCAATGTAAGGCTGCCACGGAGAGAAACATTTACCATTCTGAAGGATGGGATGCGATGATTTACAGACATACCGTTCTTTTTCATTCAAGATGGGAAACTCCGGCAACTCTTGCTGCGCCTTCGGCAGCGGCTCCTCCCTAAACCATGACTGGTTTGCAAACGAGTGGCACAACACCAATATGAAGCACGGGAAGAAAACACAGACGTACCGTTCTTTCTCGTTCAAAATCGGAAACTCCGGCATGTCCTGCTGCGCCTTGGGCAGAGGCTCCTCCCTAAACCACGCGTGATTTGCCGCATCCGCAGCGCTGATCCGACGGCTGGGATCGCACGCGAGCATCCGCGACAGCAGATCGAACCCCGCCTCTGACAGCGTCGGCTTCCCGCCGATCGAAATCGCCGGGAAAAGCTCCCTCAGCCGATTCACCGTGAAAGACGGAAACCGGGCTCCCTTTTTACACGCGGGCAGTTCGGAAAACCCTCGCCAGGTGTCGTCGGTGGGGGTTCCGAGGAGAGAAAAGATTTTCTGTAGCTGCTCTATTTCGGATTCGCCTTTAAAGAGTGGTTTCTTGGTCATGATTTCGGCCATGATGCATCCCATGGACCACACGTCTATGGCTGTGGAATACTCCTTTTGGCCCAGCAGCAGCTCAGGTGCTCTGGCGGGCGGTGGGTGATGGGTGATGGGAGGAGAGAGAACGAAGTGAGTGGGGGGGATGAGAAGAGAAATGAGCGCATTTGTGGAAAATCACCACTCACCAGTACCACAATGCATCCTAGAGACCACCCATCTATGGCTATTTGTGGAACACTCCTTTTGCCAAAGCAGCAGCTCTGGTATTGGCATACTTGTGGCACAGTGTAAGGAACACTCACCGGTACTATAGGGTAACCACAGGCTGTGTATACAGGCGCAGCGGATCCCCATACTGCCGCACCAGACCAAAGCCACATATCTTGAGACTTGATCCCCCCGGCTTTGTTCATGAGCAGATTCGCGCATAACCACACACCTGCAGCCCAGCACACCTGTAGCAACGAAGGCTCCTGCGGGGTACCCCAGAGTAAAACTGAAAATTACCTGAGGGAAAGACTGAAAATCACCACTCACCGGTACCACAGGGTAACCACAGGCTGAGTGTACGGCCGCAGCGGATCCCCATACTGCCTCGCCAGGCCAAAATCGCATATCTTGATCCTCCCAGCATTGTTCATGAGCAACGACTCACCTGTGCAGAAGAAAACATTTGTGATATGAGTTGGCACCTACCTGTACCATAGGGTAACCACAGGTTGAGTATATGGCCGCAGCGGATCCCCATACTGCCGCGCCAGGCCAAAGTCGCATATCTTGATCCCCCCCGCGTTGTTCATGAGCAGATTCGACGTCTTCAGATCCCGATGCAGCACCCAATTCGCATGCATGTAGCTTATCCCCTCTAGAAGCTGCTTCACTAAACACTTCACCTCCGCCTGCCCAAACGGCCTCGGCATCGCGTCTAAAAGCACCTTTAAGTCATGCTCTACATATTCCATCACCATGAAAACCCGATCCATGGATGAATTAACTACCATCTCCTTCACCCCCACGATCGCCGGGTGGTCTAGAGACAATAGTATATTAATCTCCCGGAGCGACGTCAGCGGGAAACCCTCTCGCTCCTTCTCCATCTTGACTCGTTTGAGAGCATAAATCTCCCCGGTTTCTTTGTCCCGAGCGCGGTGCACCACACCGTACACGCCCTCACCGAGCACGTCGAGCCGTTCGAATGAGTCTACGCTGCGACAGCCACCGAATATGGCTTTCACCGCTGCTGCATCTGCTGCTGCTTCTGCTGCTCCTGCTTCTGACAACGATGGATCATAGGGTAGAGGAGACTTGGAGCTCTCTCGGAACTTATCATCCCTCCTTTGATCATCAATCCCTTCGTTGTCTCCTTTTCTATCCACATCACCCTCATCCTCGTCCTTACCCTCACCATCAGCCTCCCTCTCTGCCTTCTTCCTCCCCTCTTCGATACCTCCCCCACCTTCTCCTTCCTTCACACTCTCACCCCCTCTACTGCCACCCCCTTCACTATCACCACCCTCCCTCCACCTCCTCTTGCTCCTACCTCCCTCCTGCTCCTCCCCTTTTCCCTTCCCCTTCCCGTTCCCCTCGTCATCTCCCTCCCCCTCCCCCTCCCCCTCCCCCTCCCCCTCCATACTAGTATTAGCCCCCCTGTCTCTCCTTCCACCCCTATCATCAGGGGTATTATCCCCTGTTCTACCCTCCTCATCCGGGGTACTAACCCTCATTCTACCCTCCTCATCCAGCGTATTAACCCTCGCTCTACCCTCCTCATCTGCCCCCTCTCCTGCTCCCCCTCCTGCTCCCTCCTCCTCCTCCTCCTCCTCCTCCTCCTCCTCCTCCTCCTCCTCCTCCTCCTCCTCCTCCTCCTCCTCCTCCTCCTCCTCCTCCTCCTCCTCCTCCTCCTCCTCCTCCTCCTCCTCATCCAACCATCTACTACCCCATTTCGACCCACCCACTCCCTCCGTTCGCTCCCTTCCCTCCTCCTCCTTTCTCCCTTCCTCCTCCCCATGCCCTACCGCCATATCCCCCACCTCACCTTCTTCCCTCCACCCCTCCTTCTCTCCCTCTCCACCACTCATCTCCTCCTCTCCCCCCCTTGCTCTCCCCTTTCTCCCTTGATCCCCCTTTCCCTTCCCTTCCATCCCTTCTTCCATATCTCCCACTTCATCATCTCCCCACCTACTCCTCTTTACACTTCCCCCCACTCTCTTCCTCTCCTCTCCTTCCTCCCCCTCCCCACCCTCCCCACCCTCCCCACCCTCCCCTCCCTCCCTCCGCCCTCTTTTCCTCCCCCCCTCCCCCTCCCCATCCTCCTCTTCCCCCTCCTCCCACTCCGTCCCCCCCTCGCCCTCCTCCTTCTCTTTCCGCGCCAGCTCAGCAATTAGCCTCATCCTCTCTCTCTTTCTTGCTTCCAACTCCTCCTCTACCGCACTTCTGTTCCCCTTGCTCAATAACCCTGCTACTGCTGCTGCTCCTGGCTTCTCTTCCTTACTCCGCGCATCCCCCCCCTCCCTCCCTCCATCATACCCCATACCTCTTTCCATACCTCTCCCCATGCCCCTACCCATGCCTCTGCCCATGTCCCCACCCATGCTCCCATCCCTACCCATACCCCCATCCCTACCCATACCCCCATCCCTACCCATGCCTCTCCCCATTCCCCTTCCCATGTCGTTCATACCCCCCCTCCCCATTCCCCTCCCCATGTCGTTCACACCCCCCCTCCCCATTCCCCTGCCCATCCCGCCCCTCCCCACGCCCCAGTCCCTGCCTCGCCCTCTCCCCATCATAGCCCCGTCCCCAGCCCTCCAAGCTCCTTCCCCTTGCCACTCCTCACCAGACCTCCACGTTCCATCCCCTTGCCTCTCTTCCCCAGGTCTCCGGACCTCATCCCCTTTCCACCCATCCCCGGGCCTCCTTGTTCCATCCCCCTTCCAGCCCTCACTGGCCCTCCCCTCACCAGCCCTCCCCTCTGTCCACTCCTCATCAGTTCTCCCATCCCCCCCTTGATCTCTCAAAAAGCTCCTGCCTCTCCCACCCACAGGCCCCCCTCTTCTCATCTCCCCTTCCTCGTCCCTCCGCTCATCCTCATCTCCTGTGTCCTCTCCTCGCTTCTCCTCCCCTCGCCTCTCCTGTTCTCCTGCCTTTCGAAAAGAAGGCTTCTGAAACTCGCTGCTGCCGCCCCTGCCCCTCCCGTCCCCACTTCCCCTCCCATCCCCACTGCCCCTCTCATCCCCTCTCCCCTCCTTCTGTCCCCTCCCTTCCACCCCCTCCGACCCACCATAATCCTCCTCTGAACCATCCCTTCTCACTCTCCCCTCCCTCCTCTTCGATTCCCTCCCTCTCTCTTCTCCTCTCTCATCCCTAACCAACCCCTTCCTCCCTCTCTCATCTCGCTCCCCCTCTTCCCTCCCTTTCTCTTCCTTTCCTCGATCTTCTTTCACCCTCCTCTCCTCCTTCTCTCTGCCTTCCCTCACATGCTCTCCCCTATCCCTATCCTTCTCCTCCTTCCTCTTCCGTCCCTTCTCCTCCTCCCTCTTCCCCTCACGACCATCCCGCCCACTCTCTCGATGCCCAACCTTATGCCTCCCTTTCTCCCTCCCCTCCTCCCCCTCATCCTCTCTCTCCCTCTTCCTACCACCTGCCTTGTCACGACCATGCCTATCTGTTTCCTTCTCCCCATCCTTCTGCCCATCCTTGTGCCAACCATCACGTTCCTTCCCACACCCGTCCCCACGATCCCTTGTCTCCTCACCTCCAACCATTGACGCCTTTTCCTTATCACTACTTCGTCCCCTTACTTCTCTCTCTCTGTCTCTTCTTTCTTTTGCCTCCCCTTTTGGTCCCTCTCTCTCCCTCTCTTTCTCCTTCTCCTTCAACCTTTCTTTTTCTCGCTCCCTTTCCTTCTCGTGGCCTTTTCCGCCTTCCCTCTCCTCCCTCCTCTCCCCTCCTTTCCCTCCATCCTTCTCCCTCCTTTCCCTCTCCCGCCTCCTCAACTCATCCCCCTTATCATCTCTCTCCTCCCTTTCTCTTTCCTTCTCATGCCCCTTCTCCCTCCTCCCCTCCTTTTCACTCCTCCTCTCCTTCTCTCCCCCCCTCTCCCTCTCCTTCTCCTTCTCCCTCTCCTTCTCCTTCTCCTTCTCCTTCTCCTTCTCCTTCTCCTTCTCCCTCCCCTTCTCCCTCTCCCTCTCACTCTCCCTCACCTTCTCCCTCTCTCCTCTCTCCTTCTCCCCGTCCCCCCTGTGCACTTCTCTCCTTTCCCTCCCTCCCTCCCTTCCTCCACTCCCCTGCCCCTCACGCCGCTCCTCCTCTTCCCGTTCCAATCGCTGCAAGTCTCCTCGAGACCCCCGTCTCACACCCATGCCTTCCCCTCGCAACCCACCCCTTTCACCCTCCTCTTCCTCCCCTGTCTTCCCTACCTCTTTTCTCCTTCCTCCCTCTCCTCCCTCTCCTTCTCTCTCCCGCAGGTCCCCTCTCGACCCTCTCCTAACGCCCATGCCTCCACCTGCCCTTGCACCAACCCTCTCACCCTCCTCTCTATCTTCTCTCGCCTCTCCCCTCCGTCTCTCCTCTCCCTCCTCTCTCCCCTCTCTCCTCTCTCTCTCCTCTCTGTCCCCACTTTTTCCACCCTCCTCTCCCTCCTCTCGCTCCAACTCCTTCAAATCCCCTCTGGACCCTTGCCGTACACCCATTCCTGTCCCACCACCCCATTCACCAGCACCCTTATCGTTCCCCTCACCCCTCCCCTCACCCCTCCCCTCACCTTTCCCCTCACCTTTCCCCTCACCTCTCCCCTCACGCCTCTCCACAGCCCTCCCCCTCCTCCACGTCTCCTCCCCCTCCTCACTCGCCTCGCTATCACTCAAATCAGACGCAGACAAAGAAAGCTCTGAAGATTCGTCACTGCTACTACTGCTGCTACTGCTCCTGCTCTTCCTCCTCTCAGCCTCTGCAGACTTCTCTTCGTGAGCCGCACTAGCAACCATCTCTCCTTCGTCCTTCTCAGCTGAGATTCTTTTCGGGTCTTGTGTTGTAAGTTGCCCACGATCTGCAAGTGTAAAAACTGGTTGTTCGAAGTCTGCCCTCTGCTGCTCCTTCTTCCAGCTTGCACTGTCATGGCCCTGCCCTCTCTCTCCTACTGCTCCACTCGCGTTCTGAGGCGCCTCATAAGCTAAACCATCGTGATCTGGACCCCTCTCCCCTCCAATTTTACTCGCACTGAGTAAGTCCCTATCTCTGTCTCTGTCTCCGTCCCTTTCCCTGTCCCTGTCCCTGCCTCTGTCTCTACCTTTGTCCCTGTCCCCATTCCTCTCTGCACCTTTCTCTTCCCCATACCTTTCATCCACTCCAGCCCCCCCTGCTGGAGTCTTCCGTGTGCTAGCATCTACACTCACTGGCCTCTCTTCCGCTCCCCCGTTATCTCTTCCCCTCCTCGTGTCGTCCTTCATGCCACCCAACTCCCGCCTCTCCTCCCCTTCCGATCCTCCCATCCTTCCAGGAGCTCTATACCCCTCCTCTGCCTCCCTCTCCCGCTCATTGTCCCAAAAACCTTGCTCCTCCTCGTCCTCGCTCTCTTCCTCCCCCCAATCCACCCTCTCCTCCTCCTCCCCCTCCTCCTCCTTATCATCCTCCCTCTCCCTCTCCCCCTGCCTCACTCGCTCCCCTTCTCCCCTGCCCGCCTCCTCCGTCGTCTCTACCCCATTCCCTCCTCTTCCCTTAACCTCCCCGTTCTCAGCCCCCGTTTTTATCACACCAGCCCTCTCCTGCGGCTCTTGCTCCTCTTCCAACTCGTTTAAGTCATCCATCCAGTTCCTCCCTGCATTATCACGCTCCTTACTATCACGCTCGTCCCTATCACGCTCACGCTCCTTACTATCACGCTCCGTAAAGTCACTTTCCCCCCCAGGCTCCCTCTCCCCACCTCCATCAAACTCCCCTTCCTCAATCTCCCCCTCCTCTCCCCCCACCACCATCCCCTCTTTCTCCCCCCATGCCCCACCGCCCATCTCCCCGTCCTCCTCCTCCTCACCATCACCATTACCACCATCACCACTCCCAACCGCATCTCTTTCCCTTCCAACCCCCACGTCACCCCTCTCCACCCTCTCCTCCCCCACCCCCTGGTCCTCAAACCCCTCGTACCCCCCTCCCCTGTTCTCGCCCTCCTCCCTCTCCTCCCCATCCCACCCCATCGCCTCTTCCCCTTCCTCTAGATCCCCAAAACTCGGCCGCACTCTAGCCTCCGCTCCCAAACGGCTTCCATTGAACTCCCTTCCCCTCTCGCTCCTCTCGCTTCTCTCGCTCCTCTCGCGTGAACCGTCCTTCGAATAAGCGCCTCTTTCTATCGAGTTGTCTTGTAACGAAGCGCCTCTAGCCGCACTCATTTCCACACCCAGCGGGCTTCGACCAGCCTGGAAGCTCCTCACTCTCCGCTCGCTATTGTCACGCCCGTCAGAGTCCCCCTTGCTGTGACTATGACTGTGACTGTGCGAGGGGGAGTCCCTCTGCCTGTGGTGTGGGTATGGCCGACCCTCACTCTCCTTCTCCCTCTCTCTCTCCCGCTCCCTGCTCCCTGCTCTCTCCATACTCCCCTTCCTCTCTCTGCTTTCCCATCTCTCCACGCTCCCCCTCCTCTCCACACGCCCCCTGTCCTCGCTTCTCCCCTCTCTGCCGCCCATATCACTCCCTCCTCGCTCTCTGCTGCTTCCGCGAAGCTGCTCCTTCCCATGCTGACTGCTGTCTGTACCCAATCGGGACCAGATTCCTTTACGCGTTACAGTGTTACCATCCGTACGCTCCCGCTCCTCCGTCCCCTCCTCCTTCCTCTCCTCCCTCCTCTCCTCCCCCCCCTCCCTCTCCTCTCTCTCCTCCTCCCCTCCGTCCACCCGCCCATCCCTACCACCTCTCCCGTCTCCTCCACTCCTCCCCCCTCGCTCCGCCCAATCACCCCCCCTGCTCCTCCCCATCCCTCGCTCGTCAGCCCCCCTTCCCCGCGCGCCAACCCCCCTTCCGCTCCCGTCCCTCCCCCAACGCCCCCCCCTTCCGCCTCTAAAGCCGCCGTCGCCCCTGCCCTCCCTCCCAAATCTCCCCCTCCCACCACCCCAATTCCCGTCGCCGCCCCTCTCCTCCCTGCCGAGCCTCCCTCTCTGGCCTGCCATTCCCGAACCTACATCCCCCCTTCCACCCCCCCCACGGAACCGCGGCTCCCGGTCCTGTCTCCCCTCACCGCTGGCCTCCTTCACCCCGTCCCTCGGCTCTCGTTCCGCTCCTTGCGGATGTATCGGCGGAGTTCTCCCCCCTCCTTGCGGGTGCATCGGCGGAGTTCTTCCCCCTCCTTGCGGCTGCATTGGCGGAACTCTTTCCCCGCCTTGCGAATCCCTGTCCCTGTCCCTATCCTTGTCCCTGTCCCTGTCCCTGTCCCTGTCTCTGTCTCTCTCTCTGTCTCTGTCCCTTTCATGCCCAGTGGCCCTCAGTCTCTCGCGGAGATCTTCATTTGAAACCCTAATACCTCCTCCTCCTCCTCCTCTCCTGTCGCCGGGTCCCCTCGGCGGTAATCCACGGTCATCCTTTTCTTTGACGCTTCTCGTCAAATCTCCACCGTCCCTCGGGTCGTGCGTCCAATCAGCAGCTCGTTGAGCTGATGCCATCACCGATTCCCTCGACGAACGTTCGTGGTAGTTTTCCCTCCCCTTCGCGCTTCCGGAATAATCGCCACCGCCCGATCTCCGTCCTCCCTCCCGCGCATCGCCAAAACTCCTCCCGGCCGTAGATCTGTCATCGGAATAGTGCTTCTCAGCAACTCTGGCCGTTGAATCAGCAGACACATCTTTCCGCTCTGGAGGTCCCGGATCCATCAAAACGAAGATCGGGAAACCCTAATGCACAAATTGAATAAAAAAGGACCAAGTAGGACTACACTGGATTTATGAGAATTAATTGGAAAATCAATGTAGAAAAATTGCTGGAACCGAAGCTAACGTACATGGCCTCCAGTACGCGTCGGATTTGAGTGGACGGTCCCGATTTAACCTCCGCCACTCATTCTAATCCAAGGAAGTTACAAACCTCCAATGCCCGTCGACGCGTCCACGGAAAACGGCAGCGTAGAGAAAAGCGACGCATGAACGGATAAGGTAACTGATAAGCAAAGAATCGCGATTCAGGAAGACCACTATTGATCAGAAGAACAAGCAACAAACAAACTGTCAAGAGACTCGGTGCGCGGGAGAAATGGATGAAAGATGAACCAACTGAACAAACCGCATGGCCTCAGGTCAGGATCAGGGAGTTTGCAAAATCTGCCTGCCTGAACTCGAGCTGGCCATCTCGTGGAAAATCTCGAGGTTGGGGGAAAGGTGTGCTCCAGTGCAAGGAAGATAATTAATTCCAGCAGATATGATGTAAAAGGTACACCTCTATACATTAGGTGTGATTTAATCTATGCTCCAAAATCGCATCACAAAATAGATAAGGGGCCGTAGGAACACACCCTAAGCAAGTGGGTTGCAACTCATGTAACAATATCAAATCTGTCAAGGCACAATTCACATGCAGCAGCCCCATTTTGAGCATGGAACACTTCGTTCCAGAAAGCCTTCTGAGCTTCCAGAATCTTAAGCCAAGCCACTACTCTGTCCTATCCTATTCTTTCAGCCTACCCAGCTGAAGCTGACCTCAGCTGGCTTTGTTAAACCGCACTTTAGCAGACTGTCAGCCTCCTTGAAACTCCTGGGGAATCTCCTGGAGAATCTTCTGGAGAATCTCCTGTCATCTATTTGCTGCTGGGACAGCAGCAGCAGCACCAGCAGCAGCAGCAGCAGCAACAGCAGCATCTGCAGATGTGTGATTACCTTCGTCATCCTCTTTATTGCCTCCCTCGCTTCCATACTCATTGCCCGGATTAGCTGCTAACAAATCCTCAGCTAGGTCGTTGCTACAGTCGGGAGGGTTGTACGTGTCGTATGGAAGGGGCTGGTTCGAGAGCAGCAGGGAGCCGTAGGGAGAGTGGTCAGTGGTTAGGGTTGAATGCTCCTGGTCATGCTGTGGTGGGTGGGGGGAGAGGGGAGGGAGAAAGTGGATGGTGTGAGGAGGGAGGGAATGAATTGAGGAAGGAGGGATGAAGAGGAGCTAGAAGCGAGGATCCATAAGGCAGGATGTCAGTGGTAAGGAATGAATGCTCCTATCCTAATCCTGCTGGCCAAGTAACATGCGCAGTAGAGTCACACCCACTACAGTCACAATCACTACAGTCACACTCACTCACCAGAGCCTCTAGTCTCTTCAATGATTGCACCACCTCCCCCATGGGGGGTCGGTCTGTCGGCTCAGCAGCCACACACGCCTGTGCCACAGCTGCTGCTTGCTCCAGATCACTCAGTGAGACCTGGTGGTGTGACGGGGGAGGACGAGAGAGGGGATGCAGATGAGGGTGGGAGCACATTCTTGGGAGGAGAGGGGGGGAGGGGTTTGCCTGTCGGTTCAGCTGCCACACACGCCTGTGCCACAGCTGCTGCTTGCTCCAGATCACTCAGTGAGACCTGGTGGTGTGACGGGGGAGGACGAGAGAGGGGATGCAGATGAGGGTGGGAGCACATTCTTGGGAGGAGAGGGGGGGAGGGGTTTGCCTGTCGGTTCAGCTGCCACACACGCCTGTGCCACAGCTGCTGCTTGCTCCAGATCACTCAGTGAGACCTGGTGGTGTGACGGGGGAGGACGAGAGAGGGGATGCAGATGAGGGTGGGAGCACATTCTTGGGAGGAGAGGGGGGGAGGGGTTTGCCTGTCGGTTCAGCAGCCACACACGCCTGTGCCACTGCTGCTGCTTGCTCCAGATCACTCAGTGAGACCTGGTGGTGTGACGGGGGAGGACGAGAGAGGGGATGCAGATGAGGGTGGGAGCACATTCTTGGGAGGAGAGGGGGGGAGGGGTTTGCCTGTCGGTTCAGCTGCCACACACGCCTGTGCCACTGCTGCTGCTTGCTCCAGATCACTCAGTGAGACCTGGTGGTGTGACGGGGGAGACGAGAGAGGGGATGCAGATGAGGGTGGGAGCACATTCTTGGGAGGAGAGGGGGGGAGGGGTTTGCCTGTCGGTTCAGCTGCCACACACGCCTGTGCCACAGCTGCTGCTTGCTCCAGATCACTCAGTGAGACCTGGTGGTGTGACGGGGGAGGACGAGAGAGGGGATGCAGATGAGGGTGGGAGCACATTCTTGGGAGGAGAGGGGGGGAGGGGTTTGCCTGTCGGCTCAGCAGCCACACACGCCTGTGCCACTGCTGCTGCTTGCTCCAGATCACTCAGTGAGACCTGGTGGTGTGACGGGGGAGGACGAGAGAGGGGATGCAGATGAGGGTGGGAGCACATTCTTGGGAGGAGAGGGGGGGAGGGGTTTGCCTGTCGGTTCAGCTGCCACACACGCCTGTGCCACTGCTGCTGCTTGCTCCAGATCACTCAGTGAGACCTGGTGGTGTGACGGGGGAGGACGAGAGAGGGGATGCAGATGAGGGTGGGAGCACATTCTTGGGAGGAGAGGGGGGGAGGGGTTTGCCTGTCGGTTCAGCTGCCACACACGCCTGTGCCACAGCTGCTGCTTGCTCCAGATCACTCAGTGAGACCTGGTGGTGTGACGGGGGAGGACGAGAGAGGGGATGCAGATGAGGGTGGGAGCACATTCTTGGGAGGAGAGGGGGGGAGGGGTTTGCCTGTCGGTTCAGCTGCCACACACGCCTGTGCCACTGCTGCTGCTTGCTCCAGATCACTCAGTGAGACCTGGTGGTGTGACGGGGGAGGACGAGAGAGGGGATGCAGATGAGGGTGGGAGCACATTCTTGGGAGGAGAGGGGGGGAGGGGTTTGCCTGTCGGTTCAGCTGCCACACACGCCTGTGCCACTGCTGCTGCTTGCTCCAGATCACTCAGTGAGACCTGGTGGTGTGACGGGGGAGACGAGAGAGGGGATGCAGATGAGGGTGGGAGCACATTCTTGGGAGGAGAGGGGGGGAGGGGTTTGCCTGTCGGTTCAGCTGCCACACACGCCTGTGCCACAGCTGCTGCTTGCTCCAGATCACTCAGTCAGACCTGGTGGTGTGACGGGGGAGGACGAGAGAGGGGATGCAGATGAGGGTGGGAGCACATTCTTGGGAGGAGAGGGGGGGAGGGGTTTGCCTGTCGGTTCAGCTGCCACACACGCCTGTGCCACTGCTGCTGCTTGCTCCAGATCACTCAGTGAGACCTGGTGGTGTGACGGGGGAGGACGAGAGAGGGGATGCAGATGAGGGTGGGAGCACATTCTTGGGAGGAGAGGGGGGGAGGGGTTTGCCTGTCGGTTCAGCTGCCACACACGCCTGTGCCACTGCTGCTGCTTGCTCCAGATCACTCAGTGAGACCTGGTGGTGTGACGGGGGAGACGAGAGAGGGGATGCAGATGAGGGTGGGAGCACATTCTTGGGAGGAGAGGGGGGGAGGGGTTTGCCTGTCGGTTCAGCAGCCACACACGCCTGTGCCACTGCTGCTGCTTGCTCCAGATCACTCAGTGAGACCTGGTGGTGTGACGGGGGAGGACGAGAGAGGGGATGCAGATGAGGGTGGGAGCACATTCTTGGGAGGAGAGGGGGGGAGGGGTTTGCCTGTCGGTTCAGCTGCCACACACGCCTGTGCCACTGCTGCTGCTTGCTCCAGATCACTCAGTGAGACCTGGTGGTGTGACGGGGGAGGACGAGAGAGGGGATGCAGATGAGGGTGGGAGCACATTCTTGGGAGGAGAGGGGGGGAGGGGTTTGCCTGTCGGTTCAGCAGCCACACACGCCTGTGCCACTGCTGCTGCTTGCTCCAGATCACTCAGTGAGACCTGGTGGTGTGACGGGGGAGGACGAGAGAGGGGATGCAGATGAGGGTGGGAGCACATTCTTGGGAGGAGAGGGGGGGAGGGGTTTGCCTGTCGGCTCAGCAGCCACACACGCCTGTGCCACAGCTGCTGCTTGCTCCAGATCACTCAGTGAGACCTGGTGGTGTGACGGGGGAGGACGAGAGAGGGGATGCAGATGAGGGTGGGAGCACATTCTTGGGAGGAGAGGGGGGGAGGGGTTTGCCTGTCGGTTCAGCTGCCACACACGCCTGTGCCACTGCTGCTGCTTGCTCCAGATCACTCAGTGAGACCTGGTGGTGTGATGGGGGAGGACGAGAGAGGGGATGCAGATGAGGGTGGGAGCACATTCTTGGGAGGAGAGGGGGGGAGGGGTTTGCCTGTCGGTTCAGCTGCCACACACGCCTGTGCCACTGCTGCTGCTTGCTCCAGATCACTCAGTGAGACCTGGTGGTGTGACGGGGGAGGACGAGAGAGGGGATGCAGATGAGGGTGGGAGCACATTCTTGGGAGGAGAGGGGGGGAGGGGTTTGCCTGTCGGTTCAGCTGCCACACACGCCTGTGCCACTGCTGCTGCTTGCTCCAGATCACTCAGTGAGACCTGGTGGTGTGACGGGGGAGGACGAGAGAGGGGATGCAGATGAGGGTGGGAGCACATTCTTGGGAGGAGAGGGGGGGAGGGGTTTGCCTGTCGGCTCAGCAGCCACACACGCCTGTGCCACAGCTGCTGCTTGCTCCAGATCACTCAGTGAGACCTGGTGGTGTGACGGGGGAGGACGAGAGAGGGGATGCAGATGAGGGTGGGAGCACATTCTTGGGAGGAGAGGGGGGGAGGGGTTTGCCTGTCGGTTCAGCAGCCACACACGCCTGTGCCACTGCTGCTGCTTGCTCCAGATCACTCAGTGAGACCTGGTGGTGTGACGGGGGAGGACGAGAGAGGGGATGCAGATGAGGGTGGGAGCACATTCTTGGGAGGAGAGGGGGGGAGGGGTTTGCCTGTCGGTTCAGCTGCCACACACGCCTGTGCCACAGCTGCTGCTTGCTCCAGATCACTCAGTGAGACCTGGTGGTGTGACGGGGGAGGACGAGAGAGGGGATGCAGATGAGGGTGGGAGCACATTCTTGGGAGTAGAGGGGGGGAGGGGTTTGCCTGTCGGTTCAGCTGCCACACACGCCTGTGCCACTGCTGCTGCTTGCTCCAGATCACTCAGTGAGACCTGGTGGTGTGACGGGGGAGGACGAGAGAGGGGATGCAGATGAGGGCGGGAGCACATTCTTGGGAGGAGAGGGGGGGAGGGGTTTGCCTGTCGGTTCAGCTGCCACACACGCCTGTGCCACTGCTGCTGCTTGCTCCAGGTCGCTGGGAGATACCTGGTGGTGTGACGGGAGATGGGAAGAGACAGGACACAAATGGAATAGAACACTTATCAACTTCACAGAGGATACGATTGAGGTTGATCAACATTAATCCAGATCGAGACAAATCAAATCGAGACCTGGACCACCGACCTCTGACCTGAACCAAACGAATTCTTACCATCTAAGGGGTCCTATTGAGTCGACTCGAAAGTGACTTTTGAGTCGACTCGAAAGTCAGATCGAGACAAATCAAGACCTGGACCACCGACCTCTGACTTGAACCAAACAAACTCTTACCATCTAAGGGATCCTAAAAAGCATCTCACCTGGGAAGACTTTTGAGAATTCTCGGTGTGACTTTTGAGAACTCTCAAAAGTCACACCAACATAGCCGAACCAAACAAATTCTTACCATCTAGGGGGTCCTAAAAAGCATCTCACCTGGGAAGCAATCAATCGCCCGGCTGGGAAATGCCGGGTCTTGAAGCTCATCGAGCCTTGGCAGCATTCCCCAGTCGGGACCGCGCCCACGTGACGTGATCAGGTTCTCGTCCCCGGGAGGCTGGCTCATGTCGACGGGCTTCTCACCTGAACCCAAAGAATTTGTCCTGAATCCAGCCAACTCTCTCACCTGGGAAGCAATTCGCGGGTCCAGCAGCTCGTCAAGTCTTCCAGGATTCCCCAGTCGGGACCACGCCCACGTGACCAGGTTCTCGTCCCCGGGAGGCTGGCTCATGTCGACGGGCTTCTGACTTGGAGCACATGACCTGAAGAGGCTGAACCCAGCGAGTTACGTCCTGAATCCAACACAGTCTCACCTGGGCAGCAATCTTTGGATCCAGCAGCTCATCCAGCCGTCCAGCATTGCCCAGCCTTGGCCGTGCCCACGTGACCAGGTTCTCGTCCCCAGGCGGCTGGCTCATGTCCACTGGCTTCCTCCCTGTGAGCAGCTCTAAAAGCACCACGCCATAGCTGTACACGTCTGATGCAACCACCAGATGGCCTGTCATTGCGTACTCTGGGGCGACATATCTGGGGGCCATGGGGAGGATGGGGGATGAGAGGGGCAGGGGAGGGAAGAGGCAGTGAGAGGGGGGGGGCGGCTGGCTCATGTGAACTGGCTTCCTCCCTGTGAGCAGCGCAGCGCCAGCAGCACCACGCGATAGCTGTACACGTCACTGGCTACCACCAGATGCCCCGTCATTGCCTACTCTGGAGCGACGTAGCTCTGTGGAAGTGAGGAGAGGGGGGGAGGAAGGGCGGCGTTGGGTTTGGAAGTTGGGATAAGGATGGGGGGGCAGGCAGGGGAAGCCGTATCTAGTGCAGCAGCCTTCTGTCTGTGAGAACCTCAAGCAGCACATGCTGCAGAACCCCTGGTCTCCATCTTTCGGTGCCTCACCTCACCCATCCACACATGGTGACTTTTGAGTCGACTCAAAAGTCACCCCTGGTCTCCATCTTTCGGCGCCTCACCTCACCCATCCACACATGCCCCTCACTGACTCACCCGAAGGCGCCCATGACTCGCGTCGAGATGTACCCCTCAGGTCCCTCCGGAGCCGGTTTCCCTCAGGGATCCCCAATGCCCTGTCCTCACCCAATCACACATGCCCCTCACTCACTCACCCGAATGTGCCCATGACTCGGGTCGAGATGTATCCCTCGGGTCCCTCCGGTGCAGGTTTCGCCAGCCCGAAATCCGCCACCTTAGCGAGAAAGTCATTCTCGAGAAGGATGTTGGAGGACTTGAGGTCACGGTGAATGACGAGCGGCTGAGAGTCCTCGTGCAGATACGCCAGCCCCCTCGCTGCTCCTAGCGCTACCCTCATGCGCGTCGCCCAATCCAGCACGATCTCCTTGGAGAAGGAGCCTGGTGGGGGAAGAAAAGGAGGGGAGGGGAGGGGAGGGGAGGGGAGGGGCAAGGGAGGACTTGAGGCCGCAGTGAATGGCGAGCGGCTGTGAGTCCTCGTGCAGATAGGCCAGCCCCCTCGCTGCTCCCAGTGCCACCCGCACTCGTGTTGCCCAGTCCAGCACAATCTCTTAGGAGAAAGAGCCTGGAAGGGGGGGAGGTGGAGGGGAGGGAAGGTGGAGGGGAGGGATGCGGTGGCAGCAGGGGAGAGAGAGAAGGAGAGCGAGTGGGGAGGTTGGCGTGAAAGTCGTTCTTTGGGAGGATGTTGGAGGAGTCGAGGTCGCAGTGAATCAGGGGGGGCTGTGAGTCCTCGTGTCCATAGGCCAAACCCCTCGCTGCCATCGATGGGATGGGAGGGGATGGGAGGGGATGGGAGGGGGTGGGGGGGGATGGGAGGGGATGGGAGGGGATGGGAGGGGATGGGAGGGAATGGGAGGGAATGGATGCAATGGGAGGGAGCATGGGACAGTAGCCTATGAGCTTCACGAGGTTGCAGTGGTGCAGGCGGCTCAGCATCTCCACCTCCACCACAAACTCGCCCAGGGAGGGGAGCGTACCCACCCATTCACCCACCCACCCACCCACCATGCAATGAGACATATCCTGAGACCTAGAAAAGCAAAATGCAAGGGGAAGGACACCCACCATGCAGCCACGCTTCCAAGCTTCCGTTGGGAACAAGCTCGTAGCACAGCAGCTGGTGGTGGTGCGAGGCACAATATCCTATCAGCTTGACCAGATTCCGGTGGTGCAGGCGGCTCAGCATCTCCACCTCTACCACAAACTCGCGCTCGCCCTGCCCGCCCCCTCCGCCTCCCCCCTTGGCGCGCCCGCTGCCTGTCACGCGCAGGCGGGTGAGGCGCTTCACTGCCACCTCCTGCCCGTTCTTCAGCCTCCCCCGGTATACTCGCCCGAACCCGCCCTCCCCTAGGTAATTGGCGTGATCAAAACTGGGAAGATTCAAGAAGAAAGGGGGAAGGGGGGGGGAGGGGGGGATGAGGGGGTGACTCGCAGGTGGGTGAGGCGCTTCACTGCCACCTCCTGCCCGTTCTTCAGCCGCCCCCGGTATACTTGCCCGAACCCTCCCTCCCCTAGATAGTTTCCGTGGTCGAAACTGGAGCAGGGGTGGGTAAAGGAAGAAGGGGAAAAGGGGGTGAGCTGAGGGGGTGCTCCCGCTGCCGGTCATGCGCAGGCGAGTGAGGCGCTTCACAGCCACCTCCTGCCCGTTCTTCAGCCTCCCTCTGTAGACGCGGCCGAACCCGCCCTTTCCCAGGTAGTTGGCGTGGTCGAAACTGGGGGGCAAAGGGAGAAAGGAGGGAGGAAGGGATGAGGGGGTGGGTGGGCGGGTGAGGCGCTTCACTGCCACCTCCTGCCCGTTCTTCAACCTTCCGCGGTATACACGGCCGAATCCTCCTTCCCCTAGATAGTTACTGTGGTCGAAACTGTAAGGGAAGGGAGGCGGTAAAGCAGGAAGGGGGAGGGAGGGAGGGACATGAGGGGGTGAAGGGAGGGGTCGGGAAGGGATGGAGGGATATGAGGGAACGGTTGGGCGAGTAAGCCGTTTCACTGGCAGCTGCCAGCAACGTACTTATTAGTAGCCTCTGCCAGCAACGTACTTATTAATAGCCTGTGCCAGCAACGTACTTGTTAGTAGCCTCTGCCAGCAACGTACTTATTAGTAGCCTCTGCCAGCTCAGCAAATGTGAAGACTCGAACGCTCATTGGCCGAGGGAGAGAGGACTGATTCGTTGACTCGGCTACTGGTGTCTCCTGCATTCCCATTCCACTCCCCCTGTCAACCCCATTGCCACCACCACCGTCCCCTCCTCCTCCCTCCCCTCCTCCTTCTCTCCCTCCTACTCCTCCTCCCTCTTTTCCTCTTCCGCTACCACTCTCGCTGTTATCACACCTAGCACCATTCCCTTGGGAACCTTCCTTTCGCTCTGACGCATTTTGGGCAGCAGCAGCGGACGAAGCTTCCCTCACCATCTGACGAATCTTCTCCTCCTCCCCCCCTTTCTCCATGTCCCTACCGCCTTTCCCCCTCCCAGGCACGCAGCAGCAGCAGTATATCGTGATTATAACGATCAGCGCTATAAGCACCGCCGCCCCTGCCAGTAACCCTATTAGTGCTACCGTGCTTATACCGCTGCTGCTACCACTGCTCCCATTGCCCTCACTCCCGCTATTACTGCTACTGCTGCTCTCACTGCTACTGCTGCTGCTGTTGCCGCTGCTCTCACCACCGTTAGATTTGTTATCTGTGCCATTTAAGTTGGATTGATCCGACGGTGGCGCAGGTACGGGGGCTTGGGGTGGCGGAGGGGGAGGCGGAGGGGGTGGGGGACCTGGCGCAAATGGGTAGGAAAAAGCGGCACGAGGGGGAATGGGGTCATAAGGGGGAAGGGGATCACGAGAGGGAAGGGGGGCATAAGGGGGAAGCGGAGCACGAGAGGGAAGGGGGGCATAAGGGGGAAGCGGAGCACGAGAGGGAAGGGGGCATGGGGAGGAAGGGGAGCACGAGGGGAAAGCGGGGAAGGCAGGAAATGAGCGCGAGGGGGAGCGGGAGCGTACTGTGAGGGGGTGGTAGCGGCGGCGCTAGTTGCACCAGGCTGATCAGCGTGTAGTTACTGAATTCGCTGGGGTCGAGCAGCACTCAGCAGCTACTCAGCACAGCGGGAGGGAGGGTGCTTACAGCGGAGGTGCTTACTGTGAGGGGGTGGCGGCGGCGGCGATAGTTGCACCAGGCTGATCAACGTGTAGTTACTGAACAATTTCGGGTCGAGCGTAACTTGTCGTCGCAAAAGCCGCTGGCGAGTGCTGTTCACGAACTTTGGCGAAAACGTGACGTCGTGGCTCGGCAGTAACCATAGGGTTACCGCCGCGCTGCTCCCATCGGTTCGCTGCAGCGCATTTCGCTGGATCTGATCTTCCTGCAAGGATAGCTCCCGCGCAAGAACCTGGATAAACGGCCGGAAATTCTTCTCGATATCCGACGCGTTAGCGAACTCAATCTTCAACTCCAACGGCCGCACGCACGAGCAATTCCCCTTGGTCGAGGAGGGACTCAGCGCCTCCCACTCGCGGTTCCCGCACGCGCCCGCGCAAATATCCGCTGCTGTCGCTCTTTCCGCGAGAGAGCGGGGCCGCGTCCGACCGTTTGAAAAGGAATCAGGAGTAAGGGAGGGCTCAGATACAGACCCAGGCGTCGATGCGCTTCGGACGACGGGTACGAGGAGGGATAGAAGCACCGGGAGCAGCAGCAGCAACAGCTTCACCCGCCGATTCCGCCATGGACCGCGGTTTGACTCAGGATGAAGACAGCCTCGGGAGCTACGACCGCTATATACGCTTCTCGGCTTATCAGAGCTGGATCGTCTGATGTTCCGATTAGAGCTGCTTCGATTGTGGACATTGAGGCTCGAGCAGAGCCCAGCCTTCTTAGATGCGTCATGAGAGTTGACACTTACGTTCTGACACTTAAACTTAAGTGCGGAGCAATCTGAGGTGGCATTGTGGCTGGAATGTTCTCTACTGCTGGAACTTAACTCAATTGCATCTCTCTTCGATGTAATGATCTGGTCGACAACGAAGCGTGGCACCGTGACAGTCATATGGCTGCTTTTCCAGGCGCCTCAATAAACGAGCGGCAACGCGGTTGTAACAGTCATACGGATGCGCCAGGGTGGCCCTGGTTACGGACAGATGGTCCGAACAGGGAGTCGGGAATTGCGAGCTAGGATACGGATGGGATGCACCGATGGGATGCACCAGCGCACCAACAGCGCCTATAAAACGCGAATCGAGCGTACAAATCGCTGTTAGTGACGACGGGCTAATCGTGCGCGAACGTATTTACTATAAGACAGTAGGTCCTACTAAGAAAAAATATCTGGGCTCTGGAGTTTCGGGTTGTGGTATAGACAGGATAGTCAGGACACCACGTACGGATAGAGAACCTACCTGTCGGGCACGCAACAAATAAATTTACAGATAGAGACTAGTCAACGATCATGAGTAATGTGGTCACAGGATTCGGTACAGTTTGTGCTTGAACGCCCCAGCACATAAGCTCTTGAACCGAGCACGAAACAGTAAACTCCAGGTCCAGCCTCCTACAGCATGGTATGGCAATGGCAACCCCTATGTTGTGGTATATGCTCGGTGAACCAGAGCAACCTAGGGGATGTGGGCCTGGTGCTCGAATTAGGTTCCTACATGCGAGTACAACTGTATTGAGCAGAGGCTCGAAATAGGTTCCTACATGCGAGTACAACTGTATTGAGCAGAGGGGCTGAGGTTCCGAACAGGGGGTGACCTTGGGAAAGGGCTTTGATTTGGGCCTTTCAGGTCCGTTTCCGGACCAGCACTGCCGAACCGGGAAGGAATAGAGAATGAATTTTTCAGTACAGCTCAGGTGGTGGCGCACGCACCACAAAGTACAAGAATTTTCTGCCCAGAGCCTGCGCTTCGTCTATTCAACAGCGGGAGTAGGTAGAACACCAAAAATTTGGCCCACAACGAGTCGTTCTGGCAAGAATTTGACAATGGGGGCAGCGACTTCCGCCAAACCAAAACCTTGGTCTGGGAAGGCGCCGAATCGCGACAACATTGGGCTTCGCGGTTCGAGCAGTTCGAGCGGCTGCCGCAACAAAATTCCACGAAGCACCCCCCTCCGCTTACTGTACCCCTGCGGTGGGAAACCGACCAATCACTGTTGAACGACTATGATGAAGTGTGGTGTTTGAGGTGAAGCGAAATACACTAGTGACGGGGATATGGTGTTGAAAATAGTTGAAACGGAGCAGCAGCAGGTAATACCGGTAACCTCCTCTCCTTTCTAGGGTACCGGTAAGTGAAGCCTTGTGAGAAGAATAGCAAATTGCCAGGCTCCTATTAGCACATACTAGTTAACACCGTGCTTCTGTGGCAGTCCATGACGCGCTTTATATCCCGCAAGCAGGACACTGAACACATGTTAATGAGGCACGTGTTTTGCAACCAGACCACAAATTCTTGTATCAAAACTCCAGCCACACCGGATCTTGAATATGCTTAATCAGAATCCTTCTTCCCAGCATCTCCACTTCCCAATCCGGCCTCCAAGTCTCTCCGTACCTCCCCTCTCCCAACCCCGCCAATGCTACCCACACCCGAACCTGATCTCTGTGGCCGCGACTGCTTCGGGGACTGCTTTGGCACAAGACCTACAGTGCTACCAGCGGCGCCGCCGCTGCTACTGCCGCTGACTGCTGCTGCTATGGGAGAGGAGGGGTAGAGGAGGGAGGACATACCCACTAGCTGTGCCACCACTGCACACGCCATCACATAGGTCTTCCAGCCCTGCACGGTGATGGGATGCACAGATGATTAAGGTACAAGGATGTTCTGCCCTTTAGCTGAGATTGTGGGGAGAGATGTGTAATGAAGGATGACAATGGGTTGGGGTGTGCACATGAGAATTGGGGCGGCAGGATGATGAGGGGATGAGTTGGTGGAAGAATAGGTGGGAAAATGGGATGGATTGGGAGATGGGATGGTGGGGAAATAAGGAGTGATGGCAGGATGGAGGCTCTCTAACCTTATTGCGAGGGTTTTGTGCATCGAAGATCTTGAGAGCGAGGATGATGGCGACGAATGCTTTGAGTCGACTCGAAACACACCTGGATACAACGCCACGCGTGGGTTGCTGCTCACCTTATTGCGAGGGTTCTGTGCGTCAAAGATCTTGAGAGCGAGGATGATGGCGATGAATCCACAGACGATCACCAGCCGTCCCACCTGAGAGAGGAGGGAAAATGGGAGGGCAAGGGGGGAGAGGAGGGGGTGTAGGAAGTGGAGGAGAGAGAGATCTTGAGTGACTGTTGCTTCGCAGCATGTGTATCCACAGCCTCAAAATTGAGGCATCCACGGATCTTGAGAGCGAGGATGTGTTGACCAAGATCTTGAGAGCGAGAATGATGGAGATGAATCCACAGATGATGACCAGCCGAACCACCTGGTGGGGTCAAACAGGGGAGGGGGGGAAGAAAGTGGGGGAGAAAGAGAACATATGCGAATGTTGCTTAAAGAGAACCAATACCACGCATGAAGCATCAACCTTAAGATCGAGAATGACTGATGATGACCAGTTGCCCTACCTGTGGGGTCGAACAGGGCAGGAGGGGAGGGAGCGCAGGTTTCCAATAACCACCCTGGAGTTGCGAAGAGTGTTGATGTACAACAGACCCCCAGCCATGCATGCGACATGCTCAACTGCGCCTGTATGTATAGCCCCTCACACGCACCCAGTGACCACCAACCACCACTCACCATGCGGTGCAGAAAGTGCAGTCTCCCAATGAGCGCCCTTGAGATCCGCAGACTGTTGAAATACAGCAACACGCCCAGCAGCCCCCCCAGCTCCGCCAGAATCACCGCCGACACACCCAGCACGCATGCAGCGTGCTGAAGTGCGCCTGTACCGTACCAGGCACCCAGACCTCACCCACCCACCCACCATGCGGTGCAGGAAGTGCAGCCTCCCAATGAGCGCCCTTGAGATGCGCAGAGTATTAAAGTACAGCAGCACGCCAAGCAGGCCCCCCAGTTCCGCCAGGATGACAGCCGACACGCCCAGCCATGCGTGTGGTGTGCTGAAGTGCGCCTTGAGGCGCGCATGGCGGTGGGTGAACATGGCGAGTGTGCCGGCTAGCGCCAGGACGAGGCCGGTGAGCTGGAGGCCCAGGTGCAGCCGCATTGCCTCCTTGCGCCGCTGGGGAAAGGGAGGAGAGGGGAGAAGAGGTGAGGAGGGAGAAGAGGAGGGGGACGGGAGAGCTGAATTGGTCCAACTCCAAAGGTGTGCTGAAGGTTGGAAGAGGGGCGAACACGCCCAGCCTTGCATGCAGTGTGCTAAAGTGCGCCTTGAGGCGCGCGTGGCGGTGGGTGAACATGGCGAGAGTTCCAGCTAGCGCCAGCACGAGGCCGGTGAGTTGAAGGCCCAGGTGCAGCCGCATCGCCTCCTTGCGCCGCTGGGAGAAGCAGGGGAGGTAATAGGGGGGATGCGGAACGGGGAATGAGGGATGCCTATTGATTGCAACTGAAGTGTGCCTTGAGTCGCGCATGGCGGTGGGTGGACATGGCGTGGCGAGGGTTCCAGCTAGGGCCAGCACGAGCCCCGTGAGCAGCAGATTCAGGTGCAGCCGCGTGGCCTCCTTGCACCGCTGGGGAAGCAGAAGAGAGGGGAAGGGAAGAATAGATGGATATATTTGTGCAGACTCAGGTGCAGTGCAGACCCTGGTGCAGCCGCATCACCTCCTTGCACCCCTGGAGGGAGGTGGGGGAGAAGGAGGGGAAGTGGGGAAGAGCTATTTTCTTTGAAACAGCTGACTTGGGGTCTACGACAAGGGGAGTTGCAGATACGTCAGGTGCAATCGCCGAGGTGCGCATACTCACAAGGATAAGGCGACGATGGTGATTTTTCAGGCATAAGAACAGGGTGAGAAGAAGGAGGAAAAGGAGAGTGAGAAAATTTAGTGAAGCCGAGGCGCAGGTCCAGAGAAACACTTACCCGTGAGGGTCTGGCGACGATAAAGACGCCTTCAGGGATAACCAATAGGAAGGCCAGGGTCATGAGTGCCACGTGGACGGCGAAGAGTGATTTCTCGTAGAATGTGACTGTAATGAAGATCGGCGAGAGCACGGCGAGGATGTGGAAGAGCCATGGCAGGTCCCCTGCTGCCATCGCCCTGACTAAAAAGAAATAATAAGTTCAGTAATCCTTATGATTCAGTGTTTGAATAATGAAACGTATTCGAAACAGCTACCTAGTCGAAAGCCTGAATCGGCTTAAAAGGTTAGACCCGAAGACTAACGTGACGTGACGACCTGACGTGGTAAATAAGATTAGCCCGAGTGAGTATGGTTGTTCGTCTCACGGCTGCTTCCTCGAGCCGAGCGCATCAAGACCGCTGTGGGTGTGGGCTCAGACAGCCTCGAGTGGTTACGGAATTCCACTCGAGCAGGGGAACCTGACAAGCAGCCTAGAGCTGCCTAGACTGACTGGGAATAAACATTGAAGTCGTGACGAGCAGTCTAGAGCTAGATTAGTCCTCTGACCTCGATACAGCACCAATGATGGAGTTCCCAAGTAGGAAATTGCATTTCAGCTACAGGTCCATGCTGCCTACGTATTGTCACAAAAAATATAGAAGGTTCTGCGATTTATATATCAGGAAGGTGTTCAGGCAACACTGTTTTGAAGCTCCTTGTTTGTAACGAGGATCATGACCACGTGACGCAAGCGCGTTACCCGCTGAGGTTGAATGGCGGATATTCTTCCAGCGACTTCGACTTGCGAAGTTTCATATCGTGACGAATTTTCGTCGAGCTGTCTCGGAAATTCTTCCCACCGCGTCGCTGATCACAGCAAAAAGTGTATCGCCGCCACACCTGCGCAAATCACAGCCAGAGAGATCCGCCGCTGGGTACCCGAGCCAGCCACTCCGAACACGACTGCTGCCGTGTCAACAACAAACCAAATCCAACTCCCGCCACACACCATCTCCCTCCCAAGTCCGCACGGGCAGCTCCACAAAAACCGCATGTCATGTGACAAAAAAAGGTGTTTCCAACTTCCACGATGCCAACTTCGCATGTCCATTCGTCTCATTGGCTTAGAGAATGGAAACTCTTTGAATTATGCAGTCAAGAGCAAACCTTTGAATCTGGCTCATCCTAATCCAACGGTCACAAACACACACGGGCAGAAATCCCCGTTCCCAGAACGGAGGGATCAATACACTGAACTCAGCCACCTGCCCAGCACCACCTGAGGTTTGCGGTTGGCTTCCCCCACTGCGGGGTTTTGATCGTCCCCAAGCGTGGCGCTGGGATCACCGCACGTTTCCGCGCGGAGCCCCATCAAGCCCCTTCCGCCACCACAACTGCCAACGCCGCTCCGTTTTCTCTCTCCCATTAATCCAACAATCCGCCATAGTTCTACCGTTATCTCCCTTCCTCTCTGTTGGAGAATCGAGTTTCTGCCGCCCCAGCCCTTTGCACACAAGCAGCAGCAAGGGGGAATGTCGGCGATGAATCAGAGCTTCGGGAAGTACTTCGAAAGTTCCACCACCAATCAGATTTTAGCCGAAGACTCGATATAGTTCAAAGCTGCCTTCAAACCGAAGTGTTGGCAGTTTCTACAGGTTTCTACACATCAGAATCAGCTATAACAGAAATATCCAGAGTTTTCTTATTCATGCACCTCATGTGGCACTCAAAGTCACTCAAGGTCCATCCAATCTAGATTGTGCCCAAGTTACCAGGGAAGTTACATTGTCTATCAGCCTAGTTTGAGCTTTCAATCTGACTTGTTTGTGATGCCTATAGAGTTGTGCTTTAGTGGGCTTGTTAATCTTGAACATAGTGAAGTTTTACCTCATCCAGTCAATTCCAGCAGCCCTGCTAAGACTTTCCAGCCAAGTTTCCAGCCCTCCAGTAGTCACAGCTACTCTGTTTTACAAGTTGGTATCAGAGCTTGTCGTTTCGATCAACATAGCCCACCACGTTCCTATCCTAGCACCATACGAACATGGCGGGAGACAATCCATCTGGTCCTGCACTCCAGCCAGCCGGAGGAGCTTCAGAGTCAACATCAGCAGCTACTGGATTAGTGGAAGCAGTTGCACCAGGCAGTCCTTCAACAACATACTCACCACTCACCTCCTTCATGCCTAAGCTTCACCTCCCCAAGTTCAACGGCAAAGATTTTCCAACATGGGCAACTCAGTTTGAGCTCACTGCATCCCTTCTGGATCTGTGGCCTTACTACACTGGAGAAGCAGCCAAACCAGCAGCAGATGCTTCAGAAGCTGAAAAACGACTTTACGAACGACGCAACAAGGAGGCCTTCCTCTACCTACTCAATAGCATTCACGAGCAGCAGTTGAAGTCGCTCCTGCCCTGTTCTACCAAGGCAAACAGTGCAGAGGAAGCATGGAGCCGACTGAAGACTATGCACCAGTCAAAATCCGAGAGCAGCCAAGCCGAGATGTGGAGCCGCTTCATGAATCTGAAGATGGAAGAAGATGAATCAGCACAAGCCTACCTACAACGAGCTGAAGCAATGCTGGAGGAAGCAGCAGCGATCGGCTTGGAGATTCCAGAGTCTCTTTTCAAGACCGTCATCCTCACCGGCCTTACACCGGAGTGGGACACTTTCCGTGCAACACTACAAGCGCTCCCGCAGTCAATGAAGAGTCGTGCGTTCATCTTTGAGGCCCTTGTCAACGAGCAGCAGAGTCGAGACCTTGCACGGAACAAGCGGAGTGACGAAGGTGCGTGGAGTGCTGCAGCAGCCACAAGATATGGCAACCAATTCCAGAGGCAAGGAAATTTCAGCCCAAACCGCCCTCAACCCTACTACGGTACGAAATTTCAGTCACCTTCCAACCCATACAAACCCTCTCGTTTTCCTCAGTCAAGTCCTCCCTATAAGTCCAGTCACTATGTCCAGCCAAGGCCTTCGATTCCCAATCAATACCAGCCTAGGAATGCAAGAGTCAATATGCCAAGAGTCAATAATTTCAGCCAAGCCCCGAATGCTAAAAAGTTTAATTTTGAGTGTTTTTGTTGTCATGAGTGGGGTCACCCGTGGTATGCTTGTCCTAAGAAGCCTCCTAATTGGGTCCCCCCACCTCAGCTACTATCTGAAAAAGGTAAGGCAGCCATAGCAAATATAGCAAGTCATTCTACAAGTCAAGATGAGTCCAAAGAGTCCGATGGTCCTGTCCTTTTTAACGCTGCTACTTGCATGCACGTTTTCTCTACTAGTAGTGAGGAGTTTATTCTTGATAGTGGCTGCTCTGAAACCATGACTCCCTATCAGTCCATTCTCAAGGATTTTCAGCCCTCATATGACTCAAAAGCTGTGACTCTTGCTGATCTTGGCAAAGTACCAATCAAAGGAGTCGGCAAGCTTGAGTTCGAAAATGATGGTAAGTCATTTTGTGTCAATAAAGCTTTGTTTGTTCCTGATTTGGGAGCAAACTTGCTCTCAGCCGGACAACTCGAAGAGAAAGGTGCCTCCGTTCTCTTGCAAGGGGGGAAAGCCAAAGTGTGGGACAGTGCAGGAAATCTGGTGGCTGAAGGCGAGCGTACCGGGCGGCTCTACAAGATGAAGTTGGAGATTAAGCGCGGTGCTAGCAACACGAAGAACGACGTTGTCTCGCTTCCCGCTGTTTCAACCGATCAAGTCAACAACAAAGGGAGTATCTCCCAAGCTGAGGTATGGCATGCACGCTTGGGGCACGTGGGAGTGCAAGCATTGAAAGAGTTGGTAAATCACAAGAGCGTGGAAGGATTGAGTTTGAATGAAAGTGCAGTCAAGTCCCTTTCTTCCGTTCCATGTCCATCTTGTGTGGAAGGTAAACTAGCTAGAAAGCCATTCTTCCCTTCTAAGTCTCAGTCAAGGGACCTCCTAGAGTTGGTCCACACTGATGTCTTCGGCCCCATGCGAGACCCTACTCGAAACGGTAAGAGATATTTGGTGTCTTTCATTGATGACAAGAGTCGTTTCTCGTGGTCCTTTTTCATCAACACCAAGGATGAAGTTCACAAGTGTTTCAAGCAATGGCTAGCACTTGTTGAGAGAGATTCAGGGAAGAAGTTACTCACCTTGATGTCGGATCGAGGAGGTGAGTACATGGGGAAAGCGTTTCAGGGGGAGTTGTTGGCATTGGGCATCAAACAACAGTTCACTTGTCCCTATAGTCCTCAGCAAAATGGAGTGGCAGAGAGGTTTCATCGCACTATCCAGGCTATAGCTACCACTTTCCTTCAGTTCAAAGGCCTTGACAAGCTCTGGTGGGGTGAGGCAATCACTATGGCAATTTATGTTCGCAACAGGAGACCCACAAGGCCCTTACCGGAAGGTGTAACGCCATATGAGGCTTGGTTTGGAGTTAAACCAGATCTGTCTATGCTTCGTGTTTTTGGTTCCATGGCCCAATACCGTGTTCCAGATGCAAAGAGACTCAAGCTGGACAGCAAAGCTCATTGGGGCCTCTTCATCGGCATGAGCAATGAGAGCAAGGGATGGGTCCTTTGGGATCCTGTCACCAAGCGAGAAGTGGTTTCAAGGGATGTTGTCTTCTATGAAGACATGTCCCTTGCAGGTTGGCATAAGTTTTCCTCTTCCTCCTCTCTACCCTCTATCCAACAGGAACCAGCAAGCGCACCTGAGGAAACAACACAAGAGGAGGAAGAAGATGACACCGATTCTGACCATAGCGGACCGATCATCGATCTCCCTCAAGCCGTCGTCAACGAGTCCAACCGTGCCACGCCAGTGCCACCAGCAGCTACTCAACCAAGTGGAGATGAAGTTCAGCCATCAAATGAAGACAATCCACCGCAGCAAGTCACCGTTCCATCACCACCAAAGGAGTAGCAGCCAACAGTCACAAACCAGCCAGCTATATCAACACCAACCTCACAATTTCAACGCCAACCGGATCAGCCCACCACTACGCCATCAAACCCCATCACTCCAGAGGCAACTACAGAAGCTCATCATCATCCCATGCAGCAGCAATCAACAGCTACAAGACCCCAAGTACCTACATCAACACCATCTACGACTCTTCCTAGCAACCGTCACCGCAACACCTCGTTCTCATACCACACGTTCATCACTTGTTCCAACGTCAAGCCAGCTCATAGCACGAGGATCACTTCAGCGAGTCACCACCAACACCAGCTCCAACAGTCCACTTCTTCACCCAAGACCTTTCTCAACTTCACCCCCACGTCCCGGATTCGGTCGTCATCAGTTACCACCATCTTCAACACCGAGCAACAACACCAACCAGCCCCAACCATCACCACCTCTCGACAAGGCAGCGTCATCATCAATTCCCAAGCTTCTAGTCTCAAGATCCCCACCAAGAGCATCTTCACAACCAACTATGCCGACAAACGTTTCAGCTTCACCGCCACGAGTCACCATACCTAATCCTCAAGTCAACACCGATAATCAAGATATTTCCACGCCAGGAGAAGAACAAGCAGCCGTGCCGCCGTCGCAGCCGATGTCGCAGCCGTTGTCTCAGCCGCAAATGACCGCATCAACGCAATCAAACACTGTGAGACCGAACCCTACCACTAATGTGTCTCAGCCAACTGAGGAGTTTGGTAAAGGTAAACGAGTCCGCAATGTAAAAAAGCCCTTCAATTTCATGGTTGACATGTCATCAAGGTGCACATGTGAGGAGAGTGAGAATTGCATTCACAAGAAGGTAGAGGCAATATGCATGGCAGCATCACACCTTCCGCGAGAGCCCTTGAGTCGTCGTGAGGCAATGGCAAGTCCCGAAAGAGAGCATTGGTTGAAAGCCGAGGAAGAGGAGATTGAGAGTCTCATGAAGCGAGGTACATGGCGTCTTGTTGAGCCACCTCCAGGGAAGAAGGTAATTGGTGTCAAATGGGTGTACAAGATCAAGGTAAAAGGTGATGGTAGCCTCGATAGGTACAAGGCAAGGTTAGTGGCAAAAGGTTATTCCCAAATTCCAGGTCTTGACTTCACCGAAACCTTTGCCGTGGTAGCAAAGTACACCACGGTACGAGTCCTCCTCGCCATAGCCGCATATCTTGGTCTCCATATCCATCAAATGGATGTCAAGAACGCATTTCTCTACGGTGTCTTGGAAGAAGAGGTATACATGGCACAACCCGAAGGTTATGATGACGGTACGGGTCGAGTGTGTCGCTTGGTAAAGTCCCTTTATGGTCTCAAACAGTCCCCACGGGTTTGGTATCATGCTCTTGAGCAGGTACTTTTCAAGCATGGTTTCACAAGGTCCATGAGAGACAACGCTCTGTACTTCATGCACACGAGTGAGGGGGAGTACATTTGGCTCTTGGTATATGTCGATGACCTCCTCCTAGTCTCAGGTTCTCTTGATCTTCTCAACAAGGTGAAAGGTATTCTCACGAGTGCATTCACGATGACCGATCTTGGTGAGCCGAGTCATTATCTTGGTATGAACATTGTGAGAGATCGTAAGTCACGGTCCATCTTCCTATTCCAGCAAAGGTACATCCAAAAGGTCCTTGAGAGGTTTGGTCTTGATGATAGCAAGCCATCACCTACCCCACTTCCTTCCAAATTTGTCCCTTTGTCTTCACATCAGCCCTATGAAGAGAGAGAGTCAAGCCTTGATATCATAGGTATTAAAGAGTTGTGTCTTGAGGAGAGTGAGCATCATGGTGAGAATTCACTTAAGGTATCCCCACAAGACCTAGCTTCGTACCAAAGTCAGGTTGGGTGTCTCATGTATGCAGCCCTATGCACAAGGCCCGACTTAGCATTCACGGTATCTAAGCTAGCTCAACACATGAGTGCCCCTTCACCTATTCATATGCATGCAGCCAAGCGAGCTCTTCGGTATCTCAAAGGTACTTCTAATCATGGTCTTCTCTTCCAAGCCAGCCCATATGCAAGCTCCCTCCAAGGCTTTACCGATGCAGATTGGGCGGGAGAATTGAGCACACGCAAGTCTACCGGCGGCTACATCTTCCTCATGTGTGGTGCCGCTGTTTCTTGGCAATCGCGCAAGCAAAGTTGTGTGGCACTTTCAACAACCGAAGCTGAGTACATGGCAATGACCGAAGGAGCAAGGGAGGCAATCTGGCTACGTGGACTCTTGGAGGAATTGAGGCAGCCGCAAACTCAACCAACTCCGCTCTACGTGGACAACACTTCAGCCGTAGCTCTTTCCAAGAACCCGGTTCATCATGGGCGTACAAAACACATCGAGGTGCAGTACCACTTCATTCGTGAGCAACTAGAGAAGGGAGTTCTCGCCGTCAACTTTTGCCGTTCATTCGATCAAGCAGCAGATTTCATGACCAAGGTTCTTCCACATGATGCATTCAACATGTGCAAGGCAAGAGCAGGCCTCATGACACTTCATGAAGCAGTGGAGCAGTTTGAGGAGAATGAGGAGTGTGAGGGGAAGAGACGTGGGCAGCAGCATGAAGTGTATGCTAAGGAGATGTGAAAGGAGCATCAGCATGGGTGTATGTGTGCTTCGGGTCTGGTGCGAGGGGGAGTGTTGGAGAATCGAGTTTCTGCCGCCCCAGCCCTTTGCACATAAGCAGCAGCAAGGGGGAATGTCGGCGATGAATCAGAGCTTCGGGAAGTACTTCGAAAGTTCCACCACCAATCAGATTTCAGCCGAAGACTCGATATAGTTCAAAGCTGCCTTCAAACCGAAGTGTTGGCAGTTTCTACAGGTTTCTACACATCAGAATCAGCTATAACAGAAATATCCAGAGTTTTCTTATTCATGCACCTCATGTGGCACTCAAAGTCACTCAAGGTCCATCCAATCTAGATTGTGCCCAAGTTACCAGGGAAGTTACATTGTCTATCAGCCTAGTTTGAGCTTTCAATCTGTCTTGTTTGTGATGCCTATAGAGTTGTGCTTTAGTGGGCTTGTTAATCTTGAACATAGTGAAGTTTTACCTCATCCAGTCAATTCCAGCAGCCCTGCTAAGACTTTCCAGCCAAGTTTCCAGCCCTCCAGTAGTCACAGCTACTCTGTTTTACAAGTCTCTCCTCACTTTCCAGCCTTCAACCAGTTTCAGTCCCGACTCCAGAGCAGAAAGCGCATGAGTTACCGCATTAGATATTAAGGAGCGAATTCATTGTAGTGAACGTATTCATTCGCTTGCCGCGACCAGCGTGTTTTGGCTGCACAGTTCACCTAAGCAGCATACGTTCGTCACGTCTACCATCGTTCTGTTTCTGTTTCCTCTACTATTTCTGTTCAAATCGGAGGCCCGACGTAGAGGAAAGCCTCTTTCAGGCTAAGTTCTTCCTTCGAGAAAACATGTCTGCTACCAGCGCTCATTCAAGACGACACTCATGCGGTCAACTCCAAACGACCAGCCAAATTGCTAACCATGAATTCGTTCATCCTCCTTATAGAGTTCCCCCAAAACCATCAACGCTATCTTCAGCTGTCTCCACACCATTACCAGCGATTTTTAGGAGCAGCCGGGGTTTCAAGCTCCCCCCATCATCTGTTGTGGACGATTCTAGGTCTCTGGCCTTTCATTCATCCGCGTCTCTCGCGGGAAGTTCGGTTGAGGATCGACTTCAGCGAAACCCTAACGAAGCCGTGCGACCTCTTGTCTCTCACGCGCGAAACGCCTTTTCCGCGGACCTCCCGGTATTGTCCTTCTCGATAGAGGAACAAACCTCGTTCGGTGTACCTTCCGTCGCTTCAGTAAACAGAGGCCTGAACAGCTCAACACGCTTGACCGACCCGCTACGAGAAAATCCATTTTCGTCAGTTCTAGATAATTTCCGCTCGTCCGGTTTATCTCAGCTGATCGACCAAGCATCCGGCCGTTGGCGCAGCATCTCACATTCCGCCTTAGCTTCAGGCAAGGGATTTTCTACTGGTCTTCGGAAGGAGGCTTTAGCTGATCGAGGGCTGACCGTTGATGGAGAGGGTGGCGGGGGAAGCTTGCGCGGAGAGCGCGCGGAGAGCTGGCGCAGAGAGCGCGCGAGCATGCGCGCAGTGTTCGCCGCTCTGGACACCGACGGCGACGGGATGATTTCCGCGGACGACCTCCGCGCGTACTCCGCGCAGCGCGGGCTTCCCGCGGGGTACGCGCTGGAGTTCGTGAGCCGCGCGCAGCATGGGCGGAGGGGTGCGGAGGAGCACTTATACGGGGAGCGGCGGACGGATCCGCAGGTTTTGCGCAACTCCCTGTTCGGTGGCGGATGGAACGGCGCGGGTTGCGCGGCGGGGGGGCTCCAGGCGGGCGGGGTTGCGGGAGCTGGCATCGGCGGAATGCGGATCCTGGGAAGCGGAGAAGGAGTGGCGTCATGCGCACAGGAGGGGTCGGGCGGAACGAGCGGAGGCAATATGGCGCTGTGCCGCGCATCAGCGGGGTTTGCGGCGTCGTCCTCCCAGGTAGCTCTCACCTCCCAACGAGCTTCAGTGTCGATCTCCTTGGTTATACAGGGTGTTTCTGAGCATTTTCACAAACACCCTGCTCTTTTTTTACCACCCATACCCAGACCAGACGTCTCATACGTCCCCTTCCCGCCATCCCTCCCTCCCCCCAGGCGCTGCCGCCGGTGGACCTTCCGGCGCTGCTCTCCTCTGCCGCGCAGCAGCTTCAGCGCGGGCTGGGCTCGGCGCGCTTGCACCTTAGCAGCTTCAGGGGCGGGGGAACTGGCGGAATAGGTGGCGGAAGCGGCGGAAGTGGCGGAACCGCCGGCGGCGGCGGTGGCGGAGGGGGGTTTGGGGTGTCGTATGCGGCGTTTGAGGAGTTCGTGGATGCGAGGGACAGGGTCCTGTGGGACTCGTTTAGATGCATGGACAGTAACGGGGATGGCCGCGTGTCACAAGCAGACCTTGAACGCAGCATGAGGGTGCGTGCGTGTTACATAGCGCCTGTCTGCCTTTTCACGTTCTCTTCGGCCCACTCTCTTTTGTCACCCGCACCTGTGTGCGTGTGTGACCTCTGCCTCCCCATTACTCCATTCCCTTTTGATTTGGTCCACCCAACCCAATCCCCATTGCGACACTCCCATTGCGACCTTCCCATTGCCACCTTCCCATTGCGACCTTCCCATTGCGACCTTCCCATTGCCACCTTCTCATTGCCACCTTCTCATTGCGACCTTCCCATTGCGACCTTCCCATTGCGACCTTCCCATTGCGACCTTCCCATTACCACCCTCTTCCAGGTCCTCGCTTCCCGTTGCAACCACGCTGCCAGTGCCACCCCTGCAACGGCCACGGCAGCGTGCAATTCCACTGCATGTAACGCTGTTAGCATCACGACCAACAACACAGGCACAGTCTACGGCAGCACCAGCAGCAGCAGCGGTAATGACGAGGCAGCACGGCCTGTGCGGCTGGGTCAGCCGTGCTCGGTGGATTCCGTAGGGCGGGCTTGTAGCGGGAAGATGGTGAGAGCAGTGCAGCAACAGCCAGTTCTGCAGCAACAGCAGCAGGAGGGAGTTCTGCAGCATGTTAAGCAGCAGGCGCGCATAGGCGCTGCTGCTGGGCGGGATTCGTTGTCTCAGTCCGTGTCATTCGAGGTATGTAAGACAGTATGATTCTAGGTAAGATTCTAGGTAAGATTCTAGGTAGGATTCTATCTGCGCTTGCTTGCGCTCGCCTTCCCCTGCAAACTCCTCCACCCCACCCCTCCCCACTCTTCCTCTTCCGCCCCCATCCCGGCCTTCCACTCCTCGTTCTCAGCTCCGCCTCCTGCCCCTTCGCCTTCTCTTGCCGCCTCACAGCTCATCTTACCATGCCTCACCCCTCATTCCACACAACACACACTCACACACCTCCACTACATGTTCTCTTCTTCTCCGCTCCCCCTCCCCTCTCAGGAGTTCCGGGACTACTTCACCCTCCTCCCCACGTCAGATCATCTATTCGACTACTGGATCTCCGCCTCCTGCCCTCTCGCCTGCCACTACCAGCTGCCCCTCATTCCCCCCCCTCTCTCTGTTCCCACCCCCTTTCTGCCCTTCCCGTCCCATCCCCTCACAGGAGTTCCGGGACTACTTCACGCTGCTCCCCACGTCAGATCATCTATTCGACTACTGGATCTCCGCCTCCTGCCCGCTCGCCTGCCACGCTCCCTCCACACCGCAACCCTTCAAAGCAAGACAAGCACTTGAGGGGGCTTCAGCAGTAGTAGGCACGGCTGCCACAGCTGCCACAGCTGCCACTGCTGGAAATGTGTTGAAAAGGAAGGTTCCACGAAGAGGGTCTTTGAGAAGAACCAGCAGCAATAGCAGTAGCAATAGCAACAAGGGTGCCGGCACAGGCGGCAGCAACAGCGGCGGCAGCGGCGGCAGGAGAAGTAAAGGGGCGGGCGGCGTGTGGCGGCATCTAGTGGCGGGCGGCATGGCAGGAGCGACGTCCCGCACCGTGACTGCCCCTTTGGAGACTCTTCGCCTGCGCATGATGGTCTCGTCCGAACATGGGCTCCTGCAAACGTGCTCTGTAAGTAAACCACATGGATTCCTGCAAGCGTAGTGCAGTGCTCTCTCCCCTCTCTGAAGGCTCTCCGCCTGCTCATGATAGTCTCTGCTGACCTGACCATGGGCTGCTACAAACGTGCTCCGTGAGTGCTGCACTCTACTGCTCTATGTGACTCTTGGTTTGAGATGGTGTCATCATTTGTTGGTTTATAAACATTACTCACTTCCCTTGACTCACCTCCCGCGTCGTGTTCCTGTCCGTCTCTCCTCCCCTCTCTCATCGCAGCAAGTGTGGAGCGAGGCGAGCTGGAGAGCATTCTTCCGAGGTAACATGGTGAACGTGGTGCGCTCCGCCCCTCAGCCGTTCCTATTATCTCACCCTCCCCACCGTCCCTCCTTCCATGTTCGACTCTCCTCTCCTTCATTCCCATTGCAGCAAGTGTGGAGTGAAGCCGGCTGGAGAGCATTCTTCCGAGGCAACATGGTGAATGTGGTGCGCTCGGCCCCTCAGAAAGCAATCGACTTCTTTGCTTTCGAAGCCTTCAAGCAAGCAATTGCGACCGTCTTCCCCACGGTATGTGTGCAGTGTTCCTCTCTCTTTGCTCTGATGTGTATTTTGAGCCGCCTCAAAAAACACCTGTTTGCAGTGTTCCTCTCTCTTTGCTCTGCTCTGCTCCACCACAGAGGCCATCCACTTGTTCTGCTCTGCGGTGCTGAGAAGCTTCCAGTAGCCATGCTCCAACACCTTCCCCACCCTGCGTGCTGGCTCTCTGATTTCCCCTCCCTCCTCAGATCTCCTCTCCTCTACCTCCTTCTTCACTCCCCCCTCCCACTTGTCAGGGCCCTGCGGGACTGCAGGTGGTGACAGCAGGTGCTTTAGCCGGTGCCACGTCCACCCTGGCGCTCTACCCTCTCGACGTGGTCAGGAGCCGACTTACTGTTGCCGCCCGCTCTCAGGTGGGTTGACTTGCTGTTGCAGCCCGCTCTCAGGTGGGTTGACTTGCTGTTGCGCCCGCTCTCAGGTGGGTTGACTTGCTGTTGCCGCCCGCTCTCAGGTGGGTTGACTTGCTGTTGCCGCCCGCTCTCAGGTGGGTTGACTTGCTGTTGCCGCCCGCTCTCAGGTGGGTTGTCTTGCTGTTACCGCCCGCTCTCAGGTGGGTTGACTTGTTGTTGCCGCCCGCTCTCAGGTGGGTTGACTCACTGACTTGCATGGTGTCGCTCTGTCATGCTGTCACACTTTCAAACCCCGGGTCATGCCAGCCGTTTTGTTTCGCAGGTCGACTGTCACACCAACTCAGGTGACTTTTGAGTCGACTCAAAAGTCACCCGGTTTCGCAGGTCGACTGCCACACCAACTCGCTCGCTCCGTGCATCCTCCCACCCTCCCATGCCCCTCCCCCTTCCCCATTTCCAATCCACAGTACACAGGCATCGCCCACGCCCTCACAACAATAGCCAAAACCGAGGGTGTCCCAGCCCTGTATAGGGGCCTGGGCGCATCCCTGCTCTCCATCCTACCAGAGGCCGCCATCACATACGGCTGCTTCGACCTGCTCAAGACCGCTTTGCACCGCTCCACTGGCCGCACCGTGGGCGTGCTGCCCGCCCTGGCATGTGGCATCGCTGTTTGTCACACCCACTCACTCCCTCTGTCCATCTTCCCTTTCCCCTTCCACCCTCTCCAATCCACAGTACACAGGCATCGCCCACGCGCTAACCACGATAGCCAAGACAGAAGGCGTGCCGGCACTCTATAGGGGCCTGGGCGCCTCGCTCCTCTCCATCCTACCGGAGGCAGCCATCACATACGGCTGCTTCGACCTGCTCAAGACCGCTTTGCACCGCTCCACTGGCCGCACCGTGGGCGTGCTGCCCGCCCTGGCATGTGGCATCGCTGTTTGTCACACCCACTCACTCCCTCTGTCCATCTTCCCTTTCCCCTTCCACCCTCTCCAATCCACAGTACACAGGCATCGCCCACGCGCTAACCACGATAGCCAAGACAGAAGGCGTGCCGGCACTCTATAGGGGCCTGGGCGCCTCGCTCCTCTCCATCCTACCGGAGGCAGCCATCACATACGGCTGCTTCGATCTGCTCAAGACCGCTCTGCAGCACTCCACTGGCCGCACTGTGGGCGTGCTGCCTGCCCTGGCCTGTGGCGTCGCCTCTGCTTTCACCGGCCAGCTTGTGGCCTACCCTCTTGAACTCGTTGCGAGGCGCCTGCAGGTCTCTGCTGTTGCTGCTGGTGGTGCTGGTGCAGTTGCAGCAGGGGCGGCGAAGCTGAACCTGGTTACCGTTACCAAGGCGATACTGGCGGAACGGGGAGTGGCAGGGCTGTACCAGGGTATCGTGCCGGCCTCCCTCAAGGTGATCCCTATGGCGATTGTGAGCTTTGGAGTGTATGAGTCGGTTAAGTTTGCTCTGCTGCAACTAGCTGAGAAGGAGGAGAGATGGCAGGAGGAGAGGGAAAGGAGACGTGAGGAGGAAGAGGGGAGGAGGAGGTGGGCGGAGGAGGAGAGGAGGTTGGTGGAGGAGGAGAGGAGGGGGAGGAGGGTGTGCTTGCCGGTGTGTAAGGCGTGCTGGCGGGAGGGGGGTTTGTGTGGGAGGCAGAGGGGGAGTGCGCTGCTGGTGGTGTGACGGTGGTGTGGATGCTTTGATGGGTGTAATCTCATGCCAGTGGGTTTGCATATCCTGGGAGTGGGGCTGGATGGATATCCTGGGAGTGGGGCTGGATGGCAGGTGTGCCATTGTGGCTGATTGGAGGTGTCAACAAGACATGCAGTGAGACTACAGTTGCTGCACAGCATCTGGTGTATGTGTAATGCACCTTTTGAATCTCCAACAGCAAAATCTGCTCCAAGTATACATACCATGGCTTTTCGCAAGCGCATTGATGGGTGCTTTGGTGCAAGCATAATCCGTGTGTGCTGCAGTATAGGCTTGCCGCTTTGGCAAGCCGATTTGAAGCATTGAGCGATGCCTGGAGAAATGCTAATCTTCATGTTAATGATACGTTGAGTTGGTATCTCGATTTGCATTGCTCTTCTTCGTGTACCCATAAAGTCTACTATACACTTATAACGGTTTCAAAGCTTTCATCGATTTTACTGTTTTCAAGATTTGGGAGGTTGCCGAGCCTGGGGCTTGCCGAACAGCGCCGAAAAATTTGACGGACAGCAAAGCAAAGAATGCATTGCAAGCCTGGAGCTCCAATTTTGGATAAATTAGGTACTTCCTCCTAAAAGATAGGCGGGTGTTTCGTTCTTGCGCTGCGATTAGTGCCAAGTCACCAGGGTAGATTGGATCGGAGTCGTTGCTGCTTAGGCTATGACATTCTAGAGTTCGTCGGTCAAGGTGCGATAACTACGTGACGCACGATACTTTCTAGGGTAAAGCTGCATCTGGCGGGATTAGTACTGACTGAGCTGGTATAATATATTTATTAGGTGGTATACCGGTGAACATAGTGCTAAGCAAGAATTGTGCAGCCTTGTCCCACCTCTTCGGATTGTTTGAGAAAGTGGCAATGGTGACGACGAGGATGCCATCCCGTGACCGGCATCAGTTATCCTCGGTATTGCTTCTTCTTCACGTACTGGCGACGAGTTTGGTTTTCGCCGGAGCATCGGCGAACTTGGGCTCCGGCGAAGTTCGCCGACCCGAGGAAGTCACTCAGGGCTTCGAGACAATCTCAACGGACATGCAACGCGTAGTCGAAATGCCAGAAGATTCGCAGAAGGTTCTCCTGGACGGCATGGGTCAGGCGCTCGTGTCGTCCGGCATGTGGCCGTGTAACATCTTCGGCGGCGTTAAAGCGTGTGTCGCGGTGGCTTCTAACGGAGCGTTCATGCAGCAGTGCGCGAATGTCGCCAAGTCGGAAGTGGACTGCGCTTATAACCGCGAGACGCTGAGTGACATTAACGAGGATCCGAATGTGATTATGAAGGAGAAGCTTGAAGAAGCAGGTTAGTATAACGAGCGAGGGGAAGCCCTTGTGTAACGAGAGGGGTATGTGGTTGGAGGATGGTACTTTTTCTCGAAACGTTTCCCTTTATATTCGTTTCCTTCCCTACCCCCGATTCACTGTTTCCCGTCGTTTCTCCACTCCCTCCACCACTCCCCCACTTCCTGTTCATCCCTTCCGGTGCAGTGGTCCTCATTCTTCAATTGTCCCCTCTCCTCTTTCCTTCCCGCCTCTTCCCATCTCCTCCCCCCCTCTTCCCATCTCCTCCCCCCTTCCCCTCGCCGCTCGCCCCTCTGGTCTCCCGTCTTTCTTAACCTCCCTTCCCTTCCCCAGGCTTCGAGCCGTGTCCCGCACGTCTAGATGCGCTGCATCGCTTCTGGTGCGGGCAGACCTCATCCCTGGACTGCCCCATCTCGTCCCCTCTCCCACCCACCCTTCCCTCCTTTACAGGCTTCGAGCCATGTCCCGCATGTCTAGATGCGCTGCATCGCTTCTGGTGTGAACGCCTCATTTGTCGGATGTCCCATCTCCTCTTCCCTCCCTCCCTCTTCTTCCCCTCTCCGCTCGCCCCTCCTCTCCCCCTCTCTCCCATCCCAGGCTTCGAGCCGTGTCCCGCGTGTTTGGACGCACTGCATCGCTTCTGGTGCGGCCAGACCACCCCCACCTGTGGCACCTTCGCTAAAGTGGTTGACGAGATTCTGGTGAGTGGAGTAGGAGGGGGGGGGGGATGGAGGGGAGGTGGGTGAGGAGAAGAAGTTGGTTTAAGAGGCTGGAGGGGGGAGGAAGGGGGGGAGAGGAGGTGAAGGGGAGTAGGCTTTAAAGCGACGGGCAACTTTTGGCAGTGTTGGGTTCAGAAGTTTTTTTTTTGAACCAGGCTTGCCAGCGCGAAAGTGCTGGCTGGCGAAAACCAGGATTTCGTGCGGACACTTTCCATCCGCAGTAACAGTTCGCCAGGGTTCTGGGTTTTGGGTGGCAAATGTGCACCGTCGCTTTAAGATACATGTCTTTCTAAAACCACACTCCTGCTTCCCTTTTTTGCCCTTTCTTTCTCCCTTCTTTCCCCCGCACCCCCCCCCCCCCCCATCCATCCAGCCTGAAATGAGGCAAGTCAGTGCTGGCAAGTTGAAGCCAGACGAGCTCGTCCAGTCAGCCCTGCCCCGCATGCTCCAAGCCTTTTCTCTCGGGCTGCCCTGCCGCAAAATGTGCGAGGCGGTTACCGCCACCTGCAGCTGCGGCCGCCCGGCCACGTTCGGGCAGATGATGAAAGTTTTGGAGCTGAAGCGCACGCAGCAGCAGGCAGAGGGGGAGGGGGCGGCGGGCAGACCCCTGGCGGAGAACAAAGATTTGATTCCGTTTGGGTTCAGTACGAACATGTCTCTGGCTACTGCTGTGAAGATCTTCAAAGGGGTGTGGGATCGACCCGTGTGCGACTTGTTTGCTCCACATGTAAGGAAGAGGATACGGGTTGGTGGGGGGGCTGGAACGTTACCAAGAACGGGTTCGGCACGTACATGTCTCTGGCTACTTGACACACGTGTGTGAGACGGGGTGGGTGGGCGAGCACTGAAACCGCAGTCAATTTCACGCCTCGTGCATTCCCCGTTCTTTCTCCCCACGGACAGGACGCGCCCGGCTTCCAGGGCGTGAGTGAGATGTGGTGGGCGGGCACGGACAAGGAGCGACCGAAAGACAATCATTCATTCTAGTATTTTCCCCTCCCCCCTTCGCCCCTCTTTCCCCTCCCCACGGACAGGACGCGCCCGGCTTCCAGGGCGTGTGTGAGACATGGTGGGCGGGCGCGGACAAGGAGCAGACTACATGTTGCTGGTTCGAGTCTAGTGTCTTTTAAAACCATCCATGGGACCATACTTTCCGCCTTCTTCCTCTCTTCTCCCAATATTACAGGACGCGCCCAGCTTCCGGGGCGTGTGTGAGACGTGGTGGGCGGGTGCAGACAAGGAGCAGACGTCGTGACGCTGGTGCGAGTCGAATGTCTCCCCAAACCTTCCATGGGACCATGCTTTCCATTCCCCTCCCGTTTTTTCTCCCAACCTCACAGGACGCCCCTGGCTTCCAGGGCGTGTGTGAGACGTGGTGGGCGGGCGCGGACAAGAACCAGACGTCGTGCCGCTGGTGCAGCTCTAATGTTTTCGCAAACCTTCCGTGAAACCATGCTTTCTACTTCCCCTCCCCCTTTCTCCCAACCTCACAGGACGCCCCTGGCTTCCAGGGTGTGTGTGAGACGTGGTGGGCGGGCGCGGACAAGAACCAGACGACATGCCGCTGGTGCGAGTCGAAGCAGCGGCCAGAGGACATGGACGAACAGATTGTGGCTCAGATCGCCCAGTCTGTATCCAGTATGATGCAGGTGAGTTTGACTGATTGCTTTAGTACGTACGTTACGTCCCTGCGCACCTCAGCTTTCCATCTTGTTTTCAACTCGTGCATCCCTTTCCCTTGTCATTTTGAAAACTTCCTTCCCGTCCCGTCCTCACACACCCCCCTCAGGCTGGTCTCGAGCATGTTCTCTTCGCAGCCGCCTTCCCGGTTCCCACCCTAAACGCTGCCCGCACCACCACCACCACCACCCCCTCCTCCTCCTCATCCTCCTCCTCCTCTGCGGCCTCTGCCTCTGTCTCTGTTTCCAATGCCGGCCCTGCAACTGCAACAGCTTCTGCTCGTGCTGCTAATGCTGGTGTTGCTGTCTCTCCTGCTGTTGCCCCTGAAGCCGATGCGGCCGACGCAGCAGCGGTAGAGCAAGCAGAGGAGGAGGTGGAGCAGGAGGAGCAGAAAAGCTTCGACTGGCAAGACGACCAAACCGGGCTACCCAATCCCGAGCCTGTTGAACTACCCCCTGACACTGTTCCTCCCGAGCTGATCGACCCTACCGGCGAACCTGGTCCCAAGCCTGCCGCCGAACCGGGCGCCGAGGCTGCAGCCGAGCCTGGTTCGGATGGGCCGGGGTATTTTAGAGAAGCAGCGCCGGGGGACTGGGGGTATAAAGAGTCAGAGGAGGAGAAAATGGCTAAAATGATGCGAGGGGAGGGTGTGGGAGAGGAAGGGGGGGAGGTTCCATCTGGGAAAGGTGGTACTGCGGGTGGAAGGTGGGAAGAGGTGATGAATGGGATGATGGGGGGGAGGGGAGGGCGAGGAGGTGAGGGGGGACGAGGGGAGGGGGAGAGGGGAGAAAGGGGGGGGGCAGAGGGCAGAGGTGGTGCATGGGAGGGAGGTTCTGCTAGAGGGGGGACGATGATGCGAGGGGGGCCGGGAGAAGGTGAGGGTGGTGAGAAGGAAGGAGAGAAGGAAGGAGAGGAGGAGGGAGCGGAGGAGCCAGGAGATTCCAGGGGTTCTGCTGTTGCAAGCGCAGGCACGACTTCTCCCAGTGTTCCTCGAGCCGAGCCTTCTCCCGAGCCTGGAGAACCGGAGCGGCCTCCGGTTTGGGAGAAGAAGGAATGGCAGGAGAAGGGAGGGGAGCCGAGCTCCGGGTGGCGGTCGGAAAAGCCGGAGGAGCCGGTGGAAGAGGGTGGGGGGAATGTGTGGTATCGAGGGCATGGGGATGATTTGCCCCTTCCGCCGAGAGAGGAAAAGCGCGGGTCGCCTTTGGTGGCGACGATTTTTATTTTCTTTGCGGCTGTGGGAGTGGTGGCGGGGTTGGCGTTTTGGAAGATGAGGAGGGAGCGGAGGGCGAGGGACGGTGGGTTGCAGTATATTGACTTGCAAGAGATGAGTTATCGGCCGCCGGAATTTTAGGGCTTGTTGTGGGAGGATGAGGCACGCTAATTGCACCATCAAACATGTTCGCCTTTGAGGCGAGTGTTCCTCATCACGTTTACCATTTTTCTACTGTAGATTTTTTTTTTTGTCTTGCCTTATTGCAGTTTACCATTCGCTTATCAAGTTGTGTTGTCTATTCGAGGATCACCCTGCTGTCGCATAACAGAAGTACACTGAAACGAATCACATGTCGCTGTCCGTCAGCTGTCCCTTCCAAGAGTGGTCCTGTCCTGACGGCTGACAGGCGGAATTGGCGAGATGCTTGTCATTTTCACCCGTCCGATGTTGACTCAAACGCCCGAAGTTCGATAACGACCCGTCGCGAAAACACGTGCCAGCTGTCCAATGGCTCGCGAGTAGCTCCGCGAACCACATCCTCTCTCTTCCTATCAAACGCGATTCGGATTCGCAATGTGCTCCCGACATCGCGACTCGGGTCCTCCACGCAATGTGCTCTCGAATTTCGACCCCATAAATTTCCGCAACATTCTGCTTTTCTCGTCACATCCACTCCCACCGCACTACCAGTTGACCATTCTCACCGCCAATCTTCAGCAACCCACACATATCCGCAGCGCAATCTCAAGCTCACAACCACAGCTCAATACTGTTATTCTGATCGGAATCAGAGTTTTTTTCCAGTCATTTTCTAGCTGAATTTCATAGGCACGGGAAACATCTCGTTTCTCGCCATTAAGTTGCAGAGTGGGAAGCTGAAGAGGGTCAAGCGTCGTCATGGCTGTCAGCATGGGAGCGCGCGTGCTGTCGCTGGTTCTCCTAATCCACCTGACCATATCCTCAACGGGTAAGCTCTTGCAAGCTCTTTATTCGTTATCATGTACGACAATCTAAAGTATATTTTCCCAGGTTTTTATGCTCTTTATTTATATCTACTTTTGAATCTTTCCATTCTGATCTATCCGACTTTCTTTCCTGTTTTCCGGCCCTCCTTTCGACCCAATTCCTTCTTCTTGACCAAATCAGCCTTATCCGCAACAGCTCAACCCATCCCCCTTCCGCGAGTCACTGACGGCCCGGCAGCGCTGGTGGGAAGCGCCGCCAGCTCAGCACAGTCCGCGATCGGTGGCCCCGCGATCCCGGTCCAGAACCCGATCGGCGGCGCCGCGGGCGCGGCTCAGAGCACAATTGGCGGCGTCGCTGGCGCGGCTCAGGGCGTGATTGGCTCTGCAACCACCGCCGCCCAGACCACGGCCGGCAATCTTGTGAGGACCGTTGGTGGCGCTCTGAACGGAGTTCAAAACACCATCGGTGGCGCAGTGAACGGGGTTCAAACCACTGCTGGCGGCGCCTTCAACACACTTCAAAACATCGCTGGTGGCGCCCTGAACGGGGTTCAGACCACTGCTAGCAGCGCGCTCAACGCCGTTCAGAGCACTGCTGGGGCCGCGCTGAACGGAGTGCAGGGCGCCGCTGCGGGAGCGACGGATGCAGCTCAGCGCACCCTCGGATCTGCCCTCAACGCAGTTCAGACTGTCGCCCAGGACCCGATTGGAGCTATTCAGAGCACTGCTGGGACCGCGCTCAACGCAGTTCAGACCACTGCCGGGGGCGCTGTCGGTGCGGTCCAGACTGCTGCTGGCGGCGCTCTGGGGGCGGTGCAGGGGACTGTAACCAGCCTGGGAAACGCCCTGACTGGCACTGCTCAGCAGCTCGCTACTACCGGCCCCGTTAACGCTATAAGGAACGCTGCCGGCACGGCTGCAAGCAACGTGGGGAGCGCTTTGAGCGGGCCTGCGGGAGCGATTCAAGGTGTGGCTGGTGCGGCTGTGGGCAATGTTGCGAGTGCATTGCGCGGGCCTGCGACTGCTGCTGTGAGTGCTCTGAGCGGGCCTGCAGGGGCGCTGCAGGGAGTGCTGGTGCGACAAGGAGGCGTGCTGAGCCGCCCTCTTGAAAGCGTTCAGGGAGCAGTTGCTGGTGTTGCTGGTGCGGTGCAGAACGCTGCTGGGGGAGTGCAGCAAACGCTGAGCCGGCCGGTTGAAAGCATTCAGGGGGCAGTTGCTGGTGTTGCTGGGGGCGTGCAGAATGCGGTTGGGGGAGTGCAGAGCACACTCGGCAATGTGGGAGCCGGTGTGCAGAGCACCCTTGGGAATGTCGCTGGGGGTGTGCAGGGCACCCTTGGGAATGTCGCTGGGGGCGTGCAGAGCACCCTGGGGAATGCTGCTGCTGGTGTTCAGAGCACAGTGGGCAATGTGGCTGGCGGTGTGCAGCAAACTCTGGGTAACGCCGCTGGTACTGTGCAGAGCACTCTGGGGAACGCTGGTAGCAGTGTGCAGGGCACTCTGGGTAACGCCGCAGGCACTGCTGCTACTACTGCGGGTGCAGGTGCTGGTCCTGGCGTCGTTACTACAGTCCCCGTGGCAGCACGCTCATCGGTGGAGAGTGAGCCGAGTGAGCCAGGAAGGAGGCTGCAGGACAGGCCGGCAGGTACAGTCAGCACCGGCTCTGCCGCTATTCCCACTCCCCTCCCCACCGCCCCCATTCCTACCACACCCATTCCAACCACACCCATTCCAACCACACCCATTCCTACCACACCCATTCCTGCCACACCCATTCCAACCACTCCCACCACCACCCCTGCTGCTGGCACTAGCGCCGGTCCACTGGGAGGTCCACTGGGTGCAGTGCAGCAGGCACTCTCAGGTGCAGGCTCCACCCTTCAAGGCGTTGCCTCTGGCGCAGCAACTACTCTGCAGGGCGTTGCCTCTGGCGCAACCTCCACCCTGCAGGGAATCACTGGGTCTGCCGCCCAGCAGATCGCTTCTGCCGCCCAGTCCCTCCCTGGCGCTGTCCAGTCCCTCCCAGGTGCCGTCCAGGGCGCAGCTGCTGATGCTGCGGGCAGCGTGCAGAGCACTCTGGGGACCGTCGCTAGCGGTGTGCAGCAAACTCTGGGCAATGTGGCAGGGGGAGTGCAGCAGACGCTGAGCAATCCGGTCGGGTCACTCCAGGGCGCAGCTGCTGGTGCTCTTCGCGGGGTGCAAAACGCCGCTGCAAACGTGCAGAGCACTCTTGGCAGTGTTGCTGGGGGAGTGCAGCAGACTCTGGGTAATGCCGCTGGGGGCGTGGCTAATGTGGCGCGTGCGGCAGGAGGGACTGTCTCTGGAGCTGCTACCGGTGCACAAGCAGCACTCTCCGGACAGCTCTCGGCAGCCCAGAACGCCCTGTCAGGCCCGGTTTCCACAGTACAAAACGCACTCTCTGGACCCCTTTCCACAGTCCAGGGCGCAGCAGCAGGGGCAGTGAGGGGCGTGCAGGGGGCACTGTCCGTCCCTGCTGGAGCCATCCAAGGCGCTGCTACCGGCGCACAAGCAGCACTCTCTGGCCCCCTGTCCTCAGCCCAAAACGCCCTGTCAGGACCAGTCTCCACAGTCCAGGGCGCAGCAGCAGGGGCAGTGAGGGGCGTGCAGGGTGCGCTGTCCGTCCCTGCAGGCGCGATCCAAGGGGCGGTTAGCGGCGTGCAGGGTGCAGTTCAGGGCGCCATGCAAGGGGTTCAAGGCGCGGTGCAGGGAGCAGCACAAGGTGCGCAAGGAGCAGTGCGAGGGGCCCAGGGAGCCGTGCAAAACGCTGTTCCGCTGCCCACAGCTGCCGCTCAGCTTCCTGCTGCCGGCTCTGCTGCTGCAGGTGTGAATGCGGCTGCCGCTGGTAATGGCGCTGCTGCTGCTGCTACAGTCCCCGTGGCAGCACGCTCGGCAGCAGAGAGTAAGCCTAGTGAGCCTGGGAGGAGGCTGCAGGACGGCCCGGCAGCAGCAGGCAACGCAGCTGGTAGTGCTGGCCCCACTTCCACCGCCACCCCCACTCCTCTCCCCATCCCCACCTCCACCACTCCCACTTCCACCACCCTCACTCCCAGTCCACTCGGTGGCGTGCAGCAGGCGCTCTCTGGTGCAGCCTCAACCCTTCAGGGAGTCGCCGGGTCTGCCGCCCAGCAGGTCACCTCCGCCGCCCAGTCGCTCACAGGCGCCGTCCAGGGGGCAGCTGCCGGTGCTGCGGGCAGCGTGCAGAGCACACTGGGCAATGTGGCTGGGGGAGTGCAGCAGACGCTGAGCAACCCGGTTGGAGCCATCCAGGGCGCAGCTGCTGGTGTTGCTGGCGGGGTGCAGAGCACACTAGGCAGGGTGGCTGGGGGAGTGCAGCAGACGCTGAGCGATCCACTTGGATCCATTCAGGGCGCCGCTGCTGGTGCTGCTGGGGGCGTGCAGAACGCCGCTGCCAATCTGCAGAGGACTCTGGGCAGTGCTGCTGCGGGCGTGCAGCAGACTGTGGGCAGTGTTGCAACCGGCACACAAGCAGCACTTTCCGGACAACTCTCCTCAGCCCAGAACGCACTCTCAGGCCCGATTTCCACAGTCCTAAGCGCACTCTCCGGACCTCTTTCCACAGCCCAGGGCGCAGCAGCAGGGGCAGTGAGGGGCGTGCAGGGGGCACTGTCCGTCCCTGCTGGTGCCATCCAAGGCGCTGCTACCGGCGCACAAGCAGCACTCGCCGGCCCCCTGTCTCCCGTGCAAAGCACACGGTCAGGGCCGATTTCAGCTGTCCAAAACGCACTCTCTGGACCACTTTCAACTGTCCAAGGCACAGCAGCGGGGGCAGTGAGGGGCATGCAGGGGGCGCTGTCAGTCCCTGCTGGCGCCATTCAAGGCGCGGTTAGTGGCGTGCAGGGCACGGTTCAGGGATCCATGCAAGGAGCCATGCAAGGCGCACAGGGCGCAGTGCAAAACGCTGCGCCACTGCCCACAGCTGCCGCTCAGCTCCCTGCCACTGCTAATACTCCTGCAGGCACTGCAGCTACTGCGGCCGTTTCCGCTGCTGCATCCGGCGCCACAGGTGCGGGTGCTGCTACAGTTCCTGTGGCAGCACGTTCAGCAGCAGAGAGCGAGCCTGGGAGGCGGCTGCAGGACAGCCCGGCAGCAGCAGGCAGCGCAGCTGGCAGTGCTGGTTCAACCACCACACCCCGCAACGGCCCCACCACCACCCCCACCACCCCCACCACTTCCACCACTCCCACCACCACCGGTCCACTGGGTGGCGTGCAGCAGGCGCTCTCTGGTGCTGCTTCCACCCTTCAAGGCCTCACATCTGGAGCCACTGCCACTCTTCAGGGCTTAACCTCGGGCGCTTCCCAGCAGCTGGCCTCCGCCGCCCAGTCCCTCCCCGGCGCCGCCCAGTCCGCCGCCCAGTCCGTCCCAGGCGCGATCCAATCCGCAGCAGGGTCGGCACAGTCAGCAGCGGGAGCAGCAGTGGGAGCAGCAACAGGGACTCTGAACCGGGTAGGGGATGCCCTCACACTCCCCCTGCGCCAGGCTGTGACGGCTGTATCCCAGCCTCTTGTAGGGGCAGCCCAGGTTGTAGCGCAGCCTTTGGGAGCGGCTGTAGCGAGCGCTGTGCAGCCGGCTGTAGCGGCACTGCAGGCGGGGGTTCAGGGGGTTGGTGCAGGCGTTTCAGGGGTTGCTGGAGGGGTTGGGAGTGCGGTGCAGGCAGCAGGAGCAGGCGTGCAGAACGTAGGGAGAGGGGTGGTGGCAGGAGTGCTGAGTGCAGGGGCAGCAGTGGGGGAGAGGGTGCAGAGCCTGGGAGCGGCAGCAGCAGGGGGGGTGCAGAGCCTAGGAGGGAATCTGACTGGGGCAGCAGCAGGGGCGGCAGAGGCGCTAGGCAGGACTGCTAGTGGGCTGGGGGCCGGGCTAGGGAGCACTGCAGCGGGAATTCAAGGGGGTATTGGCCAGGCGCTCGGGGGAATTACCCGGGCGGTTCAGGGCGGGCCCGGGAATCTCGGGCAGGCAGTGGGGCAACTTACCCAGGGGATTCAGGGCGGGCCGGCGGTGCTGGGGGGCGTGCTGACCCGGGCGGCAGACTCGGTTACTGCGGCAGTGGGAGGGGCGGCAGGGGCGGCGGGGAATGCTGTGACTGTAGCGGTGGATGCTGCTAGTGGCACGATTCGATACAGCATTGGGGGGATTGGGAATGCTACGGAGCTGGTCTCTGCTGGGATCTACCAGGCTGCTGGGGCAGCAGGAGGTGAGTCAATGAGTTGTTTTTCAGTTGCTAGGGCGTGTTTAACACACCCAAACTCACCCACTAACACACACCCTCTCACACACACACACACTCACACACACCCTCTTTGTCTCCTTTCTCTACTCCCTCCGCACTCCACCAACCCAATTGTCTTCCACCAAATCAGGAGCTGCCAGATCAGCAGGCACGCAGGTGGTGAGCCTGTTCAACCGGGTCAACCCAGTCAACGCCCTGTCAGCAGCAGGCAACACACTCACAGGCACAGTAGCCGCCACCCCCAGCGCCATCGCCAGTCTGCTGCAGAACCCGGCAGGCTTCGTCCTGCAGGCCACAACCAGGGGAGGTGCATCTGCTGCTGCCGGTACAAACGGTTCTGCTTCTGGGGTCACAGAGACTCGAGTGGCGCCGCTGAGTGTAAGGAGCACTGACCCTTAACCAACAGTCTGACGCTTGATCAACAGTTAACACTCTGAGTTAACACCATCGGCCAGCCCTGAGTCAACAGGGTGCATGCCAGCCAGTCTGCTTGTGTTTGCTTAAGAGCCTGCAGGCTGTGGGCTCATGCTAGTGGCACTGAAAGTAGGACAGGAGGGAAGCTGTTGTGTATGCGATGCAATGAAACTAATGGAAGCTGTTCTATGACTCTGCTTATTTCTACTTCTTTCTTCTCCCTTCTCTATTCTCCTCACTAATCACTAATCTCCCCTGTGACCTCTCTTTCCCTTCCCTTCCTCTTGAGCTTTCTCTTTCTTTGTCTTATCCCCTATTCCCCTCTGTCTATCCCCATCCCTGCCAGGTTCTGGCGCCTCTCATCCCTTCAACCATCAGCACCACTCCTCTTTCTGCTGCAGCCACCGTGGCTCCTCTGCTGGGCGTTCGGCGTCAAGGTGAGAGCTGATTAAAAAGGGGTTGAGAATTGGTAAGTGGTGGAGTGGAGTAGTGGAGTGGGTGATTCTGCGCCTGTAGGCTTGCCTGTGAACCACAGCTCACCCGCTAGTTTTGAGGCGCCTCAAAACTAGACCTGTAGGCATACCTGTAAACTACAGCTCCCCGCTTAATCATTGGTCTCTACTTTTGACGTCTCAAAATTGGCAGTTTTCCTCGAATCGTTGGTTTCTCACTCTATCTGAGGGATGTATGTGTATCGTTGCATGAGGATTGCATGGGTGTGTGTGTGCGTGTGTGTGTGTGTGCGTGTGTGTGTGTGTGTGTGTGTGTGTGTGTGTGTATGGCTCTATGTGTGTGTGTGTGTGGACACCTGTGTGACTGCTTCGCATGTGAATGCCTTCGTGCTTGCGTGTGCGCGTGGATTTTCGTGATGCAGAAATCACTCCAGCCACTACCAGCAACCCATCAGTCGCTGCAAGGAATCCAACTACCCTCACCTCCTCTCGCCCCGCCACCACCACCACTGCTAGACCAAACCCCACCACCTCCCTAACCACCTCCACCCCCACCTCCACCAGCAACCCCTCGTCTGCCTTCTCCTCCTTCCCCTCGATCCCCTCTTCCCTCCCCTCTTCCCTCCCTTCTTCCTTCCCTTCTTCCTTCCCATCGTCCATACCCTCTTCCCTCCCATCATCCCTCCCCTCCTCCGTCCCCTCCTCCACTCCCTCCTCCCTCACATCCACTCTCGCCAACCTCCCCACCAACACCCCCACCACCTTCCCCACCTCCAACCCCCTTCCCGCCAACACCCCTCTCCCTGGGGGCTCCTCCCAATCCTCTTCCGCCCCTGGCATGCTTCTGGGAGTTGCTGGTGATGCGGTAACCAACGCTGCACTACAGCTGCTGAGGGGAATCCAGGGGGCCATGCCCGGGGCTGGAGGCTCTAGCAGTAGCAGCGGTCGCAACAGCGTTACCAGTGGTAACACTGGGTTTCTCAGCGGCAATACCGGGTTTCCTAGTGGTACAACTGGAGCTGCCTTCCCTGCAGCTTCTCAGGGAGGTTCTTCTGGGGGAGGCATTGACTGGACTGCTGCATTGCCGCTCCTGCAAACCCTTGTCCAGCAAGCAACAGGCGGTGGTGGTAACAGTGCGAGCCGTGGAAATGGCGATGGTACAGTGGTGAATGTGGATTTGAACGCATTGTTACCTGTTGCGGAAGCTCTGATGGGGTTCGCGACAGGGGGTGCAGTTGGAGGGAATGCAAACCAGCTGGACCTTGGGATGCTGATGAATCTGGCTGGGGCCCTTGGTGGTGCCCTGTCTGGTAATCCATGAGTGGTGGAAGTTAGGAACAGTGCATGTCCCAATGTAATGCTTGAGAATATTTTTGTTTTCAGTGTTCGCCCATACTCTCTGTTAGTTCAAAAACTACATTGACATATGTAGAGCAGATGTCGCGAAAAAAAAAAGGTTTGTGATTTTTTAGGATTACATATTTTGGATGTGGAGTATGTACTAGTGTAAGGAATTTTCTCGATTTTCCTTCCTTAGCGCACCCTGCAACATCGCGTACAGCAGCAGCCGTTGTTCGCCCGTTACTGCTAACGGGGCTTCGCCGACTTCGTGCGCACTGTTTCACCAAACCTCGCACTGCTGGCCTGGCCGTGTCGGCCTACGCTTCGGGACTAGCCCGAGCCTCGCTCCAGCGTAGCACTAGCTAGCTCGCACGCACCACGTTACCGTTTGCATGTTTCGCGTATAAATGTTCGCTCATGCCTTCGCTCACATTTTGTACTCGTTTGACACCTTAGTGCAATTCTCGCTACTTCGATCCATTGCACCCGTAACACTTGGTTATCAGAGCCTCTTTCCTTTCGGACCGCGCATCTCCGCACCCCAGGAAATCAACTTTTGATTTTTCACTCGAAGGGACTCACGTACCTTAGCACCTAGGAGCCGCGGTCCTCGCGTTCTCTCGTAAACGCGTGCAGCCACGACTGCGCCTAGACTAAGACGAGCCGACGCCCTTCGAAATGGCTGAACATATCGACGTCACGACTCTCACGCAGGAGCACTTGAACGATCTGCTGCGACAAATCCGCGAGAGCGCCGAGGAAATCGCGACGCTGACGGCAGAACGCTCGTCCCTGCAAAACGACCTCACACGGGCACAATCCCAAGCACCTGGCACTCCGATTCAGCCCGCACCACAGACATCACAGCACGGAAGTGTGGGGCAACCCGCGAGCGCCGCAAGTGATGGCGTCGTCCGCCATGACGGAGACGACGACCACGGCACGACACACCCCGACGCGACGAATGCGGCCAGGACTCAGCCTCGAGTCACGATTTCGGTGCCGGCCGGCGAATCAACTCTTCCATCGCCGATGCCGCTAAAGCCGCAGCGTCCGCCATGCTTTGACCCAAGTCAGCGGGGTGGTCCTACCGTTCAGGCGTGGCTCTTCACGCTGAACGTCTTCTTCGACGCGAACTACGTCTCGGAGGATACGGCGAAGATTCGCTACGCCGTGTCGCTGCTGCGAGGACCCGCCATGGACTGGTGGCGCGTCATCGTCACGAAGCCGGTGGACTACGCGACTCTAGCGACACGGGAAGGACAAACCGGACCCTGGGCGCCGTCGTATTTCGTGGAGGTGCCCCAGTATCGCACGTGGGACGCGTGGTGCGCAGGTCTGCGCGCTCGTTTCGAGCCAATCGCGGCTTCGATCGCGGCGCGACAGAAGCTCCGCACTTGGCGCCAACTCGGTTCCGTCCAAGATTACACTAGCGGATTTCCGGCGCTATGCGAGCAGGTGGGATATATGCACGAGAGCGAGCGCATCGATCGCTACATCGGCGGCCTGAAGCAGGACATCGCTCAGGAAATCCAGCTTCGCGGCGTCACCGACTTTCAAGAAATTCTCGCTATGGCGGAGAAACTTGATTTCTTCCGCCGACCGAGACCGGGGTCCTACGGAAGCAGCCATTGGGGACATCGGCCTCGTGGGACGAACGAGGGCGCCACGATACGTGCCGTCGCCGCAAATGCCGCTGCCGCACCGTTCAAAGGGCGCTGCTTTGCGTGCAATCGGCCGGGACATCGCAAGAGCGAATGCCCGGAAAACGCTAAGGGAAAGGGGGAAGCTGAGCAGCAGAAACAGACCAAGCAGCAGGGAAACGCTGGGAGTCAGTAGCAGATGGGCCCTCTACTGGCAGGTCACGCCGCTCGCCCGACCCAACCGACCCTCACCGAGTGATTGTGCCGGTTCACGCAATCGACCACACTCGGTCGAATAAGGAGGGGACTACGGTAGACAGCCCCATACTGCTTAGTGGGAAAATCGGGACGGACTTAGTTAAAATCTTCGTAGACGGGGGAGCTAACCACTGTCAGAATTAGCAGTAGAAAGTAAGAATGAAGAAAGGAGTGGTTGCACTAGCAAGCAGTTGAGTACATATAGGAAACCCTAGATTGGGCTGTACTCGCTATAGAGTACCCCACTGCAGGCTAGACAAATACAACATTCTGACACACCCCCATAGCCAAAGTGGGGTGTAATCAGCACAATGAGCAGGTATAGCAGGAGTTCACAATAAGAAGCAAAGCTAGAGGTAATCACAGCGGGCAAGTGAGGAGGAGGAGGGACTGTGAGAGGAGAGAAGATGAGAGACGGCGGCTGAAGCTGCAGACACACGGGCAACAGGAGCTGCTGGCACAGTGGCTACCGGGACAGTGCGCCCCGGACTACTGGAGTAACTGGCTCACGGGCTACGAGGAGCTACAGGAGCAACGGACCCACGGGCGACAGGCGCAGCAGACTCTCTGGGCTACCAGGACAGTGCGCCCCGGACTACAGGCGCTGCGAACGACAAGACAGCAGCCTCCGCTCAACCTCCCCCGACCGTCCCACACCCCTCTCACACACCCCCTTCTGAAACCCTAGCTCCACTCCCACGGCACCCCCCTTAAACCCTAAACCCTCGGCTCCCACACACCCACCCCCCTCAGCGGCAGCTACAGCAGTGGGAGACGGAGGAGGAGGAGGAGTAGGGGACGGTTCACACACCCGTCACCCCCAGAACCGCCACCCCCGCACTCGCCACCCCCAAACCCTAAAACGGGTGGAACGGGGCATGAGCGCGGGGGACGGCTCGGGGGGACGGCGCGCGGCCCCCAGGGCGCCACCATGGGACAGCGGGGGGGGGCGCGCGCGGCTCCCCAAGGCGCCGCGACGGGGCAGCGGGGGTCGTGCGCGGTTCCAGGGGCAGCGCGCGGGTCCAGCGGGGCAGCGCGCGGGTCCCCGGGGGCGACGCGAAGGTCGACGGGGGGGCAGCGCGCGGATCCCGCAGGGCGTCGCGCGGGTCCAGCGGGGCAGCGCGCGATCCGACGGTGGGGGGGTGCGCGCGGGTCCCTTGAGGCGACGCGAGGGTCGACGGGGGGCGCGCGCTGGTCCCCGGGGGCGACGCGACGGTCGACGGGGGGGGGGGCGCGCCATGCAGAAAACCGCCGCGCGCCATGAGGCGGTCGGCGGGCAGAAAACCGCCGCGCGCCCCGAGCGCACGGCGGGATGAAAAACGCCAGAAAAAAAATTCGTCGCGCGTCGTCGCGCGCCCGAGGCGCACGACAGGAAGTAGAGCAGCGGAAGCGTTAGGTGGTGGGCCCACCCACAGGATCGACCCAAGGGGATCGACCTGCTCTGATAGCATGTTAGAATTAGCAGTAGAAAGTAAGAATGAAGAAAGGAGTGGTTGCACTAGCAAGCAGTTGAGTACATATAGGAAACCCTAGATTGGGCTGTACTCGCTATAGAGTACCCCACTGCAGGCTAGACAAATACAACATTCTGACAACCACAGCCTCATCAACACTGCTACAGCACGAAAACAGCGACTGCCACTGGACAGATGTTTACCTGAGATCGACGCACGACTGGTAGACGGCACGCCGCTGGCAATACGGGAACGCGTAGACCGGGTTCGGATTCGATGTGGGGGTAACTTCACGTTTAGCCAGGAAATGCTCGCAACGACCCTCGACGGAACCGATATTTTACTCGGGCGTGATTGGCTGCGACGACACAATCCGCGAATCGACTGGACGACGGGTGACTGCACCGTGCGAGTGAACGGTAACAACATCGCCCTACCTCGCTGGGGCTCGCCTGAGTCTTCGTCGGTGCGTGTCAACGCGATCACGATGAAACGCGCCGTAGCGGCAGGAGCTGACGTGTACGCGGTCGACATTCGGGAAGCCGAGGCAGCAGACAAAGGAGGGGATTTACAGAAACTGCTGGCCGACGTACCGAGTGACTTGGCAGCACTGTTGAAGCAGTACAGCGACATTTTCCCGGATGATTTACCGACGGGACTGCCACCTCAGCGACCGCACGACCACAGGATAGAGCTAGAACCGGGGGCACAGCCAACAGTACAGCGACAGTTCCGACTGACCCAGCCCGAACTGGACGAACTGAGGAAGCAGCTCGATTACCTGCTCGAGAAGGAATTTATTCGCCCTAGTTCGTCGCCTTTCGCAGCACCGATACTGTTCACACCGAAAAAAGACGGGGGATTTCGCATGTGCATAGACTACAGAGCACTGAACAGGGTTACCATCAAATCCCGTTACCCCATCCCGCGAGCCGACGAACTGATCGACCAACTGCGCACAGCCCGGGTTTTCTCGAAAATCGACCTCCGTGGGGGTTACCACCAGATTCGCGTCAACCCGCCCAACTGCCCTAAGACCGCATTCCGCACACGCTACGGATCCTTCGAATACACCGTCATGCCTTTCGGACTGACCAACGCCCCCGCCACTTTTCAAATGACCATGAACGAAGCTTTCCGCCCGTTCTTAGATAAGTGCGTCATAGTATACCTGGACGACATACTGATTTACTGCCCTGACAGAGCACATCACTTACAGGACATCGAAGCAGTTTTTAAAATACTGAGTGAGAACCGCCTACTGACAAAAGCGTCTAAGTGTGAATTTTTACAGAATGGCCTGGAGTTTTTGGGACACGTTATTTCAGCTGCAGGAGTGGAAATAGACCCGAAGAAAATTGCGAAGATTCAAGCATGGCACGCGCCGACCAACTTGACCGAGTTGCAGAGTTTTATGGGGTTCGTCAACTACGTGCGTCGGTTCGTCCCCGACATGGCGAAGCTGACTGCCCCGCTGACAGACCTGCTGAGGAAGGGGGTTGAGTACACGTGGGGGGAGAAAGAGCAAGCTGCCTTCTCGGCCCTCAAAAACATTTTGTGCTCACCGCCCGTGCTTCACATCGCAGATCCACACCGTCCGTTCGAGCTCGTCACTGACGCAAGTG